AGGTCTAAATTACATGAGGTTAAAAAGTAAATGCACTCCAATATTAACTTATTTTTTGATTCAGATTGACTTGAGCAAATTTAAAACATGGTATTTGGGTTCAGAGAAATTAAGTTTTTTCACCACACCTATCTTGTTATCTAAGGAATAAACGGCTAAGGCAGGCTCCAATTTCTCTTTTGTTATCATTACTGTTTGTCCCAAATCTATGGAATTTGGTCTCGTCATGTCAGAAGATGTCTGAAGATTCCAGGCTCCAATTTCTCTTTTGTTATCATTACTGTTTGTCCCAAATCTATGGAATTTGGTCTCGTCATGTCAGAAGATGTCTGAAGATTCCAGAGCCTATAAAAAGTCTCTATTGGTATACCTTTATTAAACACAAACCTTGCATAAGAAATGCATTTATCAGGGTGCCTTATTTATAAGCCGACAACAAGGATGAAAAACATACCTTTGATATCAAATCACAATTAGAATGTAGGCAGGGGCTCAAGGGGATCAACCCCCCCCCCCCAAAAAAAAAAAAAAAATAATAATATATATATATATATATATATATATATATATATTAAAAAAATGAATGAATGAACGAAAGAATTAATGAATAAATAAATATGTGTAAAACTAAGGTATTTATCTTTTAAAGTCCTAGGCCATACGACTAGAGAACCCATGAATTATAAGGTCTTTGTATTCATAAAATTCTGCGAACATGAATAAAATTGCAGGCTTGTTTTTTAATCTGAATACTGTAGTTATTACACAGGCGCTAAAGGGCTACACGTAGGTCTGCATGCACCCAAGTACAGTGAACCTGTATATTAAGACCAATCAATCAAGGAAAAGAAGAAAGATAGTCTTTACAGGGAGGGGGGGGGGCAGACCAATGTGGTCTTTTATCGAAGGATGGTCGTTCTATACAGGTGGTCACTTTAGCAGGTTTGAGAGCTAATAACAGTGTTACTACATGTACAAACATTGTATGTACATTGTATGTATAGTGTATAGCAGTTTTAATACTGGTAATGAGAACCAGGAAGTGGAGAAGGTCTTTTTAGCATACAGTGTACTACCACTCTATATAAAGATCCCTATCTCACAGCATTGGCTTACATCTATGCTCCTCATCCTACAAATAATACCAAGGGACATCAAATACAATAATGAACTTATTTGGGGATTGTTGTTGACTTTAGGCCATTTTCGTAATGTAATCAAATGTAATGCACAAATCTTTGTTAAGTGCATGGTACAAATTATTTAATTCATCCGTTGTATATAATTGTATTTCAATAGTTAGAATGCAAATTGCATATATAAATATATTACATTTTTTTATGTAGGACAAGCTGGCCTACAATGTACCTAGCAACAATTAATTTATGCAAATTGCTTTCAGACTACGGTATTGAAATACAGTTATTCGTACCATAAAACAAAGATTTGTGCATTAAATTTGATTGCATTTATACATAAATGTCCTATTTAATGACGGAATTTCCGTGAAGTAGACAAATATTTGAACAAAGTTTGCATCTTTCCTTGGAGTTCATTAGGGCTGTCAATTTTTTGTCTAGAATGAGGAAGATATACAGTGTATTTTCAAATTGTACTTCCTGAGATCAAATACTATTTTAGAATCCTTGGCTAAGACACCACTTTTCGAATATTCACTTCCTTCTTCAAATCGAAAGACATAAGCTCTGAGATTACATGTAACTGTCATTGATTTATTACAATACGCTCACAATTTATGAAACTATCGTTTATAAGCAATAAATCCTTTCAAACCCCTCATTTTATTTTTCAAAAACTGTCTGTCTTGATTCATTCATAGCAAAACAATACAAACAAATAGGATCAGGAATATGAATTCTTTAAATTAAATAACCCAAACCAAAAGCTTGCATGTTTTCAAGACCTTTAAATCGGGCAAACACCATTGAAATTGCTCAAGCCAGTTGCTAAACTACAATTCACCCTTATCATGTGTTGTCTTTTCCCTTTGGCAGAGTTCCTGTTATTTCCCCTTCATCTTTTGTTTTTCTTTCTTTCTCTCTCTCTCTCAATCCTATCAAATATCAAGGACAGGACAAGAATTATTTTAAAAACAGAAACTTCCCTGCCAATAGTGTACTAACACATGGCAGAACACCCTTGGCTGTCTATTCATTGATACGTATGCCAAAGCAATCGCTGCTCCATGCTAAGCCTACACACCCAAAATTCAGATCACCTGATTTTTTTTCAACCTATTCAAGTTTGGGGGTGTGGTCTAAAATAACAATATCCAGGCATCGATTACAGGGAAGCCTTCATCAACACACACATACACACTGGTGCACAAAGTCAGACCGTGGGCGGAGCTTGGATATAAGTGATGGGTGGGATGGATGATTGACATGCATATAGTTTACATACCAAGTAGCATGACACATCCCTTATCAACAGAGGGCGCTCTTCTACAAAATGGAATGTGAATAAACTGATAATATTGAGATGGATGAGAGTAACCTTTCCATCAATGTATTCAAATTTTATGCACGGTATTTGCCTGCTTTCCAGGTTTCCCTCATTGGGTAGGAAGCTTGTCAGAGGGTTGCCTCACCTAGCACTACTATTCACTATGTAACAAAATTATGTTCAAATTGAGGAAACAATACCATGAATGGTCAACACCTGTATGGCAAACAAGAAAGTGTCATTATCTTCTCTTTCTTCTTTATGAAATCTATTTGAAATAGAATAGACTTTTTTACTAATTTTATGCATACATTAAATACAAAAATTTCTCTTGACAACTGAAAAGCTTGCCCTACATAGCAACCAGTAATATATGCAAAATGAATTCCATCCATACAGATGTAATTCTACATAGCAGGTGACTGACTCAAATAGTTGGTTACCAAGGGTTAGAAATATTAAAATACATTAGTACACATGTCTATTGTACACACCAATGAACAGGTTACAAGTCAAACAAAAGCATGTAATAGATGGGTTAGGTAATATTTTAATTCAAGGATGTTTCTCTCCTAAGGACCTAGTGACGAGGTATTCCATTAACAAGTTATTGATGAATGCAATACAATACTTGGAATTCAGTCTGCTTACATTACATGTCGGGCAAGCCTCAGGCAAGCTTTCAGGTTGGCAAGAACAACCATTGCATTAAAATATGCATAACATTTGAATATGTAAGTAAACCTGTCAATTCATGGGATAGGAATTACATCATTGGTCACTATGAACATGATGGACAAAGAAAGAGGACAGAATATACAGTTCCTCAGGTAGAAAAAGAAACATCCCTTCACTGCTATTACATGTATGTAAAAATGTGTAGAACAGGTGTCACATGCATATTCACCTGTTCTACACATTTTCACATCATAGCAGTGAAGGAATGTTCCTTTGTCTACCTGAGGAACTGTATATTTTGTCCTCTTTCTTTGTCCATGATGTTAATAGTGGGTGTACCCCCAATCTTAATGCAGTGAGCCAGATACTATCAAATTTGCCCATGACAAATCCTATAAAAATTTACCCCAGATCACAAATGTTTCAAATTTTATGCATTCTTCCATCATAGAAGCTGACAAAACCCCCAAAACATGTACATTGATTACCTGACATAGCAACAGATAATGTACTCATGATGGATCCCATCTGTAGAAGTACACTGCTACACATAAAGTGAAATAGATAGTTTTTCATCAAGAACCTGGGAAGAACCTCCACAGCTTTGAGTATACTAATAAATGTCTATTGAACAATGAATTGAACAATTGTTCAACATACATGTACCATGACATAAATGAAATATTTTTGTTTAAATCAAAGTTGAATGCCCTACATATAAATACACCCCCCCCCCCCACAAAAAACAACATCAACAACAACAAAAGATGTCCTTGGCCTTCAGAATATTGTACCCTCTGTTTAATGTTTTCCCACTGATCTCATGACCTCACAGATGGGGCCATTTTCACACATTCATGCCTGTGATCTAAAAGAGACGAGCATATATCCACATCATCACCTTCACACAATCATAGAAACGTTCACACCATCATGGAAAAGTTCACACCGTCATGGACACGTTCACACAATTATAGATATGTTCTCACTAACGGTCAAGGGTACATTTACACACAACCAAAAATACGTTTTAAGAGAAACACAATAATTGTTTGCTTTGGGAGATGTGCGTTGGTCCAGCAGTAATGTCAGTAGTATGGTCAGCTCTCTGTCTTCGCCTACAAACTGACTCAGTGGACCCCAGATACAGACTGCGTCACGTCTTTCAGATGGAGACCTTAAAGGTTGGTCCCAGACGTAGATTGATACACGTCAGTAAAAACCAAATTGAACATACAAACACACACACAAGGATACATTCACACAGTCATGGATGCTTTCACACAGTCATGGGTGTGTTCACACAGTCATGGATGCGTTCACACAGTCATGGATGAGTTCACACAGTCATGGATGTGTTCACACAGTCATGGGTGTGTTCACAGTCATGGATGCGTTCACACAGTCATGGGTGTGTTCACACAGTCATGGATGCGTTCACACAGTCATGGATGCGTTCACACAGTCATGGATGCGTTCACAGTCATGGGTGTGTTCACACAGTCATGGATACATTCACACAGTCATGGATGCGTTCACACAGTCATGGGTGTGTTCACACAGTCATGGATGCGTTCACACAGTCATGGATGCGTTCACACAGTCATGGATGCGTTCACACAGTCATGGATGCATTCATACAGTCATGGATGCGTTCGCACAGTCATGGGTGTGTTCACACAGTCATGGGTGTGTTCACACAGTCATGGATGCGTTCACACAGTCATGGGTGTGTTCACACAGTCATGGATACATTCACACAGTCATGGATGTATTCACACAGTCATGGATGCGTTCACAGTCATGGATGCGTTCACACAGTCATGGATGCATTCATACAGTCATGGATGCGTTCACACAGTCATGGGTGTGTTCACACAGGAAGAGAGGAATACATTCCTACCTGAGTATGTAAATCCACTGAAGCTCTCCCTGCATACTGAGCCATCCGATGACGATAATTCAGATTGTCACAGATCTCCTACACACAGAAAAGAATGGAGTTAATTAGAAAGAGAATTCTAACTTCTAAGGGGTAAGCAATAGTTGACACCTGTCAGAAGTAAATAACAATTGCTTAACTGAAGTAACCCAAAGAAAATTCACGACAACAGATAATTATGGACAAATTATATATGAATGGAAAAAAATTCTCTTGAAAAACCTGAATAATTTGCTGAAAAATCATAGATATCATGGAAAGGCGTGAAATGCAATTTTGTGGCTAGCTCTGTCTCGCATGTGACGTCCTTAATCTTGATGCTCTAAGGAAGACCACTAAAGGCAGAAATTCTGGATCTCAAAATTAACATTTTTGAGAGATGATTACTGTGGGTCCCAAACATATTTTGAAGAGGGAAGATGTTATATTTGATCAGTAAGGCTTCCCCTTCGCAATGATGTGAATTTTGCATCAATACAAAACACTTATGATTCTTTGGGTGACTAGTCTTACTAAACTTTGAAAACAAATGCCTTCTCTGGTAAGCGCTTTATAATTAACGTTTTTATTATTATTTTGTATTATTATTAAAAAAGGAGCACACACTTGGTGTTGCGATTTATTTGAGTATTACCATATCATAAACAAGAGAACAATTTTAGAGGGCAAGTCAACACAGGCTTCATGTCAGTTTTGGTAAAAGGAGAAAAATGAGTGAAACAGATAGTGAGAGGTTGAAAAAAAAATCCATTGGATCCAATTGCAGTATGTTATTTTCCATGCTCGGTTTCTTCCTCAGATGGTTTGTAGCAAACAAGCACTAATATCCTTTGGCAAGATATTAACCTGCACTTGCTCCTCTCCACCCAGGCGTTAAATGGGTACCAGGTAGGATGCGACCGTCATTGTAGGTCAAACAGTTTTTGAGCGTCAAGTAACGCCTGGCTGGAATACTCCCCAAGTAGTTGAGATTGTCCAATGACCGGGGTAATAGTATATCTGTAAAGCGCTTAGAAACATCATAGATGTATTAAAGATGAAGTTGAGTTCTAGTCATGCGATAGCATTGTGAAAGAAATGGTGTGGAATCAACCAGAAAAGGTTGATCATCTAGCATATAAGTATTTGTGTGTATTGCAAGGTTCTGGAATCATCAAAATGATAAGAAATTTGGCCAAGTCTTGGTAAAGTTACAAACACTGTACACAGAAAGATGTATATGGGACTACACAAACACGTGGCGTAACATTCCGTCCAGAGTTTTACAATGTTACATGACATATTTAGAATATGAAGGCATTTGAAGAGCCATGCTTTTCAGGGAACATGTTTTATCTGAAGTTCTTCCTCACGTGCATAATAACAATGATAACACTCACAAAGTAATTTTCACCTCTTCCCAGAACTCAACCTTCTCTTTAAGCGCTATATAAAAGCGGAATAGTTTTATTATTATTGATACCAAGCATGTTGTATATTCACCTGAATTTTGGCCTTATCCAGGAGTTCTGGGAAGCAGGCATCAGCAGAGATAGCAACGGCCAACATCCGATGGACGATCACATCAGAGTACCTAAACAATCACACAAGCATCTGTTTAATCACTGCTTCTTTGTTCATGCTGGATTGATAGACTATGGGTTATCATCATCATCATCATTTCTTAAAGTTAGCATTTATCCTTTTACAAGGGGTTAATGACATTCCAGCAAGAAGACAAATAGTATGTATACACATGTACATATGAATATACATATACATAGAATGTATGGAAGTAGATGCCTTCCATTAAAAATCAACTATTAACAGAAGAGGAGAATGAGTAAGAGATAAAAATTATAAAAATGACCAGCATGAAGAAATAGGGAGACCAAGAAGATAAAGAAGGAAAAATGAGAAACAATTACCGGTACATTAATAGCTATGATGGTAAATAAAGCAGTAGCAAAGATGATAACAATGAAAATGGCAATGTAGATGATGAAGATCATGATAATGAGAGTGGTGATGATGAAGATCATGATAATGAGAGTGGTGATGATGAAGATCATGATAATGAGAGTGGTGATGATGAAGATCATGATAATGAGAGTGGTGATGATGAAGACCATGATAATGAGAGTGGTGATGATGAAGATCATGATAATGAGAGTGGTGATGATGAAGATCATGATAATGAGAGTGGTGATGATGAAGATCATGATAATGAGAGTGGTGATGATGAAGATCATGATAATGAGAGTGGTGATGATGAAGATCATGATAATGAGAGTGGTGATGATGAAGATCATGATAATGAGAGTGGTGATGATGAAGACCATGATAATGCGAGTGGTGATGATGAAGATCATGATAATGAGAGTGGTGATGATGAAAATGATGAGCTTTGATGATGGGGAGTATGTTAACTTATAAAGGGGATAATGATGCAGATGCAAATAATAGTAATGATGGTGGAAGGAGGATGAGGATAAGAATAATGATTGAGATGGATGCTAAAGGTGATGGAGATGATGATTATGACGAAAACGATTATAATCATATTGATAATGAAAATGACATTGGTGACTGAATACCTTCTAATAGGAGAGGTGAAGTGAGTGTAGATCGGTGAGGCCAAGCCAAAATGGAGGTACTCATCCTCAGGTAGCATACCACTGCTGAAGTAGAGTGCTTGGGTCATGCACCGTGTCGTCATCATCCGCAGTAACTGGTTGAAGAATGGAATGGAAGGAATATTGGCCTTGTCCAGGGAATCAGCAAGTGCTTTACCACTGTCCACTTGAAGTTCAAAGCCCTGTCAAAAACAGAAGGAGAAATGAAGGTAATGGGTTGATATCTATACAGTGCGTCCCAGAAAAAACGAAACCGAGAATTATCCATGTGTTATCATAACTTAATCACAATTATATATAGTACATGATGACACATATTTGTAAAGCTTAAATCCTCCTCTTCCATTTGATGCAACTCATATGATGCATATTTCATGCATGGGTGATTAAAAACAATTTGAAGACAGGTAATAAAAAGTCATTTGGCAAATGGTATCTGAATTTTAAAGAGAAAATCACATTTTCAGAAAGTTCATTTTCTGCCCTTTCATACGACACCTAAATCAGGAAAAATGAGCCAGGAATAACAAAGTTCTGTTTGTTTAAAGTAATGATTAAATTTCCATAATTTTGTCAAACAAATTTTTGTTCACTGGCTGCCTGCCGTAGCAACAAACTCCGTTTCGTGCATGAAGTCTTCCGTTTTCTCTGTTCTAATAGGGCAGACAGCCAGTGGGATGGATTCGTTAAAGGCCACATGTCTATGGCAGCCACGTTTTTTGTCTCCCTCAAGAAAGGAATGTGTCTTGTAGAACCATTAAAAAAACTCTTTCTACAATAGCCACTGTTTCTGTTTACTAGTACCTCGACAGGTTTGAATGTATGTAAAACAAAAGAAATATATAAAGAAAGTGCTATTAAAGAAAAGATTGCATTTGCACCAGAACTGTGAGGACATGGAACACCCTCCCAGCCAATGTCGTGACAGTTCCATCTGTCAAAGCCTTTCGTCTCCATCTGTGAGGCTGCAGCAGCTAGATCCAATGCTGCTTTTACTTGCACCTTGTTAATTATTGGCACATGCACCCTACCCTTGTGACACACACTACACCAAAGTTCTGCAAGAATCTTCAAGATTGAAGGAAGCAGACTGCACCAAAGAAGAAGAAAAAGTTGACCTACCCTTGTGAGGGCCACTTTGATGATAGGTTCAAAGTTTGATAGCGGAGGTACAGGATGCCTTCTGAGGCATGCACTCTGAGGAAACTCCTGTCTGATCCTCTGAGCTACAGAGACGTTGGCTAGCAACATGAACTCCTCAACCATCGAGTTGGTTTCCCTGAAATAGGGAAGAAAAAAAAAGTAGGTAGAAAATATCAATCTTACAGTCAAGCTAAACAAGAATTATCCTGAGAGGGAGCAGCATAAATGAGGTCTGCTCTTAAACATTGTAGGCTCTTATATTTTGAAAAACAATGGTTGCGAATTAAGTTTAGAATCTGACTCAAAGGAGACACAGCCAATGTGACACAGTTTTGATTGAAGGAAATTTGAAGAGTTAAATTTCCTTACAAAATCTAAGGCAGATAAGATGTGATCCCCATACATCATGTAGTCCTCTTTTCTCATTTTGCCTTTAATAATAATAATAATAATAATAATAATTTAATGTTTTGTATAGCACATAACACATACATGTATGTATGATTGCATGTCTCTATGCCCTTTACAGTACATAATACAGAAGGAGTGAAAATGGTGCACTGGGTTCATAGTTGTGAGGTTTTACAAAGCGGTAAATTAAATGTTTTCAAATTACTTCTGAACATTTTGTATGTTTCTACATTTCTAATGTATTCCAGCAAGTTATTCCATAAAACAGTGAATATGAAAATGACTTTTCAATGTCAGATTTTGTCATAGTTTGTGGAACACAAAATAAAGACTTTTTACTAGTTCACAACATTCTTTACGGTTTATACTGTATGAACAATTCAATGAGATATGATGGAGCAGACTGATGGAAACAGTGATGAGTTAAGTTAAAGGTAAAGACCAGTATTGGAAACGCCCCAATTTCAAAAAATGAAATGGAAGCTCTTTATTACCAATTATGTGAAAGAATATGTTTTGACTACTACATGATGATAACAATTTTGCCGGGAAACCACCTACTAATTGATATATTTGGTAAATTAGTTTATCTATTGGACTGTGAGAGATAAACGCACGTGTCGCGCACGTGTGCATAGTCCCATATACATCTTTCTGTGTACAGTGCTTGTAACTTTACGAAGACTGGGCCAAATTTGTTATCATTTTGATGATTCCAGAACCTTGCAGTACACACCAATACTTATATGCTAGATGACCAACCTTTTCTGATCGATTCCACAACGTTTCTTTCACAATGCAATCGCATGACCAGAACTCAACTTTATCTTTAATAAAAGTACTTTAAACTGGATACAGGACAGGATGGGTAGCCAATGTTATAAAATGATGACGTAGATCCTAATCAAATGATTGGTTGAAAGCATACACGTGACCAGGCATTTATTTTGCCTAACGCGTAATTTGGGTAACGACCGGTCATTACCCAGTGGTAATGACCGGTCATTACCACATCTTGTTGTTGCTATCGTAACCATTGAGATTTCATCGTTTTACTTTTACTCGCGAGAATGGCTGCCGCGGCATTTAAAGTGCCTACTTTTGAAATTCTTTCAACTGCACAAATGCAAGAGTTATTGAATGGGACTGATTCTGCTAGTACCAAGAAGAGCATAAAGTTTGGCTTTGCGAAATTTGAAGCTTTTTTGGGCCTGAAACAAATTGAATTGGGTGAAATCACAACCGACAGGCTTCGACTGGATGACGTTTTGTGCACGTTCTATTCAAGTCTCCGTCGCGAAGATGGATCGTGGTACAGCAAGAAAACGATGCAAGTGATCAGGTATGGTGTACAGAGACACTTTTTGGACTTGCATAACTTTGATATTCGTGACAAGGCAACATTCTCACAAAGTGTGAGAATGTTTAAAGCCGTCTTAGTGAAGCTCAAGAAGGAAGGCAAAGGTTCCACCAAGCACAAACCCGCGATCTCATCTAGTGACATGGAAATCATACAAAACTCGTCGGTGCTCGATTGTGACACGCCAGCTGGATTACAGAACAAAGTCTTCGTCGATTTTATGACATATTTCTGTAATCGTGGTCGAGAAAATCTTCGAGAACTTAAGCCAGACGATTTTCGACTTGAGACAGATGAAGACGGACTTCGATACATCACTAAAAGAGATCAATTGACAAAGAACAATCGTGAGGATGATGATGAGGTGTCGAACAACGGAGTGATGTACGAAATACCTGGAAGTTCAAAGTGTCCAGTTGAGAGTTTCATGCAGTTTGTATCGAAGCTGAACAAAGATTGCCCTTTTCTATGGCAGAAACCAAAAGCAAAGAAGCCAGAAGATGGTGACAACTGGTACTGCAATGCTCCAGTTGGCAAAAACACAATGGGAAATAAGATGAAACAAATTTCCCAGAAAGCTGGATGCTCAAAGTTGTACACAAACCACTGCTTAAGAGCAACATGCATCACGACCCTGGATAGAGCCGGTTTCGAGTCTCGAGACATTCAATCAGTGAGTGGTCACCACAGTGAGCAGTCACTCAGGAATTACTGTAACACTAGCCACGAGCGGAAGAAACAAATGTCCTCACATCTTGGGAGTCATCTCTACGAGAAAAGAAACATCACTTTGCCTAGTGCAACTCAATCGGTTCCAGATCCTGGTCCTGGACCTGGTCCAAGCAGGCCTAATCGCGCCTATTCCATGCACACGACCAGACAGCCGCTTGAAATAGTAGTTCCGGATCGTGACTCAGATAATGTAGATGTTCATGTGAATTCCCATCAACAACTATCTTTTTCGCTTTCGCAGGAGAAGGTACACCAGGACCTTTCAACGACATCAAATACTTTTCAAATCCACGATTGTGTGGTGAACATTTATAATAATTAAATGTTCAACTTCAAGACAAGACTTTGTGTAGGCTAGGCCTAGATCTACATGTACATATGTTTGGCTTTGACTTGAGTTTGACTTTGACTATTTCAGCTTTTTAAACAATTCTACATGTCATGATGTACATTATCGCTGTTTGGAAGTTGCACTTTGGAATGACATTTTTAGTTTTACCTCGCTGGTTCGGGTTCTAAGTTAGGCCTAGAGGCTAGGCCTACTTCAAGTTCTACGTAGACTCGAGTCTAGACGTTCATTGTTCCAGTTGGAGTTTCAATTTCAAGTTTTTCTATGACCTGTTGCATTGATTTACAAGTTTATGATGGATGATCCTGATGATATAAAAGGTAAGACTAAAAAAGTAAGATAAAAAACAATGAGTTCTAGATCTAGAATCTCTACTTAGATCTAGAAATGTAGTGATCTAGACTAGTCTAGATCGTACTCTTAGATGTAGACCTAGTCTAGATCTCATTCTTGAGATGAGGTTGATTTATCAAATAACAAGGATCCACGTCATAATTTTATAAAACAAATAATACACATCATTTTGTTCGGGCATTAGTAACATTACCCACACTCGGTACCTTTGAAAAAGTCTAACCCGCCCTCGGCTATCGCCTCGGGCGGGTTAGACTTTTCCAAAGATACCTTGTGTGGGTAATTCTTACTAATGCCCTCACTGCTGTGTATTATTTGTATATTAACGCCTTTAGTACTAAACAAGGTTGACTGACTCACCTCATGACTTTCCTCTCTACTTCAATAGGATCATGGGTCTCACTGTCCATGCTGAAACGGATCTCAGATGATGCTAACGTCAGAGCTCTGCAGAGGGAAAGATTTGATAATTATTTATATACATTTACAATCTTAGAACTTAAAATGTATGATATGACATGGTATATACAGAAAGGGGTCGTTTTAAGCATTAGCTTGAAGCGAGATCCTTTCAAGAGTGAAAATAAAAATTCATGTAATATGAAGCAATGCATACAAATTAGGTTAGGAAGAAAGAAAGATGGAAAGAAGAGGATTGGAGGAGAAGGGACAGAGAGGAGCAGGGAGGGAGAGAAAGTCACATTCATGATAGTATCAGGAGTACATGATTGTATAACAAGTCAACTTGTGCATGTATTGAAGGTGTCAAGAAAAAATGATTTTTCAAAAATAATTCTATGAAATGTATTAAAGCTTATCTCCACTACTTTGGAAAGGAGGGATTAGACCACACAGCGAGGTCACTGACAGGTGGCTATCTCATTAACTCAGCACTCAAGTAACATAAGTAGCTAGAAGTAGTACAGTGTGGCTTTAATACAATTCAAAGAATGGACTGTTTTCGTAATGTAATCAAACTTAGTGCACAAATCATTGTCAAGTGCCTCTTTACAAATTATTTCATTTACCTGTTACGTATAATTGTATTTCAATAGTCAGAATGTGAATTGCATATATGACATGTGTTAGGTAGGACAGACCATAATGTTTATCCTACCTAGCAACAATTAATATGCAATTCACATTCTGACTACCAGTATTGAAATAAATGTATTTGTAACAGGTGAATGAAATCATTTGTAAAGAGGCACTTGACAAAGGTTTGTGCATTACATTCAATTACATTACGGAAATGATCTATTTTATGAAATATATTAAGAGAAGGAACAATTATACAAAATGAGTGAGAGAAATTAATGGATGAAACAAGAAGAAAAACAAAACATATACAGAGAGGGGGACATACAGAATTTATACAGGCTTCATTACAGAGGAGGAAATTATTCTCTAGCATGATATATTGAATCCGTTTACCCATTATCAGTTCTCTTTTGCTTGAGAATCTTGGCCATCTTAAGGAGTCCTCTTAGACCGATTGCAAGAGCATCATTCTGTGATTTGTCATCGATCTTGTTCTGTGCTTGTTCGTACGTGTACGCTGCCTACAGAGAGGAATCAAAACGGTTATGTTGTAGAGAATCAAAAGAACAAATGCAGAAGAATTGCGGAGAGGTGAGATAGAAGACCAAGTTTAATAAAGATGATACATATGGATAGTTTATTTCTATGGGGAATCACATTTTTCTTAACCTTCAAACTTGACTACCTAACATGAGCAAATCAAAGTAAGGAGTTCAGGGCCCTGTCTTATAAAGAGTTGTGATTGATCCAAATTGATCGCAAATAAGTTTTGATTAATATCAACTCTTTATAAGACGGAGCCCAGATTAAGATGGTGATAATATAAAAGGAGTAGTGATCATTACACAATCATGCAAAATACTAAAACGAAGTTGGAATAGTATTCGAAATAAATTTACAATGGGCAATCACGTTCTATAGCGTGCTCAAAACCTGACTAAAGCCTAGCTAAGATATGATGCAGTAAAGCGCAGCAGATTTTTTGTATAATGATGCAGGAAATGTAACACGCTTCACATTTTTAAAACCTAATACCTCAACGCTCAGTAAATACATGTAGGATCTTTTTTGCGCAAAGTTGCCATTCATTAACATGTTGTAAAATGAACGTTAAGGTTTTACCACATCATATCTGAACGAGCCTATAACCATTGCCTACTGGAACAGAGTTATTCCTGTATCAAACCTATGGGCACTGTGAGGATTCACTAGTCAATGGGTTAATATATCAATGTTTCTAGGCACAACTCTTGATTGTGCTAAACAGATGCTTTCATCAGGAGTGTCGTGGCAGAGTGGTTTAGGGCACTTGACTGGAGATACGGAGGTTGAGGTTTCGAATCCCGACACAGCACTAATACCCTTTGGCTAGATATTAACCTGTACTTGCTACTCTCCACCCAGGTGTTAAATGGGTACGCGCTAGGATGCGACCGTCATTGTTGGTCAAACAGTTTTTGAGCGTCAAGTAAAGCCTGGCTGGAATGCTCCCCAGGGAGTGGAGATTGTGCACAAAGTGTGTACGGGCAAGTATTGAATCCAATGACCAAGGTAATAGTATATCTGTAAAGCACTTTAAACATCATAGATGTATTAAGCACTATATAAAAGCAGAATATTATCATTATTATTATTATTTCATGAAAAGGGGGAATCCCCCCTGGCCTCTTACCCTTGATTTGATGATGCTCTTGGTGAACCTGACATTGACAATCTCAGCTTCAGGCGTCATCTCCCAGAGAGTGGAGAAGGCAAACCTCTCCACACCGCCCCTCAGAGAACACAGGTTGGAACTCAGTAGGTCCGGTACCATGTCTATCCTCTATAACAAAACAGTAAATGAATAAACAATAATAATAACAATAATAAATGATAAACAATAATAATAATACTGATATTAATAAGGCAGAAAATTAATCCAAGAGTGTTTGAGAACTTAAGTCTCTCCACACCACCTCTAAGAGAACACAGATTGGAACTCAGTAAGTCTGGTACCATGTCTATTCTCAATAGAAAAACAATAAATAAATAGAAATTAATAATAATTCTAAAGCAGAGATCTAGGCTTGAGGCATCATCTCCATGTGTGAACATTTAAATCAAGGCTTCTCAAAGTCCAGACTGCAGATCACATCTGGACCGCAATGGAGGAAGGCTCTGTTTCTTGTTTTTAAAACTTGCAACGATTCCACTTAGATCAGATACAGAGACTTAAAACAACCCTCATTTTCCTCAGTATTACAAGTGTCATTACTTGAAATTTTAGGATTAAGTTGACTGTGTCTGAAACAAAATTGAATAATGTTTGAGTTACTTCTTGCATTCCAGCAATTAACAGTACATTGCTCTACTTCATTTGACGTATGCAAATGACCGAAATAATTTTGTGCGCGAATGGCATCCCATGTTTGTGACCTTTAAGCTTTCACGGAAATCACATCCAGACCGTCAAGGGAAAAGTTTAATAACCCCTCAAACGCCATTCCAGATAAAGTTTGAACTGCTAGGAACACAATTACTTACTCTGTCAACCAAATATACTGTTGTACCTCTGCTACAGGCTTCTGTGTCTAATGCATTACCTGGCTTGATGAAGTGACTCACATCAGCAATATGAACACCAACCTTAGAAAAATAAAATATATGGCAAAATTTCACTTTCACACAGATTATGATGTTGTATTCGACCTAGAAAAATGGCGATCAGATAGTTGCTCTAGGCTTTACTTTATCAAATATATAGGGGCATGCATGGATTACATGTCAGATCGATTGAGTTTTCGTTAAGTTCAGGTCAGAGTTTGGTTGAAAATTGAATTTAGGGATTCAACTAGTTTTAGAATTGAGAGCAGAGCAACTGCTGCCATGTCAGATTTCATAGAATTGGAAACACATGTATGAAGGATCATTCATAAGTATAGAAAGAGAATAAAAGTAAACAAATCTTGAACAATATTTTGATATACACGTTTTCTTATGAGTTTGGCTTACTTTAGGCTCCATTTTAAGTCATGAGTCCAAGAATTTGATGTTAAACATGTTAAACAAGGTTTGAAAATCTTTGGGCCCAAAGCAATATCATACATGTGTTCAGCATGTTTTTTTAAACTCTAATGACTTCTAAAAATATCTGAAAACTCTTTACATGTGGTGTACAAGATACAATGTCCAGAAGAGACTCCAGAACTCACCTCTGCATTGCCATTTTCCAAGGGTTTATAGTGAAGAGCATCATCAATATCTGTACAGCCAGGAGGATCTACACTGCAGATGTCTACATGCCTCAGGTCCTCTCTCACTGTTTCGTCCTACATCGCCAGCAAGAAAGGGATCTAGAGCATGTATTTCACAGTCCTACTGAAGATGATTTTGAGCAATAGTCCTACTGTCAAGTGCAGGAATAGTCTTGACGACAAAGATAGGCTAAAAAACACATTTAGCCTTTGTTTAAGAACATATTGTTTTAGAAAATATTATTTGGAAATGTTCACCCTAAGCTTAAGACTGTCCTTACCTAAGACCAGACAGTCTTAAACCTGGACAAACTTTCTTGAGTCCTGTTCATACACATTACTGGGTGAGATCCCACTGTCTTTCAAAATTATCTAATAACAGAAACATGATGTAGGAATGCAGATGGAAATCAAATCTTCTATTTTTTTGATGTATTTCTTTATTCCAAAACGCTGGTCAGACCTGTGGAATTCATCTACCACCTACTTGAAGGAGTTCATCCCAGAGCCCTATGCAAAACCAAGTGGCAGTGACCTCTCAAGAAAAGCCTGGGTCAACCTCAACTGTATCAGAACTGGAGTTGGCCGTACACAATATTTTCTGCATAAAATTGGAACTGATCCATCGCCAAACTGTGCCTGTGGAAAGATCCAAACTATGGATCACGTCATAGATGATTGTCCTATCTACAAATCCCCTCACGGTGCTTCTGGACTTTGAGAACTCGATGACGAGACAATCAGTTGGCTAAATAAGGATTTTCTTATCTAGATGATGTACTCCTTGATATTCTTCATACTAACGAACGATTGAATTGCAACCAAAACTTGAGGTTGGATTTTAAATAAAAATATAAATACAAACAGATAGATCACAATGGTAGAAATAATGAATAATTTGGATCGGCATACCTCTTTTGTGATGGTCCATGGCAGTTTTGGCAAGAAACTTAGAACAGCCTCAGAGAAAGGAAGATGGGGTACATCGTGTTCCAATAATAACACCTCATTCTCAGTGTCTTTGTCTCCAATGGCCCCAAGATTACGCACAAAGTGACCCTGTATCAAACAAAAGAAAATATATCAATATTATGACACTAGACTCAACACAAAATAAAAACTCTGTTGACAATGTAGTTGTGTAATGGTGTAATCTTCTCTTTTGACATTAGGCCATGCACATATTAAAACTGGCCTGCAAAATTTGCCTCTGAACTTTCTCATTTCTTGATTCTAATTGGAAAATTGTGAGGAAAGATGTGTGCAATGGCCTCAATTCCAGTACGATATCTACACTACAAGTCATTGAAAATATTGGATAAGATATTCAAACATATGGCATATGTATCCTTTCATATATGTAGATTAATCTGACACAATATTCAATAAAAGTCATTCTTATTCCCCTCATTATGTAAGTTTAATACATGTATTATCTTATGCACTGCAGAGCTTTGGAGATTCGTCCATGTTCATTAACCTCAGGGACCTTTGACGTCTGACATCACGGGCCCCCTTAGCAGATTATGATGCTATGAACACTTACCAGCGGATACTAAGGGTCTCTAGGCCAGGAATCTATGGTGACTAGATCTTATCACCCGTGAAGGTCTCACACTACTGTCTCTCAAGTCACCATCAAATAACTGATGTGACCCTTGACCTTTGAACCCTACTTATGACACAAATTCTCTCAACCACATTTAGAATATTGATATGAAATAAATACTTACTAGAGGATATCTTGAGTCTCTAGGCCATGAGTCTATGCTGACTATAATCCTATTTCTTGGAACGGTCTCATACTCCTGTCTCTCAAATCACCATAAAATAACTGATGTGACCCTTGACCTTTGACCTAATGACCCAAAATTTCTCAACCACCTTAGAATCTTGATATGAAATGAATACTTACTAGAGGATATCTTGAGTCTCTAGGCCACGAGTCTATGCTGACTATTATCCTATTTCCCGCCAACGTCTCATACTGCTGTGTCTCGATACGTATCTTGGGTATGAGTCGTTCAGCTGCCATGAACAGATGCTTGGTGCCCTGAATCAAGACAGACAAGATCACCGTCATAGTATTCATTGCTTTAATTAATCATTTCTAAATTTGCCATTCTCCACCCAGGTAAAGTAAATGGATACCTGGTAGGAAGAAATTCCTTGACTGCTTCATTGCCTTATCATTACCATCATGAATCCTTGGTTATAAAAAAATATTTAAAAATTCCTCAGTATTGTAAGACTAAACAAATGAAATGGACATATGAATATTCAAACTTTTAAAGAATTATTCCACTAAGAGATATAGCATGATCCTGTATTTATTGAAATTTCATTTCCCTTCTACAATATATGTCATGGAATATAAGGGATGTACATGCATACAAAAAATGAATTTCTCAAACCACACAATATTTTGAGCAGAGCCATAAAAAGTAAGCTCATGCCCTTTATCACTTTTATCATCAAATATCTCATGCTAACAATCTCTATGCCATCAGATATTTTTGTTTAATGAAGATTCAAGATTCAAGATTTTATTGTTCATATAAAATACAGAAATTTGTTTTCCATTGGTGTAACATGTAATGTAAAACTTAAGACAAAAGCATGGTGTCGTGTGCTGAAAGCCAGAAGGGCGTCAAGACTCTATAAAGAAAGTCTATGAGCAGGTTCGGTCCTCTGGCTTTCAGCACAAAATATTACTATAGTCAAACCTGTATATCAAGCCTAATCAAGGGCAGTTAGAAGTAGATGATATTTAAGAATATGTTACTGAGTTAAGCATATCAAATAGCAAGCACACAACAGAAATAAAAAGTGCAGCCTTGAAGGTTAAATTCAAAGAAAATCACAAATATGTCAACTAATGTATCACTAGAAACTGGTAAGCTAACAGATGGCCATCGTACAAGTTTTAGGCCAACTACATATCGGGTGATTTATAAAAATACAAATACAACCACCTCCATAGCAGCTGGGATATACGAGAGATTCGCCAGAAAAATAACAATGTTTTAATGACGTCACTATATGGACCAATACTGCCCAAGCAGACAGCATCCCATAGAGAATGAACATAATTGCAGAGCTATTATTTGTCAAATTATAAAAAATGTAATGGCATGTCAAACCATTCAAAAGGGGATATGACCCGATTCTGATAACTAAAATCTTTTGCTTGTAAATACACAGGATAGGGGTTAATTAACAATCAAAGAAACCAGACTTTCCGATTGAAAAACCCTCGGAATGATATTAAGGACGGCATTTGTTCCCTCTTGAAACGCCGAACATACCGCGGGTTGTGCAGCTGAATAAACAATGGCGTCTTATTTTGTTTACAAGCGACTCATTGCTTTATTTTTGTATCGCTGCATTTGTGATCAAAATGAAACCATGCGCGGGGTTTAGAGTGAGGCAATAGATTATACATTTAGCCTGACGGTAGTGAAGTAAGAGAAAGAACTCAAGAGAAGATGAAAACACGGGCACTGAAAATGTGTGAGATGTCATGGGACATTATCTGCTTGTGCAAATCATGTCCATACTGTGATCTCACACATCTCAGCAGTGTTCGGAGAGCTCTTCAGGTGCTATGCCGGGGCTGTATTCATCAAGCGTTTTGTAATTTATGATAATCATTACTTCGAATGTTTCCAAGCATTGAATTTTGATAACATTGTTGAATCAAAGTTTCAACTTTGCAATAATGAAAATAAAGTTAGTTTTTAAAATCAATGAATATCTACTCCAACAAACGTTTGGTCTCTCCATCCAGGTGATTTCTACAGAAGTTTCACTGTGGTTTAAATATTGGTATCAATTTTTGAGTGTCAAGCAACCCCTAGCTGGAATACTTCCCAGGGAGTGGAGATTGTGCACAGTGTGTTGCGGGCAAGCATTGAATCCAATTACCAGGGTAATAGTATAGAGACATTGCAGATGTATTAAGTGCTATATAAAAGCGGAATATTATTATTATTATTAATTCCATTACAAGATAAATAACCCTGTACATAGATAATAATCCATGATACCAAGAAGCTTGACGATCCTTACCCCTTTGACTGCAGCAGGCATGATCACGCCACAGAATGGCCGCCAATTACGTTGGATGATCCCAACGATACGACAGGTCGGTACGGCTCCCTTCTTGGGACCAATGTGTGAGTTGTCAGTATCCTGTAAAATGAAATAATCCTTATCATGAACCAGAATCATGTCATAATTTTGGAAGCATTAAATTTAGTTTTTCATTGATTGAATTATAAATTCACATTCCACAAATCAATAAATGATAACTCTCTTGTGCATTCTATAATTGCTGTGGAATAATAGGCCTTGGAAAAATGACCCCACATAATATTTCAAATACTCAATAAATTGTGATTTGTTAATTTTATTTGAAGGAGGATGTGACGTTTCACTTGGTTCTTTCTGGATATGAAAACAATATGCATTTCACATATAAAAGAAATGTTCATGAAAAGTGCTATATAAATAGAATGTCTTATTTTAAGCCATGTTCTATCTAAACCTAATAATTACCAACTTTGTTATCTTAGGGACGTTGTGCTTCAAACATATTTTGTTTATGCACCGTTCCTACTATGTATTCTATCTCGATGTAACCCACTGAATTTTATTATCTGTAAACAATCATTTTACACGGTGAATAAATAAAACAAACAAAGAAACAAATAAAACAATCTTCATAATCATACAAACTGTGAGAAGTGCCCATTTGTATGCTAGATGTTCCTCTTTAGAGTGAAATAACTCGTGATTGAATCTGCGGGAACACAATTTGAAAACTGTAAAAAAAAAATTTAGAAAACCACGTTACCTCATCTAGAACATCTTCTTTTGATCCCTTGTCTTCTGCGATGACTGTAGAGGGGGCTGTCCATTGAGACTCTGCAAACATTTCTACTGCTACAATGTCACCTTGTACGGCTCGGTTTTGATTGGCTAGCCCTTTGATGAAGACCTACATAACAAAGAAATTACAAAGAGTAAGCTCCACTTAGTTCATGAAAAAGTATTGGTGGCAAAATTTATGGACTGATGAAACTCTTTCGACACATTTTCATTATCCCTTGCAATCTGAAGTGGCTTCCTCTAAGGTGGATTCTACTTGCTTTAAATGTGCACTTTTGTAGTTACAGTGATTAATCATACAAGCTCACACTCTTACAATTTCTCAATCTTTTCTACACCATTGTAGTTTTCTCTAAAGTTCTCTCTGCTTACTTTTAAAGTCCCCCTCTCGATAAGTTATAAACCCCACAAGTTCACACGTACCATTTTCTCCATCCCTTGTACACTGACGTAGCCTTCTCTAAAGTTCTCTCTGCTCGCTTTGAAGGTGCCTTTCTTGTATCTGCCCTGCTTAATGCCAGCTTTGATCTCATATGAGCTGAGGTGCCCCTCTTGATAAGTTCTAAACCCCATAATTTCACTCTTACCATTTTCTCCATCCCTTGTACACTGACGTAGCCTTCTCTAAAGTTCTCTCTGCTAGCTTTGAAGGTGCCCTTCTTGTATCTGCCCTGCTTAATGCCAGCGTTGATCTCATAGGAGCTGAGGTGCTCTGGGTAGAGGACGTTCCTGCCACCTGGAGCTGTGATATCACTATCGTTCTAGCATATGAGAAGGGTAAGATACACTGATTTACCATTGAGGCAATGACTGATAGCTATCTGCAGGATTACATTTTCTGACAACATTGTAATATTTGTTCTATCATTCTTTTTCAAAAGAAATAGTAGATATGAAGGAGAACCAAAGAAACAATACTTGACATTAAAGATATTGTAATTTTTTTCTGATAAAAAGAACTACTATATAAATACAGAACACTTTCATTGGTAATGTAGCTATAACATGGTGTTTAAGCTTCTACCGACCTTAAAATTTAGGAAGCAATCTTACATCCACTCCTGTGAATTTTCTCAAGCCAAGTAATTATTCAATGTCCAAAGGAGTGGATGAAAGCTTGGCTTCTAAATTGTAAGGTTGTAAGCTTGTAAGCTTATTAAAGCTAAATGTTACAATAATTGTGTGTTGTTGTTGTTGTTTGTTTGTTTCCAATAATGAAATATCAAATGCTCTTTTGACTTGGGTAAGACTGTTCACAGATAATTGCTTATTGCTAGAAGGTACGGTATGCGAACAAACTACTTATTGCAGGGTCAGTGTGTAGCATTATCTTCATGTGTTGTGTTTAGAACAAGTATAAAGTGCATTCCGTGATAAAACTTGAGGACTTACTGCCTTCCGTTCCCTCTCCTTGGTTTCAATCTGTGCCAGTCTGTCCATCAACTCAGGTCTGCCTTCCATTGCTTTCACATATTCATTGACTGTAAACATAAACAAATCATCTCTGAAGTCAGTGAGTTCTGAGAATGAGATCCCAATGTCTTTCTCATTAATACTGGTGACTTCCTTGCATGCCTCCCCCATTGTCATCAAATTCATGAATTCAAACGAGCAATTTGATGGGGGCATCTCTGAAGGAATTGATTGAAATATCTGCTTGGAGCGAGAAGGGCATTAACTTTTTGTTAAAGTATGAGTTAATGCCCTTCAGGCTCCAAACAGACAATGGAATCTATCATTCAATAAATACATTTATGGCACCAATGATTACCTGCATCTTAGAAATGAAACATTCCAACCCTGAATATCTACAAGTACAACACCAATAGCAATAATCATTGCCTGTATGCGCAATATATGACCATCTACCTAGCCCTGTCCCCATTGACAGAAGTGTCTTGCAAAAGTTGCAATCATCATCATAATAATAATAGTGAGCTCCTGTATACGTCTGGGACATTGCCATTGATGGTGCTCCATCATATGACTGAACACTGAATGTCTACCAGTGCAACACCAATGATGATTACCTGTGTATTTGATACAAACTTCTTTCCTAGCTCTGTCCCTATAATCAACATCATTGATCAGCAGAACGACAATGATGGATGTTTCTTTGAAGACATTATCAAACGATCCACCACTCAATATTTACAAATGCGACACCAACAATGATTACCTGTGTATGCAACGCGACCCTCATTCCTTGCCTTCTCCCTGTTATCGATATCGTTGGTTAGCAGAACGATCTTGATAGGAGTATCTTTGAAATGTTCATCATACCAAGCAAGGCTCTTCCTAATGGCTCTGTCATTGAAGTCATTTGGAGACTCCTTGGGTTCGATCTCAATGTATGTATCTCTGAAGAGAAGAAAATAATCACAACAACATTAATACAATCATACAATAAAATGATAAAAACAATAATTCATGAGTCATCCATCCAAACAAATACTGAAGATGCAAAAAAAAGTAAAAAGATGTACATCAGAAAAATGATTAACTGTAACATACTTTAAGGGGATCTACTTCCATAGATTTAGCTTGACAGCATTAAAAAGCCAAATTGACATGAATAAACACAACGCCCAGAAAACAACATGATTCTTTATCTGTCTTTATATCACAGTGCACAAGAACAGGATGAGGGTCCAACAAATGACCTACTGCCGTGATGGTTCCTGGTTTCATATTGGAAAGGTGGAACTGATTACAGCCATTAGGCTTAAAATAATCCCAGGGTCATGTCATCGAGCTGCCCACATTGCAGCAGTTCAAGGAAGCCACTAGCTGCGAGTAGTCACAGCATCATCATTTTTTCTTGCACCATATAAATACTTTGGCACAAACTTGCACAAGTCGCCCACCGTCGGCAGCAGAACCCTTGTCTAGATGCTAAAATGGCTTTGACAAGCAGAAGAATAGAAGTAGAAATCAGACAACTCTTTGTCAGGATACCCTAACGATTTTCTATCTAATATTTGCTTTGACTTTGGTGCACCCCCCCCCCCCCCACCTAATGGCAAAAAAGCGATACATTTTGAAGAATAACATCAATATATACAATCATACTCTCACCTATGATGTTCGTTGGTAAAGACATAGAACCTTTTTGTTTCATTTGCAATGAGGTCTCGTATCCTTTTGTAGGAAGGCAAACTCCTGTGTTTGACCTGAAAGAAAAATGATAGGATGATATTACCAAAACTCCATCAAGCTGTCAAGGATTAAGAATATGTTAAATTAAAGTCCCAAATTGTATTTCACATTAATTTATTCATGCATTTCATGTAAATAAATGAACTATTACTATTAAAGAGAAGGTCGAGTTCTGGGAAGAGGTGAAAAATAATTTGTGAGCGTTTTCATTCTTATTATGCAAGTGTGGAAGAACATCAGATAAGACATGCTCCCTGAAAAGCATGGCTCTTCAAATGCCTTCATATTCTAAATATGTCATGTAACATCGTAAAACTCGGGACGGAATGTTACGCCACGTGTTCGTGTAGTCCCATATACATCTTTCTGTGTACAGTGTTTGTAACTTTACCAAGACTTGGCCAAATTTCTTATCATTTTGATGATTCCAGAACCTTGCAAATGCAATACACACAAATTCTTATATGCTAGATGATCAACCTTTTCTGGTCGATTCCACACCGTTTCTTTCACAATGCAATCGCATGATCAGAACTCAACTTCATCTTTAAACAGTGTCAAGCAAAACAACCTGAAGAGCAAAAGAGGGTAAACATTCATGGAATGACCTAATTTATACAAATCTATATATTACTAAAACTAAATGCAATGAAAACATACATCAACTTTGATGATCAAATGATGAGCCTACATTCTATATTCTAGGCAGGGCTACACAAAAACAAGGTCCAGACTTGAGGGCAAATATTGATTTGATTTCAGAAACCTTCAACATTTATCCATAAAAAGATATCCATGAAACCCTTATTATATACCATATCCTTCATCCGCAATTACCCATCTACCCCCCCCCCCCCACGACGGCCTCCATTTCCGGTACGTAGTAACTTATATTTCTGATGAAATGTATACCTCCTTCTGGACTGTTTGCAGGAGAATGACATTTTTAATTGCTTTGTCTTCAAGTATATCCACCTGTAAAAATAGAGGAAAGTTAAAGATTATGAGTAAACAAACAAAAATACCTTCACTATACTTGATCCATATACAGAAAGCTATGTTCATAAGTTCAGGATTGGAATTGTTTGCAGGCCTATGCGATTGGGCCATGCGATTGGGCCATGCGATTGTCTCAAATAAAAACAAAATTAAAATTAAAAAGGAAAAATTTGTTCAGCAAAATTAGCAAGTATTAAACGTCTAAAAAATAACATTATTATTTATTTCATCAATTTTAATTTTACCCAAGACTTGCTACCAATGCCAATGGACCCTCAACGATCAACCTTTTATGAAAACCTTTTCTGTCATTTCTCACATAAAAATCTATAGACTCTAATAAAATTAATATTTCAGCAAAATTAGGCCGGAGGAATAATTCATTGCACAATTGCGAATTGCAATATTTCAAGTGCCAACTAACTGTTCATTGCCATTAGTCCATACTGTATAATTTCCAAGCTTAAGGCTAAACTAAGAAACTAACCTGATGTAAAACTACATTCGTGTCAAGTAAGAGATAATGAGGGTAACTGCACAATGTGTTTTCCACTTCAGGCACAGGCTCCTTCTCCAAAACGGGTTTGTCGATCGGGCACTTTGTACAAGCTGCAGACCCACACCAGATGTCGTCTCTCAGATAGTGCTCTCTCACCACCTTCATAACTCCCCCTTTCCGGGTTTTCTTGACAAAACTCCTGGAGGTCAACATGATTGGTTTATTCAATAAAAGTAATGATTTGAGAGATGTAAATTAGAGTTTATTTGTCCACTGATCGTTAACCCACAACAGCAGCACGCGTTTTGTACGTGTTTACAATATTTTCTTCATGATGGTGTTTTCAATACTCAAAACAAAAAAGAAAAAATCTCTTTCCGATGAAGTACCGTACCCACGTAGTACGTCGCGCCCGCGCCCGCCCGCGAATTTTTTTTCCGTACTCGAGAGAGCAAAAATCCCATGTGCGCATGCGCGTGGACTTATGATTTCTCTGCTACTTCCCATACGAAATGTACATGTATTCGCATGTACTGTGCACGATTCGCGTTCTACGAGTAAACGATGGCATAGTAGTCTTCAAACACAGACTCTGATTTGCCAGTTTGACAAATCAATATGCGTATGTGTCGCGATGTGCTTATTCAAGTCTGTGTAGTTGTATGATTCAGACCCAGTAGTGCATATGGAAATACATTGCAACTTGTATAGAATGGTATAGTAGTCTGCAAGCACAGACGCTAATCTGACAGTTTGACAACATACTAGTAGTGTGCTGAGAAGTACTTTATTCAAGTCGCCAACTTGTATAGAATGGTATAGTAGTCTGCAAGCACAGACGCTAATCTGACAGTTTGACAACATACTAGTAGTGTGCTGAGAAGTACTTTATTCAAGTCTGCGTAGATGTATGATAAGTTGAGGTGCATTTCCAATACACGCACCAGTAGGGTCTGAATCATAAAACTACTCAGACTTGAATAACACTATTTTGTCAAACTGTCAGATTAGCGTCTGTGCTTGCAGACTACTATGCCACTCTGCAAGTTGAGATGCCTTTCCAATACACGCACCAGTAGGGTCTGAATCATAAAACTACACATATTTGAATATAAAGCACTACTCAAGACACTATGTTGTCAAACTGTCCGATTAGCGTCTGTGCTTGCAGACTACTATACCATGCTATTCAATTTGGGATGCATTTCTGTAAGCACTAAAATGTCTGAATCATACAACTACTCAGACTTGAATACTAGTACTTTTGCTACGCACGATATATGCGTAATTGTTTTGTCAAACTGGCAAATCAGAGTCTGTGTTTGAAGACTACTATGCCATCGTTTACTCGTAGAACGCGAATCGTGCACAGTACATGCGAATACATGTACATTTCGTATGGGAAGTAGCAGAGAAATCACAAGTCCACGCGCATGCGCACATGGGGTATTTGCCCTCTCGAGTACGGAAAAAAAATTCGCCGCCCGCCCGCGCCCGCTCCGTCCGCTTTACCGTATACCTAATTAATCCGGAAGTCTATGAATGACCGATAATCGACTCGCGACTCAGCTCAGCCCTCATAGAAATAAGGAAGGTAAAATATAAGTGCTTGTTATGAAATGAAAGTTATGACGATGGATGTTTTGTAAGAAAGATTGTTGATGTTGTTGTCGTGCTTTGATTAAATCTGATGAAATTGTGCGTCTAGAAAAATGGGCAGAAAAACCCAGCCGTCATGCATTGAGTGCCTAGTGCCTCTACTGTAGTAGCTAGTGCAAATATGCAGTGGAGGATTATTGTAGTGACACTACACTGCACTGATACAGTGAGTGAGTGATAGTGACAAAGTAGCTGGAGTGTCAGAGCTGAGCAGTGGAGGGAAGGGGTCACTGCCTCGCGCATCTCGTTGGATGTTTCTACATAAATCACTTTGTCTTTATCACTACTATTGTAGATAGGGCTAGGCGATTATAAGAAATTTTTATCACCTAGAGTAGTGGCTCTGGTCTGCGGCCGATCGGCGGGAACTGCCGATTCTATTTTTATTGGAATACTCACAGAATACTTCAATACCCTCAATAAAGAGTCCATATACTTACTTATTAAATAGAAGTCACAAATAACCTAACTGACCCACAGCGTGGTCAGCATTGACCACGTTTCGAAATGCTTCGAGTTCCCCGGTTTGCGGGCACGCATTACCGGTTTGCGGCACGCGTACGTCACAAAGCTTTATGCGCTACGTCACGATGAAAGCATGTACCAAATTACTACGGGTAACCCAAATTCTCATGTTTATCTGTTGCTACGGTAAATTTGTCAAGTTTTAAACAATTTCACCTTTTCCTCGAATGGATCATCCCATCCGGGGGTAAGTACTACTAGAAACTATCGGGTCATAGCGGGTACACACATCAGCACACATACCATCATACACGATCCCGCATGTTATGTGTGTATTAACACCCCCCGCCGCAAACCAGAAAAAACACGTAATTACGTGCCGGTTTGCGGCCACCCCATGCAACTGGCCATGCGGTGGCACAATCAAAATATCTGCGATAGGAGACAGACCACAGCCATCATACTTCCACAAAAACATCAAATTTCACCTCCAATCGGACAAATATCGGACAAATAGAGCTACAATATTGATCTAGTCATGCCTCAATCTCTTAACTTAAAAGTTAGCACCTGCTGGAATTTTCATCGGCGACTGGCGCCGTAGATTTCCGACATCGCTGACGGATACTCCGTACCGACAGGAGCACCTGCTACGGACGTTTTCGGCAAAGCAGAACTTACCGTGGAATCCACGGTAGGTTTCAATGATTATTATCGAGTCATATTCATTTTATTTTTAAAACAAATACCCCTGGCCGCAAACCGGGCGATGCCGCAAACCGGAGACTCTACTCTAGGTTAGCCTTAATTTGGCACCCATACCCAGGCCCAGAGCTGAGGCCTAGCCCCTGCTACTGTGTGAAGAGTGACCATGTAAACAAAACCTAAATATGTGTTAGCACAGGCCTTCTCAACTAGTTTATTAGAAGTGCCAAAACGAAAAGAATTTGTAGTTGAAGTGCCACCCTGTACGGTTGACTGTGCTACGAGGGAGCGTAACGACCGAGCCAAAAATTGGTAAAACACGATAAATTCCCCTTTCTTCTTGTTTGTTAAGCAGGCATTTTGGGCTCAAATTTGACTGCAACTTCTTGATTTAGCCGAGTATTTAATTCTAAAATATATTTTTTCTTTCTTTCTTTCTTTTGTTATGTTGTTGCAACAGTCGTGCGCCACTCCGACTGACCGCAAGCGCCACAAGTGGCGCACGCGCCGCCAGTTGAGAAGGCCTGTGTTAGCACTAGTTAGCAGTCACTTTGAAATCTGTCAAGAATCTAATCAAAAATATGAAAATTTGATGCTGGAGTGATAGAAATTTGCTTACCTCTTATCAGAGTTTGCAATGTTGGTTCTACCTGAAATGCAAATACACTCTGTGTACAGAAAGAAAAGAAAATTGTTTTCACATTGCCAATTTGTTTTTGATACTTAATTTATGCTAATATTAGTAATAGCAATTAGTGTAAAAAGACGCACAGACGGCGATCTCCATGTATGCGCCTTGGCATATTTAACTAATCACTATTATCGTAAAGTGTTTGAGCAGTTGGAATCTGTCAAGGTAACAGCCATAGAAATCAATTTCATCATTAGACTTCAAGATTAACTTAATTAAAGTGTGAAAATACAGTGTTTAACAATACAGATTGCTCTTCTTCTATTTTCAGATTGAGAATTAAAATCAAAAGGTACATGAGTCCAGTGGGAGTTAGTCAAGATGACAGCCATTCGACATACGCTCCAGCGTGACGTCTTCCTACCCAATGATGAACGTCTGATCGGGGTTGTCCACGTCTCAAAAGCTGGCAAGAAGAAGAAAGTTAGCTTCCTCTGTGCTACAGGTTTGTGAAAACACATCTACCAGTTCTATGTATGGCCTAAATGAGTCCAACTTTTTATTTGTATTTTAATTATTATTTACTCTGCATTTTCAAGAAATACAACAATGAAACAATATAAACAAGGTGATTACAAAATTAGAGTGACAACAATTATACAAATACATTAAGCATTTAACTTCATCCTGGACTTCATCATCATACAGCTTTCTTATAAAGGTTATCTCAGGATGCTGCACGCCTGCACAAAACATCTCTTTTTTTTAAGTTAAGTTGGAGATTGATGGAAGATACATCATAGTGATCGATGAGCAATTTCAAGCCAAAATTTGGTATTCTCATTCAAAGAATTGTTTCCACAGGTCTATGAAAAATGTTCTTTGTTAACTTACATGTATCTGAATTGCATGCATGCCAATTTTTTCATGAATGCAAAACTTTGAGATTGAAACTGATAATTCCCTATACACTATAACTAAAATTTAATTCAAATAAGTCTTCAGATTAGCAGTATTTTCTAAATAAATAACATTTCATTAAAATTTTTAAATATTATGCCTGTTTGCTTTACAGTGACTACTGACCAACCTGCCCAGGTATGCCTTCACAAAGTGAAGAAGACAGATAAAGATGCTTACAAGAAGAGACAGTCATGGCCATTAGCTGAGCTCAAGATATGTGATGGAAAAGATCCCAAAACTGTGAGTAACAGGTCTTATATATGTCCCTGTTTGAGCAAAAATCTCCTTTTTGCCATCTTTCTGAAACAATGTCATTGGTCTACTACATGGACTTTACCAGTGCCTTTCGCATGAAGTGCTTATAACAAGCTTAAGTAACTTTCAGGTTAAACAAAGGTTAAGTTCTTCCTGACAAGGGTAGTGACAAGTATTGGTTAAATATGTCAAACATAATGTCAGCATGCTGAAATGCTCTGCACCAGGCTCCCCCATTGTTACCATGTGATTATACAAGGACAAGATGCTCAATTTGAACCAAGAGTATTACAAATATCTGCTCAAAACTTTGAGCAAAGATACTTGATACTTGTGTACATTAACTTTGGTTTCTTCATTCAAGGGTAAATCAGATCCACAATGGCTAGGAGGAGCAGTACAGAGAATCATTCTACAATCTAGTTCGTTCCAACACTTTATCCTTCTGTGTTCATGTATTTGACAAAACCATATGATTGATGATAGCTTCATGTGTGCAAATACCAAAATTATATAATTTCTTATGTTTTTCCTTTGATTTCTTGTTGCATGTGTGTAAGTATAGTATTTAATAGTTAATTTTTCCTTCTTTTTGGTCATATTTTAGGATGTTCCTGATTTTGACCTTCATTTTGAGAAGGTATACAAGTGGATAGCAAGCAATGTAGCAGAGAAGAACGCTTTCATGTCATCACTTTGGAAGGTAAGTGTACTGGATTCTTATTTCGAGGTAGATGAATGATTTCCAATAGGCCATTTTTGTAATGTAATCAAATTTGATGCGAAAAATCTTTGTTAAGGGCCTCTTATAAATTATTTCATTCACTTGTTACAAATAATTGTATTTCAAAAGTCAGAATGCAAATTACATACATTCTCTGTTGTTAGGTAGGACAAGCTATAATGTTTGTTTTACCTAGCAACAATTAATTTATGCAATTTGAATGCTGACTATTGAAATTCAATTATTCGGTGTTGGTGTTGAGAGCGTGGAAAGGCTGCTGAAGCAAGCTCAATTCAATTCAAATTCAAAATTCAAATAATTTATTCACTCAATATAAAAAACAGACACATAGAATTGCGAATAAACGCATACATGTATAACAAATATAAAAAGATGGACATAGCAAAATCAGTAGATGACAACACAAATAACATAAATTGAGTGGGGACAGATTAAAGATCTACTCAAAGATCTTGTGAATTCGACCCTTTAGAATAAAATAAATTGCATTGTATACTGTTGCATGTACAACAACAGGAGGGAGAGAATAAATATACAGCTACAGCTGGGTCAGAGAGAAACAAGAGAGGGAGATAGATAGAGAGAGAGAGAGAGAGAGAGAGAGAGAGGGGAAGAGGAAGGAAAATTGAAGGAGAGAAAGGCAAGATGAGAAGTAAAGTTAATACATAGGATGAAATTAGACCCAAGCAGAATAATAGTACATACAAAATAGAAAATAGAAATAACAATTATAAAAAGAAAAAACCCATACAAACCAGGGATATAACAATTAACATTGACATAAACAACAAACAACAGGTGACTCAATGTGGATAAGATTGTAGAAGCCTTTCTTTGTATTGTCTCTTGAAAACATTCAGAGAACATGCAGATTTTAGATAAGGTGGCAATGCATTCCATAGTTTGGGACCTGCATAGGAAATTGTCTTTTGAGAAACTGAAGTTCTTGCATATGGGATGTGAAAGTCTGCATTTGAACGAGTACAGTGGGAGTGGATTGAAGAGTTAATGGAAACATAGCGAGTCAGGGATAATGGCAAGATCTGTCTCTGACAAGAGAACATAAAAAATGGCCAGTCTTAATTTATACAAATCGAATACATTCAAGATTTTTAATTGAGTAAATAAAAGTTTAGTGGAGGCAAGGAAAGGCATTTTACAAATTATCCTCACTGCTCTTTTTTGCAATCTATATACTCTCAACATTTTTACTTGAGAAGCTGAGGCCCAGACAATATTGCAATATATAAGAAAAGGGTAAATGAGTGTGTAGTAAAGAGATAACAAAATATTTCTAGGCAGATAGTTTACTTTGTTCATTACACCAATATTTCGTGAAATTGTTGTACATATGTAATTTACATGGTCATGCCAACGCAATTTGTCATCAATTTGAATTCCTAGAAATTTTGTGTTTGATACTATTGTGATTTCAGAGCCATTTAGATATACCTTATAGTTGGAAATATCAATATTTCTTTTGGTGAAAATCATCATGTGAGTTTTGTTTGTATTAAGTAGTAGCTTGTTAAGTTTGAGCCAATGGGCGACATGTTCTAGTTCATGGTCTAAAGTTTGAATAAGGGTTGCTTCATCTTTGTTTGATAAAGAAATTGTAGTGTCATCTGCAAAGAGGACATAACTAAGTTTGGAAGAACATTTATGAATATCATTTATATATATTAGAAAAAGTAGAGGGCCTAGAATTGACCCTTGCGGAATTCCGCATGAGATTTTTTGCATATCAGATTGGTTTTTATTGTAAACAGTGAATTGTTTTCGGTCATCTAAATAGCTCTGAAACCATTTCAAAGGGATACCTCTGATGCCTAAACAGAATAGTTTTGCTAATAATATTTTATGATTTAAACAATCAAAGGCCTTTGAAAGATCCAAAAACACACCGATAGATATATCTTTAGCATCCATAGCTCTTGTGATAGTATGAATAAATTCAATGAGAGCAGAAGAGGTTGAGTGTTTTGACCTGAAGCCAAATTGATTACTGAAAAGCAACTGAAATCTTTCAATGAAAGTGATAAGTCGATTGTACATGCATTTCTCAAGAATCTTTGAGAATATAGGAAGGAGAGAAATTGGCCGATAATTTGAATACAGATTAGATTGACCCTTCTTAAATATTGGAATAACCTTCGCAACACTGGTGGTCATTTTAATAGGACGATACCGATCACGTTATCGATAGCTCAACACCAAGTGATGTCACACCTTCACGCGAAAAGTCTCGATAATGAAATTGAAATCAGGGCGAAATAACATTCAAATTTTATCATACAGAATATAGAATCTAAGTCATATTAAAAAAACAAAAGTAAGATATAATTTCTCTTAAAAAACATATATGGCTTCCATGATTCAAGTTATTTTGATTGTACATTTGATTTTACCTTGGCGTGATCGTGAGATTCGTGAGAGATGCCCGCTTAGTTACCTGCGATATGCTGCAACACCAACACCAACACCGAACTTGAAATCATGAAATTCCCTATCCCTAAGGGCAAATCATCAACACCAACCGTGATACTCTCTTCAACAGACGACATTCAACACCAGCCTTCAATACTGACTACCGGAAATACGTCACATTTTCTGAGGTTAATCCCAACTCCAGCCGCAACACTGAACTTGAAATCACTCATTGTAATCTCTCTCTCGCTCTCTCTCTCTCTCTCTCTCTCTCTCTCTCTCTCATAATCTCTCTCATAATCTCTCTCTCTCCTCTTTTTTTTTCTCTCTCTCTCTCTCTTTCTCAATGTCTCTCTTTCTCTCTACAGTTGAGTCAACGATACCTGAAGCAGCTGAAGAAACCAGATTTCATCAATGTGAAGCCAGCTCTTCTGGAAGGTACGTTTCTATGACAACATGAGCCCTTTCTAGATTTCAGAAGAATATAATAATGAAAGAAAAATACACAATGTTGCCAATTTGAGAGAGAAATTTTAATTCATTAAATTAAAAAGAATTCTCTCCTTGAACAATTTAAAGTGGCCATCCAAAAATACATATTTCCAATCTTGTATTCATACTGAAATGAAAAGTAAAAGACATAATGCGGTACATAAATTGTAGCCACTTTGAAGAGGAAAGTTAATTCATGCAGCTCTTTAAAGAATTCTGTGTTTATAATAGATGATCTAAAGTAATAATTTGTTTAATTCTACAGACTTGTGTTTATAGTGAAATATTTTGTTAAAGTTTTTTTTTAGCTGAATTTAAACTTTTTGCTGAATTGCAGTCATTTCAATAAAGTGACTCGGTAACATACCTCAAATTCTGAAACAAAATCCTGGATTTAGCTCATGCTGCGATCATAGTTATAAACCTTTAGGTCATTCAGGAATACCATGACTTGTACAAGCCGATCCCCTGTCTGATTATCAAGATATTTATGATTGGAAATCAAAATTTAATTTGCGTTTTCCTAACAGTTTTTATAACACTACAGTTTACTGGGGAAAATGAGGATGGAAAAACAGTCACTTCAAGATTATTACTTTTTTGAGGCAATGATCATTTTACAGCACAATTTTTTTAGGGCTTCAATATTTCACCATATCACAGACACTGATAGCACGTAGGGCCATGCATCTCAGATTTGACACTGTTAAACGATGCCTTTAATGATTCTTTTTGTTCTTCTTCAGAATATTTATCGTTGGACCAAGCTAAGGTAGCTCAATCCGAGGATGATCTCAATAATGAAGATTACCAGGCGTTATCAGGGAGGGAAGAAGCAGACCTGGAGAGGATGATGGCAGAATGTGAGTTTGCTATCGGCAACGCTGAGGCTTTCATTGAACGCTTGGCCAATGACTTGTCCGTTCTGGATGGGGTAGGTACATGTATGAATGGAAAATCACAGAATTTAGCGGCTTTTTATTGATGGCTGTTTCATACCCCAAAATTGATATCAATTATGAATTCCAGATGTTTTATGTTTTGATTCACTTACTTGACAGCATTAAATTTTATTGATTGTGATATTTGCCAGATTTTCATGCCCACAATGTTTCTGGTTTTAAAGTACTTATGCCAAGCATTTGTACATTTCATACATTTTTCCTTTTTACAATTTTTGCAAATTCATGCCTTATTTACTGGTATACAAATTGAACACCTACCAGAAAACTTTTGATCAGTAGATTTAAAAGTCACAAAGCCTATACATAAAGTCAATGAAACTTGTCAGATAAAGCATTACTTTATGTAGCATATAACAGATAAGTCTGTTGAACTTTGTTAAGATTTTCTCATATTTTTGTAAAGCAATACATTTAGAGTTAACTTGATGTATAAGTGAGATCAAAACAACTTGGTCTTGAATTTCTTGAATGATAGTGAATGACCTTTGACCTTTGTTCCTCCATCAGGCCAACATTCACTCTATCATAGAGTCCCAGCAGGAGGTGGCTAGACTCATGTTTCTTCTAGATGATAGCTTGAGGGAGGTCAACAAGGTCGATTCCAGTCTGGATGAATATGACAAGATGTTAGAGGTAAGTACATTCAAATCTGCGGAGGTGCCGTGATATAGAGGTTCATTCACTGGACTCTTAAAGGTATAGACCAGTTTTGGAAACGCCCCCCTCTCAAAAAATGAAATGGAAGCTCTTATTACCAATCATGTGAAATAATATATTTTGACTAATATGTGATGATACAAATTTTTCCGGGAAACCGCCTACTAATTGATATATTTGGTAAATTATTATATCTATCCGGACTGGATAGATATCGTGTAGACCCAAATACATCTTCTTGTGTACAGTGTTTGTAACTTTACCAAGACTGGGCCAAATTTCTTATCACTTTGATGATTCCAGAACCTTGCAGTACACAACAATATGCTAGATGATCAACCTTTTCTGATGGTTTCTTTCACAATGCTATCGCATGACCAGAACTGGTCTATACCTTTAATCCAAAGGTCAAGGGTTTGAATCCCAGCCCAGCATTAACATCCTTTGGCAAGACATGAATCCACATTTGCCACTGTCTGCCCAGATGTTAAATGGGTACCCCGTAGGATACGAAAGCTATTATAGTTTGCTCAGCATTGTGACCATCTGTATAATGGCAGCTGGCTGGAATGCTCCTCAAGGAGTGGAGAATGTGCATACATTGTGTGCGGGCAAGCCTGAATCCACTGACTTGGCTAAAGATATATCAGAAAAGTGCCTAGAGACATCGTTGATGTATTAAAGCGCTATGTAAACCCAGGATCTGTCACTCTGCCATTCTAATTCTTTTATTCAATTGACATTTGAGTAATGATCTGACAGTCTCTTCCCTTGGTGTGTAGTATCCATTAATATTGGGGAAGAATTTGTTTTTGATTTTTTGTAACCAAGAATAATAAGCCTATCTCTGAATCCACAATTTGGTCATTCCTTTCATATGGAAGATATGTGTTATGACATCTGGTATGAAAAAAAAAATTGCTTAAATAACTCTTTACACTGTATGTGTGGTTCACTAAAAAACTGTAAAAAAAGAAATTTCCCTTATAACCAAGATTCATGAAAGTGTCATGCTGTAAATTAGATGAATCACTTTCCTGAATCTTTTCAATGCACAAAGTAATGAGGTACTAAAAACAACCAATGTGTACAATGAGCGAACATTTAATCTTGCCAAAGTTTCTGGTCTTACAAAATGTTGAGTAGAAATAGGTCCATTTGAGACCAGGGGGTGTTTCACAAAGATCCTAAGTTGGACTTACAATTATGGAAAGCCGTTAGCATCTTTGAAAATATTTTAGATTTTTTTTTTTAAAAGGCATACAAAAATGTTGATTCAAATCATTCATGTTTTCTATTATCAAGGAGATTTCATGTTTTTGATGTGGAATTTATGAGAAGTCTAAAAAACTTGAATTTTCGTTTTTGAATATATTTTATTTTAAGGCTACAAATGTCGCTCCATAATGTTTAAATCCAACATACAGTTAAGTTCAACTTTGTGAAACACCCCCCTGGAACCAGTAATAACCGGTGTGTTGGCTCAGTCAGTAGAGTGTCCGCCTCACAACTGGGAGGTCGTGGGTTCGAACCCCGGCCGCGTCATACCAAAAGATGTTAAAAGACAGGAGTTGCTGCTACCATGTTTGGCGTTCAACAATAAGGGATAGAGCAACGTCGATCTGGCGCTGTTCAGTGGCTGCCGGGCTCACGATCAATTGGGCAAAAAGAATTTCCATTTTCGGTTTAATTTAATAAAATTTGGAGTGGACTTTAAAAGATTATTATTATTATTATAACCCAATTTTTTGTCTCCAGGGTGTGCGGGTCCACATGGAGATCATGGAGCAGAAGGATTCCATGATCCAGATCCAGAGCCAGAATCACGGCCAGCTCCTGAGCGGCGTTGAGACCATCATGCAGAAGCTAGACATGCCACACCAACAGCAGCTAGCTCTCCTAGACAGGGATCTAGGATCACCCAAAGGCATCATGGACTGTACAGCTGCAGCTCAGGTCCTCCAGGAGAAAATGGATGCAGAACTTTTACCAGGTTTGTGGTCTTTAAGGATACAGCCAAACCTATCTATAGCGACCGCCCAAGGGAAACACAAAAAGTGGCCTTTGTAGACAGGTTCCTTTAGTACATGATTCAATGAGAAACTATTTTCAAGGGAAATAACAAATGTGGCCTTTGTAGACAGGTGGTCACTAAAGCAGATTTGACTGTATATATATTTTCATTGAGGTATCCAAAAAGTATGGAGATGTATGTCAAGAACCATCAAACCATTTAATAAAGCAAATGGGGCTGTGTCAAGAATTCAAACTAGGAACCTTTATTATTAGAGATTAACATCCTAAGAACAGAAATTAAAGTTCAGACGATTAGGTTTTCCATATTAGAGTAGAATTTGCAACTTCTAAAAGCAAACCTGTCTGTGGCCACTATTAAACAAGCCTATTCATTGTACAAAGATTGTCTCTTAAAGTGACTTGGTAACATTGTTGAAGGTTGATGAAAAAAATTGCTTAATTTTTGTATAAATGTTACTTACTATATTCCTTCTACTGTACTAACCCTCTGACATGCCAAACAATCCTGAAAAAATTCTCAAACCACAAAGATATCTATGGTTTTCTTTGAAGGTGTCGATGTATGACACCCTCTTATATAGGGATTAACAGTAAATTCTCCCAATCATTTTTGAATTTTCCCAACCGTTTTTCCATGAAAGAATGATATAAAACAGGCTATAACAAAATCTGTCAACACTTGAATGTCTGGAATGGAATGTAGAGCCATTTTATTGCTTTGTGAGATTTCCATTCACCTAAAATGTAATTAAATTGTAATAATATAGTTGGGAGAATTAAGGAATCGATCAGATCAGTTTTTCCCAATTTGTACAATGAATAATGGTCTGTTTTCGCTCAAATTTTCAGATTATCTTTAATTGTACATCTAGCATTGAAGTCACTACCTTAACACCACTATCTCTCATCTGAACAATGTTACAAAGTCCCTTTAATTTCTGCTCTTACTTGAATATCTTCCAGGTCTTGGTAAGATGCGTGCAGTGGTAGAACAGAGAGAACTCTTGACCAACCTCCAGGAGAAGTTTGCACAAAGGCTTGCCATTCATCTTAATAACGTCTTTATACAACAGGTAAGTGGAACGATCCAAAGGCTAAATTGAAGAGTATAAAGCTTACAACATCAGGGGTCGCGCTGTGACGTCCATGTAGAAAAAGTGCTGGAAATTGAATAAGGATTGTTCCATTGATTCTGCATAGATAGTTTTATACATACTGGAACAAAGGAATTGTTGCCTGTTTAACCATTGATGTCATAAGCTACTGTAATTCATGGTTATGATGTTGATGTAGGGATGTTTTCCTATCATTCTGTGGTTTGGTATGTACAGCATCTGCCATTTAAGACGAAGGTCACAGGTTCAAATCCAGATGACTGAAGCCTATGTTGTGTACAAATGTTCCCTCGATTTGATGAAAAATTCCAATATGTTTGTTAAATTTGGATAACCCATATTCTTTGCACTTTAACACCAGGCACGGATCCAGAAATATCTCGCCGGGGGGCACACATATATTTATAATTTTTAGTCCCCCAAAAAATCGCAACGACTCAGCCAGCCGCTGAATAAATGGGGGGGGGGGAAGAGGACACTTTTTTCTTTTTTTTTTGTCACAAATTTTTTTAATTTGACATTTTGCTCCGTTGGGGGAGGGGGGGTAAGAGGGGGGGCACGCCCCTGGTTTTCAGTACATTTTGGTCGAATATAGGGCAGATTTTAACATATTTTGGGGGGCCGGGGGGGCACGTGCCCCCTGTGCCCCCCCCCCCCCCTGGATCCGCCACTGAAGACTACCATGCACACCTAAAAGGGAAAAGTAAAACTAATTTTTAGGTCACCTGCCTAGTCCAATAATTGATTAATCAATCAATCAATCATTACCCTGAGCAGATGACTGAATCCTGTGTTGTGTACAAATGTTCCCTCCAATTTCCCAGAGATGCAGGCAAGGAACAATGATGAAACGTTTCCAATTAATTTGTTTAGATAACCCTTATTAATTTATTCTAAAGAGGATGTAGCATGACGAGTCTACAGGTCTTTCCCGTGGCCTGACTCAGGGGCCAATCGGGAATAATACGACTACGGACGACGCGACCGCAGCATTCATGTGCGTGCAACATACGCGAAACCGAAGTGTGAGGAAAACTTCGGTCTGTTTCACGAATGCTAGCGAGCGCTGACCATGTAGAGTACCGTTAATCAAGTCCATCGTTTACGTGCAGTTGTCCAAAAGAAGACGTAAATGGCGTTAATCAGTATTTGCCAAGCTACACCCCCTTTAAGAGCACCATGTAGTCCTTTAGAGGTAAAGTAAAATAAATTTTATTTCACCTGCATAATACATTTAGATCAATCACTTTGGTCTCGGGTGAGGTTGTCAGATGCAATAAAATAGACATGGTTGTTTTTTCTGGTTTACAGGGAGCAGACATGAGTGAGATGATGCACACGCTGGGTAATCGTCTGACCCTCCCTAAGCATTTCACCTTCCACCGAGATCTCATCCCCTATGCTGAACTCATGCAGTGGCTCAGGAAGGCAGATCGCACAAGTTTCCAGCAACTTGGAAAAGTAAGTTTGACTTGTCTCGTTATGCATGATATATCATTGTGTTGTTTTTTTCTCCAAGTTGTTTGAAAGGCTTGGACCCACTCTGTTTCACCTAGTACATTGGGTGTTGAGAGGCACAGGGGGATAACTCTGCTGTATAGTGGCGGTCAAAAGGTATCAACACTTTTACTGGAGATGCGAAGGTTATATGTTCAAACTTGTTATGTCCCTTATATTGTTCTTGTAGGACTTCACTAGATGATATGATAGATTTCCATTAGCAAGCTATTATACTAATTAGATTGATAGCTTCCAATGTAGTTAAACAAATATTTAATTGAAATCAGAACTAGCTGAACATTCAAGCAATAAATTCATATTTTGCATAGTTTTTAGAATTACCTGTATGTTATTTTTGTATTCTCATTAAGCGGTCAAAGCATTATTATTGGTTTTCCCTTCTGATATGCAGATCTATACTCTGTTGCAGCACAAACGTCCTTTGGCAAGGCATTAATCTATATTTGCCACACTCCACCCAGGTGTGGTAAATGGGTACCTGGCAGGAAGTAGATCCTTGATACTCCTGAGCCAGGGTAATAATAATGGAGTGCTAGGAGTGGCAATGTGCCAGACATGAGCGCTCTATAAAACTCCACTTTTATTAGTAGTATTATTACTTTCTTCCTTCTGCTATCATTTTTAGATCTACACAGACAACTTGAAGAAGGTGTATGAGAGAGAATTGAAGGACTTCTTTGAGAGAGCTCGGCAGGCCGTCATGATGAAGGGCAAGACTGCTGATATCAAGAAGTATGGTCTGAAGGGAGACAAGGGCAGCACCACCCCGGAGCCCTCCAGGGGAGGGGCCAGGACCAAGACCGGTACCCCATCCCTGCAGGAGTTCTCAGCCAACCTGAAAGCAGCAGAGACAGACCTCAATGAGAAACAGAAGTTTGATATGGTAGGTCAAGGTCGTGACTGCAATCACAATGTTTTATCCATGCATGAGACATCTGGGACCCTGTTTCATAAAACATTTTATCAATAACAAGTTACAATAAATGTTATAATAAGTTACTGAAATCTTGCCATCTGATTGGCTGAGAGCAAATTTGTCATAAAAATTTAGCTCTTGTTATTGATAACAAGTTTGAGGAAATGGGGCCCAGATACTCATACCAAGCACGGAGGGTTTCAAACGAACAATACCAAGGGCCACCTCTTTGAGACAAGGGTATCATCAAGAGTAGAGATGTCGTGGTCGAGTGGATATGTCACCGGACTGTGGATCACAAGGTCCGCGGTTCAAGTCCCACCGCGGCACTAATGTCCTTTGGCAAGTCATTGATCTACATTTGCCACTCTCCACCCAGGTGTTAAATGGGTACCCGGTAGGATGCGAAAGCTAATGTGCTTAGATTAGCAAGTGTGCACTTGTAAAAATGACGCCTGGCTGGAATGCTCCCCAGGGAGTGGAGAATGTGCATACATTGTGTGCGGGTAAGCCTGAATCCGATGACCGGGGTAATAATATATATATATATATCTGTAAAGTGCTTTGAGAGGGCCTTCGGTCCTGAAAAGCGCTATATACATGTAAGAACTAGCTATTACTTATTATTAAGAGTAGTAGATATGTCAGTGCAAGGTATGCCAAACTGTGCTTGCCCATTGACATTATTCTCCCTATGATGCTACAAAGCCAATTTACTGAGTTTGGACCAAGGGTAAATAATTTCCTGTCGAGAACCAAGGCTACACTAGAAGGTGGAGCTCACTTGTACTGACTTGACAAGTTGTCCCTACTCTGGTCCTGCCTTCCCTGGTTTGGGAAGTTCCTGCCGTTATGAATCAGTCTCTTTCTCTCTATGATCTTTACTTTCAAAACACTTTACTGAATTCTTAACCTTAACCCTCCACACAATTTACCAATACCTAACCCTCCTCCTAAATCTAACCTAACATCACCTAAAACCCAATTGCAACTCAAACCTGAATCCCGTGTCGGCCAAAATATTGTCTGGACTACAGGGAGCAAATGTTGGATCATTTGGATGAGAAGATCAAAAAGCGAGAATAAAGAGTGCATGAATTAAGCAATAACAATGTCTTTTCTTCTCATGTGCAGGTTTTCACTCAGCTGTTGAATGAGATCCAACCTATGTGCAACTCGGAACAAGATTTCTGTACAAAGTTCTTTGGCTATGGTCTGGATACAGAGGGCGTGGTAAGTCTTATTTATCAACAACAGAGCTATCTACTATACAGACTTTGCTTAACTCCGATATTGATAAATGGGCTGCATCCTGTTTCATTTTAATTTTGTATCACAGTTGAAGACAATGTTATTGTATCATATGTATTAAGCAAATAATAACTGTTGGTGAAGGTGATGGGACAAACTATCACTTCCGAGGCGGTTTGGATGTCTGAGGAAAGATAACGTGTACATTCAGATTGCCGAGGAAGTGATAGTTTGCCATTGCCTAAAAACAAAAGGTGATTATTTTCTTTATATTCCACCTTGGAAACATTCAACTTCTTCCATCATTTTAGAGTAACAAGTCATTAATTAACAGCTAGCAAACGGTGTACGATATGTACAATGCATGCAGTATGGTGGTGTGACCATAGTTCGCGTACTAACACTAAAAGCGCTTAAACAGGAGAGTAATACGTAACGTATTACAAGAAAGTGTGTGACACTGTGTAGATAGTACTTCTATCTTCACGGTGCAACAAACTTTTTTTCTCCCATCAATGATGGGCAAACTATCTTTCATCTCATGATTTACATTTGACCAATCGTAGAGCAAGATTCTTAGTATGTGGAATATAATATGTTTTATAGGTAGAATATGACTGTTGTACATTGAATTAAAAGTTTCCTTATATTTGGATTTGTTCACCTGAACTATTAGTATAAAATAACAATCCCCCCCCCTCTCTTTTTCCTCTCTTTATCTTCATTTTATTCCTTCCCACCCTGTCCCCCTCCACCCTCTCTCTCTCTATGTCTCCCTCCCTCTCTCTCTCTCTCCACTTCTCTCTCTCTCTCTCTATCTCTCTCTCTCCCTCCCTCTCTCTCCCTCTCTCTCTCTCCCCCCTCTCTCTCTCCCTCTTTATTGTCCTAATTCTACAGGATGCTGAATTCTTCCCCATGGCAGACCAGGTAGATGGAGGCTCGTTCAGCAGATACAAGAAACATGAAGGCCATGAGTAAGAAACACCCATCCTCCTATCCATACCCCTTCTTCTCTCTCTCTTTCTGTGACCCCAGGCGTGTGTATTGGAGCGCGCTATCACATTCTATTCCTGTGGCAGATCTAGGATTCCTTGACTGAGGAGGAGGAGGGGACGGGGGGAGTTATCAAATGTTCGCAAATTTGTGATTTTTCTTTTTCCACAGTGTCGTGCTCCTCCCAGAATTCCATATGAATTATGGTGATAAATTATTTTTTCATTAATGGTATTCATAATTTGATTTTAGGTGGTTGTTAGGTTGTTGGCTGTTGGCTAGGAGAGTATCTCATCTGGATTCAAAGCACATTTGTCATATGTTGATACCGAAAATGTGAGGCATATCAATAGTGCCCTTCAATGATGATGATGATGGTACTGTTCTCTCCTCTGGCTGTTGCAAGGATACACAACCCATGGTAGCAGGAATCAGAACATGTTATCACATCTTATTCAGTTTGCATCATACTGAAAGTGTTTTCTTTCACCGGTGATGATGATGATGCTCCTCAAGAATGAATTTAAGGTTACACAGTCTGTGAAATAACTTCTCTTGAATCATATTCTGTGTCACTTGTGCTGATACGGTTCACTTTCAGTGATGATGGAGGTGGTGGTGGTGTTGTTGGCGATGCATCCATGAATGATTGCTAGGTTAAATCCCCCAAAGGATGTCTCATCCTAAATTTGAGCACTTCATCAGGTGGGAATCACACTGATCGAACCTTCCATATCTAAAGTGCCTTGTACATTTCTTGCTCTGAGAGTGTGTTGATGTATTTGTATCATATTTGGTTCAGTGATATTCCTACTGATTGCACCATTTTGTTCTTCATGATGTTGGTGAATGGGTGATGTCTCTGGTAGTTACTTTGTTACTCTGAATCGGAGCATGTGGCCGTATTTTGCTCAAAGAATCATACATGGTGTGTAGCAGTTCCATTGATTAGGAGAGTTTGGCCAACTTGGTTTCACTGGTTTACAACATGGCGTATTTTCTTTTGTTTTGTGCTTGCCCAACAAAGCAGTAGTCGCCATATTGTGACTAACTCGAACTGGGTTGGCCAAACTCTGTGTATAGATGTCTCTGTGTGTGTAGATGGTAGTGCTGCCCTCTATGTGCGATGATAAATCTTCAAGGATGGTAACAAGATGTGGAAATGCCCAGCCAAGAAGACAAGAGGAGCATATTTCCCAAATAATCTGAACTTCATGCAAATAGGATCCATCCTGCAATAAATGCATCAGTGATCCTAGCCAAAATTCAATTCAATTGGTTTAAATTGATTGTGTTGTGTTGTCAATCCAAGGTTTTTATCCAAAGGTATCACCAAAATGACTGAAATTTTTATATACGGTAGGTTTTTAGGCTCATGGAATACTATTTTTATATCATCAATTGAATTTCTGACTCTTTCTGAATTTATGACATCATTTATTATATGTTGTCTTCTAATTCTTTTCTTTCATATTCTTTCAGATTATCTCCACTTTATTTTCATGTAATATTCACCCTTATTTTATTGTAACATACTTTCTTTCAAATACCTTTCTTTACATTTAATCTTTTTTATCATTGCATTTTCCCAAAATGTATGATGATTTTCACGTTATGATTTCTTCCTTCCATTGTGCTTTTGTTCTTAAAAGCTCATTCGTGAGATTTTATCATTTTTCTTTAGGGAAAGGAAAGGAGTTGCATTTGCATTAAACCCTGAGCTCAGGTAAGATCGAGAGCAGAACATACTCTGCTTGACTCTGTCCACGTTTGAATTGTTCAGCTTTATAGTGTTTTTCAAGCGTAATGGACTTTCATTGTGGCAGAATCAAAGGATAAAAGATTGTTTCTTTGCATTGCCTCAATGTATTACTGACTTGTTGCCATACACACTTCATATGCTGGGCACAACCATTGGTTCATATTTCTTCTCATAATTTCCTTTCTTTTTTGTTAGTATTTTTTTTCTTCTTCCATGTATATATGACAACGACCATGATTATAATTCTGAAAAGCTTGCACATATACTACCTTTTTATATTGATATTTTAAAATGCAAATTAATTGCTAGAAAGTTTAGATGCTTTGCAAGTAGAGTTAAGGCTAATAACACTGTTATCTGACATGTTTTATTTTCAAGCGTTATATGTGAAATAAAACAGCCAAGTTTGGCACTGAAGTAATTGAAATACTAATCCAGCTTTGAATTATTGGCAATAAGCAAATTGAAATGTTTCTCTAAAATCGTGGAGGTATGAATACTTTTAAGCTTATAATGCGTGTGAAATAAAATGGCCAATTTGAGTATTTACATAATTAATTCTTTTGGCAAAATATTAATCAACATTTGCCACTCTCCCCCCAGGTGAAGTAAATGGGTACCCGGTAGGAAGAAAGTCCTTGAATGCTTTAGAGCCTTATTATGGCATGTCTCAGCTACAGCCACCACTGATATGATACTTTCTATTAAAGCACAGTGGAGTATATTCATATAGTAGCTGCGATGTATAAATGAACTTACTATTATTATTATTATTCGTGAACGTGGCTATGAATTATAGTCAAACAAAATCATGAAGGTTTATGCAGACTCATGGCAACGTACTGTTTGCATGTGGTGCAGATCATTCAGAGGTTTTTTAACCATTTCAATATTGCTTTGCTTTTTATATATCCATATTCCTTTCTTTGCCTCGATCATTTCAAAGATCAACATTTAGCATTTTGATTTTATCATCATTATTTCCCTTGATATTGATATGAAAATTGTGATTTCAATATGATATAATTGTGATTTTGATATGAAAATTGTTGTTTTGATGTGAATAATGCAGCATGAGAATGCTGTGAAATAAGTGTTTTTTTATTGGTGTTTCCAGTTACTGAATTTTGTTTGCATTTTTCGTAAATTGATCGATCAAAAGTGAGGTCGACGGCAAGCTGACCACCCATGGAATGAGGTAACATTTTCTGTGGTAGACGCTAAAATAACCTTCTGTTTGCTGTTTCTAGCTCAGTGTGCTTCACCTTTCTGCCTTTAGAATCCTTTGTGTCCTATCAACATTAACAATGGGCCCTGTCCTGTAAAGAGTTGCGATTGATCCGGATTAATCAGTTGCAAACTTACAAAGTTCTGTCTTGGGTTTAGTATTGCGATTAATTTGAATCAATCACACTGTTTACAAGATGAGGTGTACATCAAGTTAGCCTAGCTAGGTTTAGAGAATAACTTTGTGAAGGAGCAGTGAGGGTTATATTTCTGAAAGTTTAGTTTTGTCCAGTTTTTAGTGGTCGAAATTTCTCACAGATATAATTGGTGGTTTGTAATTATATTAGCATGGAGGTGGTTTCAGCCTTCTTATTATATTTTTTTATTGGTAATGCATAGATGCCTTGTACATGATACTTTCTGCTTACTAGCATTATTTTAATAAGTTTTTTGGTGCTTAGTCCTTTTTAAGCCCTCATCACTTACTAGAGTATAATTCGATTCTGAGTGGATAATTGAAGGAGCACAACTCTGAAGAAGAAAAAAACACACATTAGGGTTGAGATATCATATTAATCATAAGGTTGATTCGTCATGGCCCTTGTATTCACGGACCTTGGTGTTCATGGGTCATATTCCCTAATAATGTTCCAAATCAAGAACAATTAATTCAAGTGCAATTTTCTTGATAGATTTGTAGCCATAATACATCTCTGCTTCCCTTCGTATAGGACTAGTTCTGTTAGCTATCCAGGATGCAGAATATTACCTCCTTCTATTTTCATAATTTTCCCTCTCTCGTTGCTACAGTATAGGACTAATTTTATTAGCTACACTTGATGTTCACATGCTATGTTTTTGTGTATCATATTCCTCTAACTAATTAGCTACTCATATTGTATTTTGATTATGTATGTTTTGTTTTGTTTTTGCAATATTATTGCATTAGTCTTTTTTATCCCTTGGATTAAGTATACAGCTAATTCTGTTAGATATACATAATGCAGGCACAATGTTCCCTTTATATATTTTAGGATTAAGTATTTGTTCCTAGATCTAACTGTTTTTGTACGGAAATTATATTTAGTATCACTGTTTTTTTTTAATAATGTAAATGGATTCATGTGATCTCATAGAAGGGAAATTCAGGAAAAGTGATTATAGCATCAAATACTTTCACAAAAAACATATATTATGTCAGGATTCCATTATATAAGACCTAATACTGCTAAGTAATTATCCACCTGGAAAACGGATCTTTCAAAATGTAGTGAAAAATGAAAATAGTATCACCTTGTGAAAATGATGTTGTGATCAAACACATGCAATTTTACTACCTTTTCTATTAATCACTTTACCTCTAGTCAGTGTTTTAAACGATAATTATGCTATCAAATTATTTATATGCACCTGTATTATCAATTCTGTATTAGATTGAGAGCAAATCGCTGCCCCTCACAGTGGTAGAAATCACTGATTTTGTTATTGATGTAGTCAATCCTTGCTTCTTTGTTGACTTGTATTCAAGTAAATTATGCCTCCCCAAGTTGTTTCCTTGAATTTGGGATGTACATTGTATACCGGTATGCATGCTCACTATGTTATCTACATGTATATATATCTTGGGTTTCGTTCACATATGGTGGTAGTTGGGATGTTAGCAAGACTTCTGTTCTCTTTATTCTCTGTTTACACTTGTCATCTGCAATAGTGCAACCACAGGTCTTATGATAGCTGGGGGGTGTTTCACAAAGATCCTAAGTTTAACTTATCTCTAAGTTGGACTCAACAATTATGGAAAGCTGTTAGCATCCTTGAAAATATTTTGTAATAGTTATTTTAAAAGGCATAAAATGTTGATTCAAATCATTCATTTTTTATATTATTATGGGAGATTTCATTTTCTTCATGTGGAATTTATGAAAAGTCTAAAATACTTGAATTTTTGCTTTTGAATATATTTCATTATAAAGCTACAAATGGCTCTCCATAATATTTAAGTCCAACTTAGAGTTAAGTTTGTTTTTGAAACATCCCCCCCCCCCCCCTGCATGTGACATTTCCTTTACAGCTGGAACAAAGGGAAAAGCTCTGCATTCAATTCCGTATCACATGACCTTCTATTATATTATACCATAATAGCAAATGTTGTTAATTCCAAATGCTTGCAGCCATGCTTAAATAGATGATGCTTAGAATTATTGGCATAGGCTATGATTCATTTTATTTGGTGATACCATACTCCTATTCTAAGGAAATTTGTGACTTTTTCAATTATTCCAAATCATTTTCTGTTTCTTTCATGCTGTTTGAGGATCTTTTTTTCCTCTTTTTTTAAACATATATATTCAATTTGTGAATTTAACTCTCAGTTGTATTTGTACATGTAAGTTTCATCAAGCGTGATACATTTCCAATTAATTTGTTTTCTTATTATTAGTTTTAAGCTGTAAAAAGAAAGGAGATTAGCATCTGCTAAAACTAATTTTATGTCTTGAACTTTCTGAAGAGAGGAGATAGATAGATATGTAGGTAGAGAGAGGGAGAGATTTTTTTGGAGGCTCTGGTTTTTGTTTGCCGTTTTTTATTGTTCATCTATTATATATTTTTTTTATCTTAAATCGGTTTCTTTATGAAATATTCAAATAACAACTTTGCATTTTTTTTGTTTCTATTGTTTCATCTTGATAATTCTTTCTGTTATATTTTCCATATTATTCAATGTGTTTAAGGAAACTTTTGACTGTGCTTTACATTCCAAATTATGACTGAAGAATATTTTCTATTGAAAATAAATTATGAATCCGTGCAAAAAATGATATATATATTGTTTGCATCACAATAAGTGTCTTTGAACAATTATTAAGATAAACAGGTTTTTATGGTTATTAGAATTCAGCCTCTATTAATATTTGTTCTTTTATGCCTATTTTAGGTTTTCTTAAGAATTACTTGTCCAAATGAAATATCAACTTGCCCCTACCACAGGGCAAGCGGTTATGTCTCACCTTGGTGGCATTACGTTTGAGAGAAAATTGTTTTGCAGTACAAACTCCTCTCTTTATTACTTATGATATCTAGGTGGCTTTACATTTGATTTAATTTTTTAACTGAAAAAAAGGGGGGAATAGGTGAAAATGAATATAACCTACATCTGTTCAAATTCCCACAATTTAACTTCATCTTGTTCATTATACTTCTATTGTTGATATGGTTGGATTGGACATTGCTTTCAGAAAAGTGCCACTTGATTTCCAAGGCGCATCATGTATCTGTGAATAATGGATCTGTGAAAGTTTTGAAGCAATATATTATCTCTTTTGGAGCAAAGAGGGCTTCACCTTTTGTATATTAGCACTAGAAGTGCCAATGCCCTTGTGGCTCCAGCCGCTTTCTGATAAGGGACAAATTGGATATATTGAGGAATTTAATTAGTAGTATAGGCTTACGGTTGATTCTGAATTTCGATTACCTTTGTTGTTTTCTGTTTTATTCCTCCATTTCTCAAACTCAATCAGGAAAGTGATGGGAGAATTGTTCCAGTGCTTGGAGCCAGAATTCAAGTCCTTTGTCACATTCTCAGAGAGGATGGATAACTTGTAAGTCTGCCATTTTGAATTCCCTAATGGAAAGCCATGTACAATGATAGTTGCTTTTATATATCTTGTAAATTTAAAAACTTATTAGTACTCAAAGTTTGTGTGATCTAATGGGTTTTAATACAACATGATGCCAAATTCATTCCAATATACAGATTAATTTAATTTTGATACCAACTAATTTGAAGTTTATATTTTTGCTTTGTTTTCTTCAAATGCTGTCATTCTATTTGAATTTCTTTTTCCACATTTTGAAATTTAAAAAAAAATATACTAATCACTGCACTATTTTAACATAGTGAATATGACCTACCGTACTTGGGTATATTAAAAAAGTCTTTTCATACACCCAGCCCTCTTTATTTGGATGATATTTGATTGAGTAATGACAAAACATGAGTTGATCGTATTACTAATGTTATGTGATGTTGGCATCAATCAACACCATGTTATTTTGCCAACTGTATATTTAGGAAAAATATTCACAAGAAGAATAGTTGAAGCGCTGTGATAGTTTACAATTAGATTATTGTTTGAAGTCATGTCTTGAGTATTTAGCATTAATAATGATTACCTGTATCTTTTCTCTCTTTCCCTCTGTTCTGATGCAATCATGCAGTAATTCAGTTTACATGCTGGTTAGGATAAGCCCTCATGTCATGTCCAGCGAAACTCAAGCTAAATCAGCCTCTTACTTCAGCATCATCATGGCTAACTGTCTAGTCGAGGTCAAACGCAACTTTGATAAGTACATGGTGAGCCCACTCTCTCTCTACCTGGGGGTGTTTCACAAAGACTAAGATTGACTTTAAGTTTGACTTAACTATGGCAGACCGCTCATGCCGATGTTTGCTCTCACCATATACTGGCATTGGTCTCTCAAGGGACATACAAAGCATGGTCACAAATCTACAGAATTTGCATTTTTAGATAATTCATTATTGAAGGAAAAAAGTTATCTAAAGATCATAATGGTGAGAGCAAACAGTGGCATGAACAGCCTGCCATAGTAAAGTCCAACTTAAAGTCGATCTTAGTCTTTGTGAAACACTCCCCATATTGTGTAATAATAATAATAATAATAATAATAATAATAATAGCCTAATAGTCCACTCCAAATTTTATTAAACCGAAACGCCAGATCGACGTTGCTCTATCCCTTATTGTTAAACGCCAAACAAGGTAGCAACAACTCCCATCTTTTAACGTCTTTTGGTATGACGCGGCCGGGGTTCGAACCCACGACCTCCCGGTTGTGTGGCGGACGCTCTACTGACTGAGCCAACACTCCGGTAGTAGACTGTTGTGTCTTGAATCTGTTGATGTTGTTTTGTTTTTTTACCTGACTGCTAAGGAAGCATGTGTATGCTTGTAAGTAAGCAACCAGGGGACCAACAGCTTTAAGAGAGGTCTGAGGGACTTGGTAATGAGGATGAATGCCTTACCAAAGGGCACTATTAATGCATTGACTTGGTTCCAAACCCGGAACCTCCCAGTTAGGAGACCAATGCTCTACCACTTAGCAATTTTGCCTCTCTTCTTTCTTGTTTGAGTACCGTAATTAACGTTGTATTAATCACACTTTTTTTCCGCCGATAAAAATTCAAAGTCGGGGGTGCGTCTTATACACAGTACACACACACAATTTTTTTTTATTTTTTTTTAAAGTTTTGATTTATGCCCCTCCACCTGGAGGGGCATAATGTCTCCCAGCTCAGTAATCGGTGTGTTGACTCACCACTCGGAAACTAGAACAACACTCAAATTTGTCTGTCATCTTGGTTTGAAAGTAATCTTTCTGATAGATCTCAATATGTAGTATGTAATAATAATTCCTCCAATTTTTCTTCTATTACACGGCGTACCACAAGGTTCTATCCTAGGTCCTCTACTGTTTTTAAATTTACATTAATGATCTTACACATTCAGCTGCACCTTGCAGTTAAATGAAAGGCCTTCTCGCGTGGGTTTTTTACATGGAACTGGCTTGCTGCCGAGTCGGCAAAAAAGAAAAGAAAAGAGGGGTGCAGTTTATACACCATTAATTACGGTATTATTCTTTTCTCTGTAATTGTTACTCCCTTGTTTGTCCTTTTCCATTAACTATCTAGCTGCCCTTGGGTTAGTATGTCTATTTTCCTCTTATTGTACTTGTTTACCTGCTCTAATCTACATACATGTAGAGCCCTTTCTTCCTTTCTCTGTTCCATACAATCCTGTTGCTCTCTCTCTCTCTATTACACTCTGTCCTCTATGTGTCTGTGTGTCTGTCTGTTTCTCTTTCTCTCTCTCTCTTTCTCTGTGTGTGACTGTCTGTCTGTCTGTATCTCTCTCTCTCCATCTCTCTCTCTCTCTTGCTCTCTTTCTGTCTCTATTCTTTTAAGCCCCTCTCCCTCTCTCTCTCTCTCTCTCCCCTTCTCTCCTTCCCCTCTTTCCCTCCCTGTAATTCTTTTGTTATATATTTAGTCTTGTAGCTGGGTATTGTAAAAGTTTGACTGCATGATGTAGAGGTTGCTAACCATTCCCTCTTATGATACATGTCTTATAACTTGCTAAAATCAATTTAACATAGATTTCGTGCATACATGGTCTGGTCCTTGTTATTTACATTGGTTTCATAACTGATCCACAATTTGCCCTTTAATTGATGTTTTTTATTCTGTCTTTTTATTTCCTTCCAGGATAATTTGATCCGCTCTGTGGAGGAAACCCGGATATCCAAGAAGAGCAAATGTGGTATTCTTCCGTTCGTCAAAGAATTTGAGGTTTGTCTCTTTTCTGTCATCTACTGAAATACACCGATATGATGAACTTTTTTATGAGTCGTTAAATAGAAAATAATTGTTTTGATTGTTATCATGAATTATAATACGTAGCAAATGCACGGATACCCTTTTTCAAAGATGAGCTGGAGGGATGAATTATTTTAATTTCCCCCCATTTCCAAGATTATTAACAAAGCAAACTGAACTGAACAATATATTAACTGTAATATCTGGAAAGTACAGAAGTGTTCATACTTTTTGTTCTTGTTGATTTTGTTTTTAAACATTTTTTTTCATGTTGAAGGAAGAAATTTACCCAAATTCATATGATGATATGATGGTAAGAATTTATCTGCACCAAGTATGATCTTAGGAAATTAGCTCAGTAAGTCAACAGAATTGAAAGCCGGGATGGTGCTTAAACTCTGTAAGTCCACCATCATGTCTTTGGAATTTCCCACGAGTACTGACACACTTCTGTTTTTTCTTGTACCGGTATGTTTAGACGTTTGCCTGCCAAGCAGAGTCTGTATTCAAAGGCTCAGACCTGAGAGGGAACCTAGACAAGGCCTACGCTAAGCTGGCCTTGGCCCAGTTTAGGATCATCCACAGAGTAGCCCTGGAACACCAGAAGACTCCCAGTGATGTCATCATCTTCGGTAAATAGATGTAGTTTCATTCCTGTGAATTTATGAGATTTTCATTTGCTAACAAACCATCAAATATTATTGTAATCTATGGCTTAAGAGCTTTCCATTTATATATAATTCATCTTTTATGAAGATTGAAGAGAGTCTTATTGATTTACATGAAATACACAGAATGCAGTTCATATTATTACATTAAAAATATGACAGGGGGTATTGTATTGAGAGGAGGTAAAGAAATTAACCTTACAATTTAAAAAGAAAAATATATATACCGGTATTCTGAATAATTGTATTGTGAATGTTCATCGTCTGTTTCCATTGTTCAGATTGCTGTTTGGTTGTCTAACGTTAACCTCTTTCTCATATATTTTTTGCAGAAAACTTTCATCATGTTCACGGTGAGTATTACAACATTTTTATCTTATCTCTTTGTTATTAATTGTTATTGTTATACTCCTTCATGTTCCTGGAAATGAAATAAAATTTAAATTTTTTTTTTTTTTAATTGCATAAATTTCATATCTAGCATTTGGTATTAACTGAATTATCACATAGATTTCATAAGGAATAACTTTGGCATGAAGGTATCCTCTTAGTATATCAAGCTATTTATAAAACCATTCAAAGTTCTATATGAAGATTATCCTTTTGGAGCAAGAAAGGCATTAACTCATGTACCTCTAAACAGCCAATATGTTCTTTCATTTACTATAGATATGTTATCTTGAGGGAGAATATTTAGTGAATAATTATTCATCATCATCAGTGTCGATTCAAAGGGCGGATTTCATAACATCACCCATTCAAGAGTTAATGCGATGTATTTTGCACATCGTATAACTCTTAAATGTGTGATCACTATAAGTGCTATTGACCGATCATTGAATTTTTTATTTTAATGATAATAATAAAATAAAATATTGAGGATCGCTAAAAACAATAAGTACTGTAACATAGCACTAACAAATACAAATATATGAAAAGAGGACAAAAGTGTACAGTACAGGAAGTATATCACATAGATCATTGGGGGAAAAGATGAGTTTTGAGGGATCTTTTGAAGGTGGCAAGACAGGTAATTTCCCTTATGGAAAGAGGGATGCTGTTCCAAGTCTTTGATGCAGCTACTGCAAAGTGTTTTTCAGCTGCTGAGAGTCTAGATTTGGGAATGTTAAGTTTACATGTGTCGGTTGCTGAACGAAGATTACGAGTTGGTGTATATATTTGTATATATTTTGTTAATGTTTTTAATATAATATTGTTATACCTTCATCTTTTCAGATGTTCTATCGAGACTGAAGATCACATGCCTGGAGTCAGAGCGTAAGGAAGCCAAGCAGCAGTATCAAGATCACTTACAATCTTATGTTAGAGACTCACTGGGAAGACCTATGGAGAAACTCAATGTAAGCATTCAGATTTTTCTTTTCTTTATGTACCTTATTTTAAAAACAACAATGAAGCTAAATTGTGACTTCATGATTAATGAGAAGTACAAGTAGATCCAATTTTTTTATATCTGCCCTGAAAAAGAAAATGGCCATAATTGCTATCCATGGCCTTTTTAGGCATATAAAGATGAATATTTGTGGTTTGACGTGAATATTCACAATTCATACATTATTTACAGTCAACCCATAAAGATTTTACATTGAGTTGTCGACAGTTGAATATTGTGATAAATGGTGATTGTCTGTTTCATACTCTGCCAGGTCACAGATAGGTTTATATATTTCATACCCTGAATAAAAAAAATTTAAAAAAAAAGATATTGGTTAGTTTTAATATCAACGATACAATAATCTCCTCAGGATTTCCAAATTGCTTTATTCTAGCTTTTATTTCTGTGGGAAATGAATTTTTAATTCCAGTTATTTTCTTCATGTCATGATCAGAGGACATTTTTAATATATTTTTAGTAGAATAATGATTTCATAGATTGAAGGTTTGATACCCCCCCCCCCCTTGATGCAAATGCTCATGTGAATTTGTCTTGGTATAGTGGTTCATTCCGTTGATTCTCAATTTAAGGGTTGAGGGTTCGAATCCCAGTCCAGCACATTCAATCATTCAATCCACATGTGCCACTCTCAACCCAGGTGTGTAATAGATACATGGCAAGATGTGGAAGTCATTGTAGTTTGCTCAGCATTGTGAGCGTCTGTAAAATGGTACTTGGCTCGAATGCTTCCCAAGGAGTGGAGAATGTGCATATATTGTGCGCAGGCCAACCTGAATAATGATGACTCAGGTAATAATATATCTGTAAAGCACATAGAGACATCGTGGATGGACTAAGTACTGTGTAAACCAAAAATTATTATTATTACTATTATGCCTAATCAAAACATCAATTGAAAGAAAATTTTAATTTTTTTTTCCAGATGTGTCTTGAGGGTTTTCATATTGTTTATGTTTGTCTTGCAGCATTTCTTTGAAGGTATTCAGGTGCTTGTCTCTCAGGGGGTCAAGGAAGAAGAGGTCGGCTATCAGATCCAGTTCAGTAAACAAGAACTACGCAAGATCATCAAGGAATACCCACAAAAAGAGGTAAAACAGACATTTAGAAGAAAAATATCATGACAAATATTACTCTAAGAGGTGCTTCTTAGCCAATAAATGTTGGGAATTTTAGGGATAAATACATGTACAGGCAGTGGATAATACCATGCCACAAGATGAGTTTTTGTTTTGGTGGTCATGTAATAAGATCGATCAATCGATCTTATTTACTGGGTGTAAGCCACAATATGTTTAAACTATTGAAATTTCTCCCAGGAAGCATTACATTTATAAAAGTTGAACTTTGTTTGATGCATCTATAATAGATGGACCAAAATTGGTGATAGGAGGAAATATTCAACTGCATGTTTTTAAAAATTCGAATTTTCAAAACGCTTTTTGATAGAATTTGAATAGAAGGAACTTTAGGAAAACATTCTGGAGACTGAAGAAATACTGGAAAGGACACACCTTAAAGGTACTATGTCCCTTTTGCAGCCAACCTCAAATTATGTAGAACTTTGCAGGAATTATGAATATGTCATGTATGTCCTATTTGTGAAATTTAAACATTAGCAGTGTCCTCATATTCAAATTATGCAAGGAAACCCGTTTACTTGCTAGACTTCACTGTCAGACACTATTGAGTGACTGACTGGCTTTTTTTCTTCTTTGGTAATAACATACATGAAAAGAGTTGTAAAGGGTACATGAGCATTTGTCTACATCAATAACCCACTTCTTGTGATGGCCAAGATTAAACTGATTGAATCTTTGCGCAGCATAAAATGTATGACCATTCGGTACAATCGTCTGAAAATCAAGACTATTACTTTTGGGCTCTATAGCCCTAAAGTCGATTTGACAACTAATAGTCGTTATTTTCCAACTTGAAGACATTTTCAAGCCCCAACTTTTTAGGGAAGTTCTAAATTAGTATTATCTTTCAAATGCAGTTGGAGTTTAACTTTTTCATTTTTTTGGCCTGCAAATGGGACATAGTATCTTTAAGGGGAAATAAGATGCCCAGGCAGGGACACAGTGGAAGTGAAGATAGATGGTAAACATGGAAGAAGAAGACCAAGATTTGGATGGTGTCTGACTTGATAGGTGCAGATCATATAACATAATGAACAAAAAAGGCTCAAAGGGATAGTTGACATCTTGTTTCAGAGTGCAAATGCCTCCGAAGTGCATGGCTATACATATTATAACCAACACGAAAATGCCAACAAAAAGACAACATCGGCATTGGCTGGAATAAAACGTATAAAGCTCCATCTTGCTTTTTAACTGCTGGTTCACATTATTGAATATTTGTGGGGCACCACAAATATTAGTGATTGTTTTATTTACGGATATTTCAGCCGTCTCTGAACCGATATTGATCTAACAAAGATGATGTTTTTTTGTTTTTTTAATTGGATGTCCTTTCAAATTTGACACTCAGTTTTTCATTATCTCACAACAAAATTATTTTGTGTAGTGCCCTCTGCAACAAAACTAAACTTTCCCTTTAAGATAGAGAGGGATGGAGTAAGAATTAAAGATGGCTCTGGTGTGAGGACTTGGCCTAGGCGGAACATCTGAGACAGCGAGAGAGACTTCAGACATGCGCTCTTCCGAATGTTGACAAACGTTAATCAATTGTATAGTATTGTTCATATCTGATAGATTCAATGTGTGTTTGTCTTCTGGAATGCAGGTGAAGAAGAACCTTGATAACTTGATCAAGAAAGTTGAGAAGACTCTTTGTGAGGAGGAGAATCTTATCCAGGTTGGTATTCAAATCATCATACCTAATAATCATCCCATCAAAGTACCCAAAGCACCTTTAGTTTTTATATTTTCTGTTCATTGAAAATGTGTCTGAGATGTGCCCTACTTACACAATTTGCCATGAAAGATTTTCTTGATTCAGATTAAATTGTAAATGTAGCCTACTGTCCAAATGGTAGCAAGCAACCAGTTGATGTCCAACTTCTTTTTTTTTAAACATGACTTTTGCTTTTATCAGATACAATTTCCTTATTGATAAAATAGTCTGGTAGCAAAATATTTACGGTACTTTGTACATCAGTCATGGAATAATACTTGTATTTTTGCAATTGTGCTGTAAATTTAGAAGTGTATTAGGGTACCATATTGTTTTGTAAAGCTTAATTTCATATTTGACCTTCATAAATAATTTCCTTTGGAAATCATGTATTTGCCCTTTTGATTTATATTATCTGATAAATCTCTGCAATTTTGTTTTTTCATGAACCAATGTTTTGAAAATGATCAATGATTTGAAATGATCAAAGGATTGATCATTGAAGTTAAGTTCTGAAGTTTGGTAATTTTTGATAGAATGTGTTGCAAGATCAGCTTCAGACACACATTTAAGACTATCAATGGCAACTTTGCAATCAAAAACTTTATATTTAAAACTGTGTTAAAACCTTTTCTCCTTGTTTGCCAGGTGGTATGGCGTATGATGCAGGAGGATTTCATCCGTCAGTATAAACACATTGAGACAATGATCGGCCGCTGCTACCCGGGATCAAAGATCTTTCTGGAGTTCACTATTCAGGATGTCCTGCAGTTCTTCACAGACATAGCCCAATCACACTAGATCCAGGAACTATTCAGGATGTCCTGCAGTTCTTCACAGACATAGCCCAATCACACTAGATCCTGGAACTATTCAGGATGTCCTGCAGTTCTTCACAGACATAGCCCAATCACACTAGTTCCAGGAACTCTTGGGATCTTCTGGACTGCTTGAATACCTGCCCATTTATTGAAGATCGAACCTACAATTAAACGCTTTGTGTTAAGGAGTCCTGGGCCCTGTCAAATAAAGAGTTGAGATTAATCGCAACTTATTTGCGATTTATATCAATCGCAACTATGTACATAAGAGATTGAAGACTGCAAACTTGCAATTGATTGGAGGACTTAGGATTGATATGGATTAATCATGGCAACTCTCTATAAGATGGAGCCTGTTTGTTCACCATTCAAGATGTCCTGCAGTTCTTTACTGACAAAGTTCAATTACACTCGATCTTGGAACTCCGCAAATCTTTTTGACGTACTGCCTCAATTTACCAGTGTGACAACAAGACCTGGTCTCCTCTCTCCCTACCTGTAATCTATTTTGTATCGTTGTAGTCTTAACTTTTTTTTCCAGGAATACTCAAGAGCTATATATGTTTTATATTTTGAAGTCATGCATCTTCATTAGACAATGCAAATATCATTCCAAATAAAAAATATTTTCTATGTGTATTTTGTAATTGGAAGTTCTTGATTTGAAATATCTTGCCATTTTATGATACTTGTACTTAGTTTGCATTGTACCCCCACTCTCCTACCAAGAAAGGTAGGAAAGTTAAAACAAAATGTGGGAAGGAGGATGCCATTCAAGGATAAAGGAGAAACTTCATGGTGATATGGAATTATGACTATTTTAGCAAAGCTTTTTGCTGTTTCAGGTGTTGATTCTGCAGTGTTCTGGAGATTTTTTAGACTACAGGTTCACAAGATTAAAATTGTACATTGGCCAAAAGATAATTAATGAGACATCTGTCAACATTTGTCTAAGATCTCTAGAGACCAAGGCATTGTTTCATGAAACTGTCACAAGTACAAGTTCGCAGACATCCCATTGAAATGTGTGTGTTATCAATAGGATGTCGGTGAACTTGTACTTTGAAGGTTTTGTGAAACGATGCCCAAATTTCCTAGTCTAATGGAACTTTGGTCTTCTTCACCAGAAGTATACTTGTCTGCACCCATGTAGGGTTTTCTTAAATCTTAAGATTTATTACCCATGAGATGAAAATAATGTAATGGTACAAAACTCTGCATTTCACTGCCAGGTGCATGAATTATCAAATACCTCCAAGGCTCCTACCACAGTAGATAGGGCATCGTTTAACAAAATTGTCATAAGTTTGCCAACATCTCATTGAAGTTCGTTTCAAAGGGTGATCGGTAAACATATACTTCAGACGATTTCCTTAACCAATGCCCAGATATTCTTTAATTTTGTGGGCTATCTTGAAAATTGCCAATTGTATCTTGATTTCTGTGCAGGTATTGCAAAGACAGAATAGCTCTCATCATGCTCGGTTGGTCCCACAATTTATTTTTTAAAGGGAAAGAAATGTTCCTGCATGCGATGTAAAATAGGATGTCATATTAAGAATTTCCTGAAACAATGCCCAGATATTCTTTAATTCTGTGGGCTGTCTTGAATATTGCCAGTTGTATCATGATCTCTGTACAGGTATTACAAAGACAAAATAGCTCTCATCGAACTCTGTACGTCGGTCCTTCGATTTTTCAATTTCAATGGGAAACAAACGTTCCTGCATGAGATGTAAAATAGAATGTCATATTAAGACTTTCTGCGGAAATCTGATCTAATTGCTTAAAATAGATTGTATGCAAGTAGTTCCAAACAAAAATATTGTTTTGTAAAGATATTGTAGATTAAGCTCAAAGTGCAATGATTAAAATATATCAAAATGTAATTAATCTCTTTGAAACATGGAACTGTATTTTTGTTTATATCAATCAGGCACTATGAAATATTTAAGGCTATTTTGTAATTCGATGAGGTGGTGCAAAGGTTACAGTGAAGTTGTCTTAAAATTGCAAAAATCTAGAGTTAAAAATTAAGTCTTTGCACCATAGCAAAGAAATTCTTCCAATCTATTCCTTGGGAAAATTGAAAATGATGATGATGAGAATGAAGAGTATGATGATGAGGATGAAGATTATGATGATGATGATAACAAAATATGATAATGACGATAATGACAATTATGAAATGGTGTTTAAAAAGGATGAGGAGGAGGAGGAGAATACTAATGCATTTCACAATAATTAAATGATTTGATGACGAATTGTGTGAGGTGGCAATTTTAGTGGTGCATGGTGGTGATGACAATGACTATGAGAAGGAGAAGGAAAATAATGGCAATTATAACTATGATTTGATGATGATGATTTCGGTGTTGTGGTGATGATAGTGGTGCACGGTGGTAATATTGGTGACAATGAGAAAAATGATGGAAATGATATGATAATGAATTTGGTGTGGTGTTGCTCATATGGTTGTGGTGACGACGCTGCTGCTGTGATGATGATGGTGGTGGTGCATATACATGGTGGTGATTATGCTGTGATGCTGCCAGTGGCAGATCCAGGGGGGCCAGGCCCCCCCCCCCCCTGGCAAAAAAAAGGATATAAAAGGGTAAAGATATCAAAGGTATCAAAATATGCTTATCTAACCGTAATTAAATGCCTAAAACCCCTTAACTTCCGGTGGCTCTGCCCCCTGGACCCCACCTAGGACCCTAATGCGGACGACTGGATGCTATTCTGACGGTAATTTAGTGCTTATAACCCCTGAGCTTCTGGGGTCTCGGCCCCCTGGACCTCACGCCAATTAATGTCCAGCCAGTGTCACAAATAAGGTTTTTAGCGCTTAGAGACTTCGGTGGTAAGCGCTTTATAAGTAACGTGTTTATTATTATTATTATTAAAAATATGTTCATCTGACCGTAATTAAATGCCTAAAACCCCTGAGTTTCCAGGGCTCGACCCTCTCGACCCCACCAGGGGCCCTAAGGCGGGCCCCTGCATGCTTGTCTGACCATAATAAATTCTGGAAACGCCTGAGCTTCAGGGGGCTCTGGACCCCACGCCAATTAGTTACCTGCCAGTGTCACAAATAAGGTATAATTATGCTCATCTGACGTAATTAATTCCTAAAGCCCTGAGCTTCCGGAGCTCTGCCCCCCGAACCCAACCCATGGCCCTAAGGCGGGCCCCTGGATGCTCATCTGACCGTAATCTATTGCCTAACACCCCTGAGCCTCCGGGGGCTCCGCCTCCTGGACCCCACCCCAAATTGTGACCTGCCAGTGTCACAAATAAGGTATAAAATATGCTCATCTGACGATAATTTAATGTATAAAACCCCTGAGCTTCTTGGGGCTCCGCCCCCTGGACCCAACACCAATTCGTGACCTGCCAGTGTCACAAATAAGGTATAAAATATGCTCATCTGACCGTTATTTATTGCCCAAAACCCCTGAGCTTCCGGGGGCTCCGCCCCCTGGACCCCACACCAATTCGTGACCTGCCAGTGTCACAAATAAGGTATAAAATATGCTCATCTGACCGTTATTTAATTCCTAAAGCCCTGAGCTTCCAGGGCTCTGCCCCCGAACCCAACCCATGGCCCTAAGGCGGGCCCCTGGATGCTCATCTGACCGTAATCTATTGCCTAACACCCCTGAGCCTCCGGGGGCTCCGCCTCCTGGACCCCACCCCAATTCGTGACCTGCCAGTGTCACAAATAAGGTATAAAATTATGCTCATCCAACGATAATTTGATGTATAAAACCCTTGAGCTTCTGAGGGCTCCGCCCTGGGAAAAAAAGGGTAAATTTTACCTTTTTTTGAGATATGCCCCCCTCCCTCACTGGCGTTCAAGGGGAGGGGGGGTGCGATTTTCAAATTTTCAAAAAAAATTAGTGCTCACTACCCACCTCCCCCCCCCCCCACCCTCACTGAGCGAAATATTGGCCGTCACGATTTTCAAATTTCAGCACACTAAATTTCAAATTTGGGCCCCCACCCCTAAGAAATCCTGGATCCGCGCCTGGATGCTGCTGCCGATGATTCAATTCGATTCAATTTTGGTTTATTAATATAAAGATATACAATGTACAATGCAGTATTCTAAGGACCAATAATGCAATGTACACATAAAATGTGCATAAAACACAATGTTCCATCAATGATCAGATATCACAGGCGCAGATCCATAATTTCTTAAGGGGGGGGGGCCGGGGGCCAAATTTGAAATTATGCGAGCCAAATATTGGTACGTAATGATGACCAGCAGTTGCATAATGAGCAAAAACGGTTTTTAGGGGGGCAGACACTAAGATCGGCAATGCACCCCACTCTTACATGCAGGCCGCCCCGCTAAACGTTTTTTCTAAGTGGGTGGGGGAGGCTTAAGTATTTACGATCAGGTAGAGCGTAGCGTAAATTGGTGGGGGTCAAGGGGCTGAGTCCCGTGAAGCTCAGAGGGTATGGGCATTTAATTACGGTCAGATGAGCATATTTTGATACCTTATTCATGACAGTAGCAGATCAGTAATGCGTGGGGTCCATGGGGCTAAGCCCCCTGAAATTCAGAGATTTGAGGCACTAAATTACCGTCAGATGAGCAACTAGGGGCCCGCTTTAGGGCCCTAGGTGGGGTCCACGGGCAGAGACCCCAGAAGCTTGTGAGGTTTTAGGCATTTAATCACGGTGGCAGATAAGTATATTTTGATACCTCATTATTTTGTGTCACTGGCAGGTCACTATTCCTTCTTTCTTTCTACTTTTTTTTTCTCCTAATTTTCTTCTACTTTTCTTCTATCTCTTTTTTTTCTTCTTTCCCTCCCTCCTCTTTCCCTTGCCTTCCTTCTCTCTCTTTATAGGTTGCATAGAGGAGGCAAGGGCCTCCCCCCCCCCAAGGTCCACGCATTGTTGACGGGATTAATTGCAACTGATCTCCCCTTTTTTTTCTTCATCTTCCTCTTTTTGTTCGCTTTATCTTTTTTCCTTTTTTTTTGTTCCCTTTATCTGTTTTCCTTTTTTTTTTGTTCCCTTTATCTCTTTTCCTTTTTTTTTTGTTGGTTCCCTTAATCTCTTTTCCTTTTTTCTTTCCCTTTCCTTCCTTCTCTATTATTTTGTTTTATGGGGAAGGGGAGGCAAGGGCCTTTCGCTCCCCCCAGCTAATCCACGCATTAATTGTTGGTGGGAATAATTGCAACTGCATCTCCCCCTTTTTTTCATCTTCCTCTTTTTGTTCCCTTTATGTCTTTTCCTCTTTTATCTCCCTTTCCTTCCTACTCTCTTATTTGTGTTGATGGGGGGGGGGGAGGCAAGGCCCTCCCCCCTCATCTCCTTCTTTTCCCCCTTTTCTTTTCTTCTTCCTCTTCTTTCTTTCCCTTTCTCTCCTCTTTCCATTTCCCTTCTTTTGCTTTTTTTTCCTTCTCTCTCTCTTTTTTTTTGCGGGGGAGGGGGGCTGTGGTGTATATATGAGCACAAGATCACTGGTTGGAACTCCATTCCTCTTCAATTTGCACAGGATAGTAGACGTTTAATGATGACGATGGTGGTAGAACTGGTACATCATGAGTATCATCATAGCAAAATGGATGTATAGGCTTATAGTGCTGCTACTGAATACAGATTTAGATCTAGGCCTCTACATAATCAAAATCAATGTTATGGTATTTTTTCTTTTCCATGCAGTAGTCTTGCTTTTAATCACACACGTTCTCTGTTGTTACATTTATTTATTCATTTATTTATTTATCTTTATTTTTGTATGTTACCAAACCGCCTCACAATCCAAGATGCACACGGAAAGGGTAATGTTCTGATCATCTGCCACGCCCCGGCCACACCCCCGTAACACCCCCTTTTTTAATTGAATGCACGTGTCTGCGGTGCTGTTGCGTCGAAAGGGAAACGATGTTTACATTCAGCAAGCCATCCATCCCACGGCCACGCGTGAGCGAGCGCGCGCTTAGGCGCCGCGCCAAATCTTTCTTCATTATGTTGCTGTATACTGTACGTATGCAAGAAGATTTTTACAACTTTCACCAGTGCCAATGCTGCTGCAGCGTGTGATTCAGGCTGTGATTATTTATGATTTATAGAATCATTCGTCTTGTTCACTCTTAGTACAGCTTACTTTGATAACAGTGCATGAGTGAGTAAAAATGTTAAGTAGAATTGCATGTTAATTTAAACCTGTTTATGTAGATTTTTATCACGTTTATTGTCGCCGTCTTCTAACTCGACAGGGCAGTCCGAAAAGCTCAACAAGCGCACTCCTATAGGCTATACGTTGCGATGCCACTGGTACGGTACCATGATGTGTTGTCGATGCCACTGGTACGGTACCATGATGTGTTGTCGATGCACTCTATAGTAATAGTAATACTCTAGTGCTAAGTAGTCGAGAGTTTTAGTACTACTCACTAAGTAGTAGAGAGTGCATTGACATCTGACAACACTTCATTCAAAATCTAGTCGAGTTGGGTAGTTTCTAACTTTAATTTACTAGACTGTCTAGATCTAAAGTTAGATCTATAAGATCCAACTTACATTATACAATGTGTGCGCTTTCGCCATGAAGCTTGAAGGTTCTGCCATCGCCATGGGGCTGTTAATTGTTATGCATTATACAACGCCTACCAAGATTCTTGCAACCTCATTGGTCAATTCTTGATCACATGACCTGCGCTAAAAGTACCATTGTTGAGGGGCATCATTCTCCAGCCGTGCAATTCCGTTTGATCCTTTCGCACCATTGCACTCTGACGTCCCTAACGATGTACAAAATATATTGTGAGCTAAGTGACGTCAGAGTGCAATGGTGCGAAAGGATCAAACAAAATTGCACTCCACGTCATAATAAACATAAATCTTTGTACGCGCGGCGCATTGTATGCGCATGCTGCCTGCTTAATAGTGCGCGCTCACTATCGGCAATTTCATCAATTAAAAACAAACAAAAAATCGCAGAGATTTAGGCCCAGAAAAACTGTTCTAAGCCCATTAACGTCTGAGGTGTTGTATAAAACAAATAGTGAATGGCCTTTATTCGTGCAATGGAACAAGATTTTGTATTCGGTGAAAGATGAGACGCTCTATTCAACTCGGCTGCGCCTCGTTGAATATAGCGTCTCTTATCTTTCATCTCGTGCAAAATCTTGTACCATTGCACTCATGGCCATTCACAATTTGTATACTATTGGAGACCATTTGGATAGCCTACTCAAATGTGATCTTTTAGTTTTGATGGGCTGATTAGATTTTTGTTTTATGATTTCTATTGGATGAGAAGAATGACATTGTTAATTTGTTATCTTTCATTTCATACTAAACTTTTTATGATTAATGTTTTCGGCAGTTTGTTTTGCTGCACTGTTTGACAAGAGCCGTGTTTAGTGCCATTCTGTACCCTGATCCCGCATTCAGGATGAGAAAAAAAGGTATCTAGGATGATTGGTTAACATGTGAATTTGCTTTTGGTGAAATTTCAGTAAAATCAATGGATGAGAAATATGTTTTTTTGGATGAGGAATGTGAAATGTCATGCAAAAATGACGGCCCGATTAGCGGTTTTCGCGTATTTACATACATTTTTTTGGCAACGTTTTGTAATGAAATAGAATCTTTCGGTCACATTTGAGATCACAACTTTGTTTTAAAAACAAAGGAATTAAATACATGATTTTGGGGCGTTTAAAATTGGTATAACTTTCTTATTACTGGGGCTATTAGGATGAATGAGGCATCAAATAAATGATCTTATCAAGCTCTGTTTAATGGCAAAAAGCAAGAGCTTGAATTCTGAGCTTCAATTTTTTTGTAACATACAGGTCTATGATCATGTAATTGTTTGCAGTGCAAGTAATGGATGAAGCTGATTTATGTGTAGTCTAAGTTGATTTATTTATCAATGTACAATTATGGTTTTAACTTGTTCTCATCTTTGTGAGTGAACTTTTCCACTAAGGTGACAGGGTGATAATAATTCATCAACATTTAAAAATGGTCAATTTTTCTGCTAAATTCTATCATATTTTAATACAGTATACTGAGGAGATCTAGATTCTAAAGCAAAAATGATTTTCTAGACCATGTTGACTAGAAAATAAATAAATATAAAGTTGGGAAATATTGTCATCTCAAAATGTCAGAATATTGCCAAAGGCATCCACAAACTTTGGTTAAATATATGCACAAAACATGGTCACACTAAAAAGTTTATATTAGATCCATGATGTACGTCACAACGACCCTGGAAGATGACACTTTGAAGAGATGCCACGAATGCAACTAGAAAATCCATCAACAAACAGTTACAGAGAATTAAGAATTTGCCAAATCGTTAATAGCCAATGCCCAAGTTTGTGCAATAGCTCATGGGTGGTATTCTGAACATTGTTGTAAGTGTTGTGTTATCTTTTGTTGTATCTTCCAGAGATAACACAGCGCTAATATTGTTGTAAGTTGGTATTCTGAACATTGTTTTATCCCTGTGTTATCTCTTGAAGGACCGCCTCTATCTTATCTTTGACCATTGATGACACGCCCATTTTTATGGACCCTACCAATCAAAATCTATTTTATATAAGCATGATAAGTAGATCAACCAATAGGAATACTTTATGCCATATCTGAAGATGCGCCTAGCGCATACTAATCTTGGGCGTAATTAGTTATTTGAGCACTTATTACGCGCGTCATCATTATGCGCTGTTGAATGTGGATCATGAAGACAAATCACGCTTTCACTATATTGGTTAAGATGAGAGCATTAAAATAGTCCTATCCTAGCATGTAATATCTTAGAAAGTTCTCATCTGTGATGTTTCCGGTCAACACACAATCTTCTTTTAACTCGTCTATTGGCACGAAGTTGGTTCTGGGCAAAAAATATTGCCGCCATTATATCACCACGAAAGATACAACAACCCCCTACCTGTTGTAAATATTGTTGTAAATACCATGCAAGATAAGATACTGTAAGATAAAAGATACAACAACTTTCAGAATACCAATTATCTCGACATATTATCTCCCGTGCGCATATGCAAATGAGAATTAAATGCCACTTTATTAATAATACGCACAATTACAAGCGCACCAAAGTATGAGCGCAGGCGCGGCCAATAAGATGAGAGAAAAGATACAATAAAAGATAACACAAAAGTTACAACAATGTTCAGAATACCAACTTTATCTTATCTTCAAAGATACAACAATATTAGAGATAACACAGGGTTCAGATTACCGCCCCATGTATGTACATGTAACTAAATTTATCTTATGTATCACTATAAATACAAAATTCTATACAAACAGTAACAGATATGTAGGTCTACTGCCTTTATAAATACAATGAACATTCCTTCTCTTTACATCATTCAGTATCAGCAAATGACTAGAAAATCACATCGATTGGAGACACCATTATTGGGCTGAAGGATAAAGTTTTGAGCATCTGCAGATTAAAACAGGCAGCCAGTACCCTTCTTCACTCCAGATCCTTCAGTGACACTGGGGTGGTCATCGGGTCTTCTTGTCTCATAAAGCAACAGTGTTTGTAGATCCTTAAACAAGATGTCTTGTCCATTTGGAGGTGGTGGCAACAGGTAAGAATGAAAGTATGGTTGTAGGCTTCATACAAATCCTACCTTTACAAATATGAAACATGAAATATAGTGTCTGATTTTGATGTCACATTTTATTCTAATCTAAATGTCCTGAACATATCTGATATCTATTAAAGAAAAGTAAGGTTCAAGTTTTTAAAATATATGTCAGGAAGTCTGTCCATTAAGTGTTGAGAAGCAGGATTGTATGGATAAGTGGTTGGTGACAAATATGGAATTTCTTATATTATTTGATTTTAGGATTATTCAAAACATATACAAATATTTGTTTTGCTTCTTACTGAAATTGTTTTTCTCTGTACTACTACTAGCATTTTTCTTCTTTTTTTCCTTCATTTTTATTCTTCAACTTGCAAGGAAGTTTTCCTGATATTCTAGTCCAAATCCTAACGATTTTAACCAATTCTATGATAACATGAAAATGTTAAAATAACTTTATGGGTAATTACAGACACAGTTATTATTACTGAACAAAGTTGAACAAATTCTTGACTAAAAATCACCTACCCAGTGTACTTGAATTGAGTAAAATTATGAGGTCTCTGTCTAAGTTGACATGCTGTATATGAATGAATGAATGAATATATATTGCTTTATTTGCAAGTTAACATATAGAAAAGGAAATTTCTTCATCATCCAGACTTACAATTTGAATTCAAGTGTAAACGGATCTCTAATTGCATTTCACAGGGTACCTAAAGGAGGTACTGGGAAAGACGATGATAAGAAGCTCACATACGGCAGCTATCTTCAGCTTGACAAGCTGCTCTCCTGTGTGGATCTTCAGAGTGCTGCAGTCTCCACACCAGTGCATGATGAGCACCTCTTCATTGTAACCCATCAGGGTGAGTTCATTGTTAACCCATCAGGGTGAGTTCATTGTGACCCATCAGGGTGAGTTCATTGTTAACCCATGACCAATTAAGAACTGTGTGGATCCTGTATGAAGTCTATGAGAATATCATAAATGGCTGCTCGCATGTTTTGCCTCTTCTCTTAGACCAATATTATTAATTTCAAAGTCATGAAAAGGCACAAAATATCAACAAACATGGTCTACAACAACTTCAAAAGAAAAAATAATGCCAACTATGCATGTTTTTTTAGCATTTGATAGTCAAAAACTTTAAAAATCTGCTGATTTTTTTGTCCAATTATTTTTTATTGAACAGTAATCTGAAATTATTATCCGATTTCACCTGATTGGCCAACGATCGACACCCTATCGATTACAGGAAGGCTGCTTGCCCTCAACCCATGGATTGAGAGTCAGTTACCCAAGAGAATTAACCACGATACCACCTCTTTGTAAAACAAGTCCTACAATGTAAATGGTACAATGCAGTGAATGCACTGCCGGATTGCAAAGGAGTTTAATCTTTTCACCCACAAATCAATGCACCAACCCATTACTGACACTGACAGAGGTATAGCTCTGTGTGTGTGTGTGTTTGGTTTTTACAGACGTGTATCAATCAGATATGATTATTTACGTCTGGGGACCGACCTTTAACGTCACCATCCGAAAGACGTGACTCAGTTTCGAACCTGCGTCCTCGGCTGAATCAGTTTGTAACTTCCACTGTTAGCTGGATTACAGGCGCACGCCACAACGCCTAGCTGACACTGACAGAGCTAGGCTCTGCTCAAGACTTTGTGGAACTGTGCTTAAGTGTCAAATTAGAGTCTGTGCCTGCGGACCAGTCGGTAATGTCAGTAAGGAACAAAGTCCTTGAAGTAGGCCTCTTGTTTCATGGACTGTGTCCTTTATTGCTGAGTACTTTTATATACTAAAGTATGTAATATAAAATCCCCATCTTTTCTCTCCAGCCTATGAGCTGTGGTTCAAACAGATCTTATTTGAGGTGAATTCTATCATCGATCTACTGGGTCAAGTGCCTGTAGATGAGAAGAAACAGCTTGTCATGATGAACAGACTGGAACGTATCGTACAAATTCTTAAGGTCAGTATTAAAGCCTATCTGCACTAGTTTAGCCAGGGGGATTAGACCTCCCTGCATGGTCACTGGCAGGTGGTTATCTCATCAAATCAGCTATCAATTAACATAAGAAAAAGTGGACCATGGGGGATCACCGGGTACCGCTTAGGCATTGTTGGCTATATAGAGGGCGCAAGTAGCTACAATTAGTGCAGTCCTGCTTTAAAAGGAGCACTTCATATTTTTTTTAATGTTGATCCTATTATTTTTTTGTGAGGGGGGTGGGGGTAGGGATGAATATCGTTGACTTGGGCTTCGTTCACTTGTGCCAGGAAACAGTGTTGTTTTTGTTTCAGGGCCTTTTAAGCGTCTTGTGTGTACTGCACCAGTCTAAATCTTCTAACACAGATATGAATAAGTAAGGAAAGACTTTGCAGCTTGCAGAATAGTGGGTTAGCATTTATATTCATTGTTTATTGTGTTATACTTCAGTTTCCCATATATGGGGCCAGTCACCACGAAATGAGTCCAGTGTCGCATTAGGCTCAATCGTAGTAATAGCAATGTACACCTGTATAGTGTGTATGTACTGAAAATTGACCCACCTACCACATTTAAGATTTTTCCAAAAATCGACTTATTATTTCTTTGTTTGTTGAAAGTTTCATTGAAATCGAATGATGGGAAGTGTGTTGTTGCTATGTTGTTGTTGACCAGACTATAATATGTTACGCATCATTAACTTTACACCTAATTATCTCAAAACTGGGTAATCCCATTGTTATAAAGTCCAATTAGGTTTTTGTTCATATTTCTGGATATAATTTATCAATTTTAATGTGTGACCCCTTAATTTAAAGCTTACTTAATGTAGATTCATATAATACTTCAAAACAGGAATAAAATTTTTGACCAACTGGACTCATTTCGTGGTGACAGGCCCCATATGGAGATTCATCCTGTTTACATGCATTACAAAAGGGAACATGATATACTTCAAACCAAAGGACGAAGTGATACGTACATGTAGTAATGAATAACATGAAGGTACATACATTTAAACATTTTGTTGAAAAACAGCGACTTTCACAAAACGAAGAAGTATAACACAGCCACACATAACCAGATGAAGGAGATTTGTTGAACCAACATGATTTGATACTCTCAAACATAACCTTCACAATATGAGAAATTATAGACAAAAACCACGAGCACAGATTGGGTGTAAACCGCTCACTACTGAGGAGCCCCCAATTTTATATAGATAACTTTATCTATATAGATAGACCTTTTTATAAATCTTACGTATGGTAGATCTAATTGAGCGAGTTTTTTTGTGGTGGAAATTTAAGTTCTTGTTTCTCTTTGTAATCAGCTGCTGGTGGATCAGATCTACGTCCTGGAGACGATGACTCCACTCTCCTTCTCAGAGTTCAGAGATTATCTATCACCGGCGTCAGGCTTCCAAAGCTTCCAATTCAGATTATTGGAGAATAAACTGGGACTCAAACCGGTAGGTCTTAACCCATTGACTCTTGAACTCTCTCATTCCCATAAGGTTAAAGATGAAGTTGAGTTCTGGGGGGTGTTTCACAAAGATCCTAAGTTGAACTTATCTCTTAGTTGGACTTAAAAAATATGGAAAGCCATTAGCCTCTTTGAAAATATTTTGTAAAAGTTATTTTGAAAGGCATTCATTGTTTATTGAAATCATTCATATTTTCTATCATCAAGGAGATTTCATGTTCTGGATGTGGAATTTATAAAAGGTCTAAAATACTTGAATTTCTGCTTTTGAATATATTTCATTTTAAGACTCCAATGGCTGTCCATAATTTTTAAGTCCAACTTAGAGTTAAGTTCTACTTAGGATCTTTGTGAAACACCCCCTGGTCATGCGATTGCATTGTGAAAGAAACGGTGTGGAATCGACCAGAAAAGGTTGATCATCTAGCATATAAGAATTTTCGTGTATTGCAAGGTTCTTGAATCATCAAAATGACAAGAAATTTGGCCAAGTCTTGGTAAAGTTACAAACACTGTACACAGACAAATGTATATGGGACTACACGAACATGTGGCGTAAAAGTTTTACGATTTTACATGACATATTTAGAATATGAAGGCATTTGAAAAGCCATGCTTTTCAGCAAATATGTCCTATCTGATGTTCTTCCACACTTGCATAATAAGAATGATAATGCCCACAAATTATTTTTCACCTCTTCTCAGAACTCAACCTTCTCTTTAATACAGGAGCCATCTGGCTGCTATAGGTAATGGGTAATGTAAAATTCACAGGGAATTGAAAATTTGGCCTGTAAAAATTGATAAGGTTTGCCTTGGTTTATTTTTTTCAAAAATGGCATTTGAAAAAACAATTTTGTGCGCTAAATGATTTATTTAAGTGGCTAGAAGCAGTTTAAAGATGTTTGACTCCCCTTACCACCTTCATTAAAAGCTGATGTCTAATTTGTGCTTTCTTACAAGCTTCAGCATTTTAGTGCAAAATGAAGATGAACATTGGATATGTATTTTGCTCTCATTTGCTTTCTGTTTGTAAACATCAATGCCATTATTTTCATACTCCCATTTATGTACATACCAACAAAATGTAATGAAAACCATATAATTAATAGGCTGCTGTTGCCTAATATGTAAATACATGTAGGAACTTCTTCTTCTGTGTTCTAAAGTTAAGAATATTTTTGTGAAAATTGTTTTCATTTCTTTATTTGATTACGTGATTATTTTCACTGCTTTGGATTGTTAATATGAAGTATGTGTTAGGATATTTTTTGCAAGCCAATGGCAGAAGTAAGTTTTCCCTCATTTGTAAGAAGATGGGATGACCATGAATGAATAGAAAAATGATACACCATGGATCACACGAAAGCACTAACATTATTGATGTGTTTCATGCATGACAGGGCATGCGAGTGAGTTACCAACGCCAGAACTATGCCAGCGTATACAGCGAGGAGCTACAAGCAACGTTGAAGAAATCCGAAGAGGACCCTACCTTATTAAACGTTTTGGAGGTAAGCGTTGATGTTCATTCTTGTGGTTTTTGCTCGATATAATAATAATAATACATGAGATTTATATTTTGCCATTATCCATTCTAATTAAATGCTCAAGACGTTATATTTAAAGGAACCCTCACACCAAAGAATAGGTGTAGGTATGCTTAAGAAAAAAAAAGATGTATTCCTGCCCTTTGATTTACAATATTCCTTACGAAAGTGTACAGTGATAACACATAGGACCATGCATCTCAGATTTGTAAAACTGAAAACATTATTAAAAAATGCCTTTAAGAAAATGGCAATGTAGATGTCCTGCTGAGAAACTGTACATATTCTTGCTTTATGTCTTTCTCATACACTTTCGTTTGGATTCTTGTATATATAACATGATTAATCTCAAAATAACTAAAAAAAATTCTTGAGGTGAGGTTTCCTTATATAACATTGTTTGCATCTTGCTGGTATAGATTGTGTTTGTTGTAGTTAACTGTAGTAAATGTGGTCTGTGGTCTGTAAAAAGTGACTTCCTTTAGTCTGAGGTAATTCATTGCTTGCGTTCGCTCTCTCTCTCTCTCTCTCTCTCTCTCTCTCTCTCTTAATCTCTCTAAATCTCTCTAAATCTCTATCTCTCTTTCTGTTTGCATAATCGGTCTGTCTATGCCTCTCTCTTTCTCTCTTTCTTTTTCCTTGTTCTCTCTCCTTTTCTCTCTCTCTCTCTTTCTCTCTCTCTCCTCTCTCTCTCCTCCTCCTCTCTCTTACATTTACAGGATTAATTTCTGAAACTCAACATCTGATAGGCCATTAATTAAATTAAACTTTGATTTTGACTTTGATAACAAATTTGACTTTCACATTAGATACCATGTATTGGCTTTATCTGCAATAATAATCTTACAGTGGTGGTGAAACATCAGTTATTTTATCTGGAAATAATCACTTTCCACAAAGTTTGACTGATTTCCTAACCGTTACCAAATTGAACCTCAAACAATACCTACTACCCAACCATAAACTCTTTCTTGATTTTATATTTTGTTACCAAATGGTGACTTGGTGAAATGGTTAAACTAATATTGAACTTTACATTGTTCGATAAACATGTAGTTGAACCATATAATCTTAATAGATCAGATCAGTATCATTAGGCCTGTCTTCATCAGCTCAAGTTTGCCAAATAACCTGCTATTTTCAGACTCTGGATATTATCCCAAAGCTTGAAATTGTGTCTTCACCATACTGATACGCTCATCACAAACTAGCCCAGACAAGCTCAAATTAGCCCCCTATTTCCTAAATAGCGGGATATTTTGGAAACAAGACCAAGATGACTCAGGATATTTTGGAAACCAAATATTCCTCTAATCGCAACTGCGGGCTGATGATGATGCAAATTAACTGGCTAAAACAGTGTGTTATTTGGCAAACTCAAGCTGATGAAAACAAGCCTATTAACATGGAATAATTTGATCTTCCTACTTACTTTAACAAAATAATCATTTATAGTTGACAAGTTCAAGGACTAAAAATGAGATTAATGATGTTTGCTTCAACAGATAAGCTTCCACAGAGTTTAACATTAGGCCTAAAAAAAAGAAAGATGTTGTATTGCCCTTTAGGTGTCAAAACACGGGTCGGTTGGTCGGAAATCTTTTCTTTCTTTTTTAACTTAAAAAAAAACACCTTTTTCTCTCCCTCTTTGGGCTGATATTTCTCATTTGAATGCTTAAATATTTTGTTTTCTCTAAAAAACAGTAATACAAAAAAATAATTAAAAAGCCGACCGTAGATTTCAAGATTTTTGGGTCGGTCCCAAAGAGCAATACAACATCTTTAGGCCTTATACTGTTTTCCAAACTATTTATGGTTTTTGCTATTTGCATGTCCATAAAAGACTCCATATAGATTGTTTATTGTCTGTTTTGAACCAGAAGGGCATGACTTCTGTAACAATGATATGAGTTTATTCCCTTCTGGCTCCAAACAGACAATATAAGATAGGCCTCTTATCAGGCATATTGAGCAAAACCATGGGGTATCAGTGTCAGCTTTAATGGGCATGTGTGTTTCCTTAAACCAAGCTGGATTTGTTTATGATTTCAAAAATAGCTTTTTTTCAGCAACCAATGTACTAACCATAAATGCTTGATGAATTAATGGGGGTTAAAAATGTTAAGACCTGTGCTCTGATGAAACATAAATCTCTGTCATAAGTGTGATTCTGTACTTCGCTTGATATTTTCAGAGATGGCTTGAGCGTTGTCCTGGTCTTGAGGAAGATGGGTTCAACTTCTGGGAGAAATACAACTACCAGGTCCGAGCATACCTCAATGATCACCTGACTAGAGCTGAGGTTGGTACAAATTTAATGAAATTAAGACTAGTGCTATAAAAACCGTTGGGAAAATAGTTTTGAAATTTCTAATTCCAATCATAAATATCTTGATAATCAGACAGGCGATCGGCTTGTAAAAGTCATAGGATTCCTGACCGACCTTAAGGTTTATAATTATGAATGCAGCATAAGCTAAATCCAGGATTTTATTTCAGAATCTGAGGCAAAGATACCCAATCCCTTTAAGTGTTATATAAACTTAGAATATGATATTATTAATACTAATATTGTTAATACACCTTTCAGAAATTTTATTTTCTGTTCTTCTCTCCGTTGATAAAATCCAATACATCACAGCTATGGTTATTGACAGTTTTGCTTGTTCTTTTTTATACCATCAGGCTGCGGAGAGTGAAGCTCAGCGAGATCAGATTCTGAATGATCACAAGTCTGTCAAGGAAACATTTGATGTCATATTGGACACAGACAAATACAAGGCATTACTGGCCAGAGGTTAGTGAAAGTCTACCGGTACTTTTGTTTCCACAGAAACAGATGATCAAGAGAATCGGGTCCTGGGGCTCACAGAAATTCAGTTCCCCCCCCCCTTCTACCCCGCACATAGGTGAACCCAATACTTAATAATAATGATGATAGTAATTGTTATTATTCTCATTTTTAAGTTGAGCTCTAGGTGTATGAATGTGATTGTGTGAGATTCATTTGTTTCAGGTTCTTTTGACAGCAATTTTTTTTCGAAAAGATAAACTCTTGTTTTATGCACAAGTGGGACTCGGTGCGAAGCCCTTCTGGGCCACTAAGTTTAAAAACTTCTTTAGAAGAGAAATGAACTTGCGAGAGTTAAGTTTGAGTTTTAACTTGTGTATTATTGTTGAGTTTGGCATGACATACAGTCAAACGTGTCTATAGCGAACGCCCAAGGAAAACACAACTAGTGGCCGTTGTAGACAGGTTCGACTGTATCGTGCACGGTATTAAAGAATTAGTAGTAATATAATAATGATGATAATAATAGTAATAATATTGATGATGATGACGACGATGAACGAGTGTCGGGCCTTGAACCAACGTCTTTTTTCTTTTCCAGGTGATGTACGCATTTCCCACAAGGCCCTCCAGGGAGCGCTCTTGATATCCCATTACCGAGAGGAAGTCCGCTTCCACCAACCGTTCCAATTTATGACAAGGCTCATGGACATAGATTCTCTTCTTACAAAATGGAGATGTAAGATTTTATATATTTTGATCACTGTTTTATCTCCTAAACATTTTGCAATATGAAATTCCTTTGTATGTTTTCATGTTATTTTAAAACTTGTTCTGAACTCATGATTATTGTTTTTTTGTTTTTTTAAACCCATACAAGTTCAAAGTTTTCTCAAGATCTAAATTAATCAGCTTTCCCTCCTCAAATTGGCATCAATTATTTGTATTTTCCACATTTGTACGTTGTACATTGCTTATTCATGAATGTCACAACACAAGTTAATTTTGTATTGTAGGATTACATGTTGATATGATGAAATAGTCTTGATAGTCATTGATACATTAGGGTCTTATAATAAAGTCCTTTGGATCCAAGGAAATTGCTATGTTATAATGAAATCTTGTTTTATCAGGACAAAAAATGGGTTGGAGGCAAATAAGTGTAACCAGTAGCTCTACCTTGTAAAATAGAATAGTGTTTTATCTTGAACTACAAACAATAATACAATCAACTAGGAATTCCAAAATCTTCTTATATCTTGTATCTCTTTTTTCTCTGATTGAATATGTTTAATGTAGATAACCATGTGATGATGGTTCAGCGAATGATTGGTTCTAAACCAGGATCAGGGGGCTCCTCTGGGTATCACTACCTTCGATCTACTGTCAGGTATGTTCAAATCTTATTGATTTTTTTTGTTTTTTTGTTTTGTTTAAGTAATCAGTGACAGACCTGCCAACCAGTACGATTTAGTCGTATTTCGTACGATTTTTAGAAGCAAATACGACAGTACGATTTTCTTCAATAAAATACGATTTTCAAAAAACAAAAACAAAATAGTTCATTTATTAATTAATTTTCAATGGCAAAATGCCCATTCTTTCCTGTAAAGTATCCTTCAAGCATCTCACATAGGCAATTTGGGGATGTTTATTGGTTCATCGAATACACCAGTCACGACGAAATCATGCATATTCAACAAATAATCCATTAAAAAAAATCTTCCTGTATGTAGGAACTACAAGAGGCATTGATCCGCGTAACAGTCCGTGTTCATTTTTTAAGAATACAACTTTTGTCAGTAAAATACAACTTTGGGGATTAAAGAATACAGTTTTTGATCTCCAGAAGTTGGCAGGTCTGCATTGATCATGTAAAGGGGTACCCGGTAGTTGACCCTGAAAATCGCATAATCAGGTCAGTGAAGTTACAAAATTCAGGTTTAACATCTCTAAACAACATCCTAATTTTTGAGTTTTGCAAAGAAAAATGTTCATTCATTGTATTTGTTTATTGTATTTATTAAGCAAATGATGTAGGAATTTTTTTTCTTAGGAGAGAAAGATATGTGAAATGTCTTGAACAAAATGGACAAAAAGTAGCTAGCAAAGGAAATTAGAAAGTGGCCAGTTCTTGTAATGTTCTTCAAAACTTAACAAAAATACCATTAGTTTGTTTTCTTTATTATGTTATTATTTGTTATTTAATGTAAACTTCTGTATCTGGTTTATATCAACCATCGATATGAAGATATACACAGATGTGATGTTGCTTTTGTCTTCTTAATGATAAGTCTTCTTGTACTGATCAGTTGTCAGGAGAAGAAGATTGTTCTTCAGAGGCACAGAAAATCACTTTCAATCACTTTCTCATAGATAACTCTTCAGTTTTTAGGAGAATAGAAAACAATGATCTGCTGATAAATGTCATTAACATATTGCTTAATCAAAATGACACAAACTTGGTGGAAGAATTTAATCTGTAGTATAAGAGTGAATTACATATCACTATTTTTTATAATTATCTATTCTGTTTCCTCCTCATCTCTCTTCGACCTCAGTGATCGTTACAAGGTCTTCCTCGACCTCTTCAACCTCTCCAACTACCTCCTGCCCAGGAATTACATCCCTCCCCTCACGCCTGGCATGAAGCGCACACTCTCCATCCCCAACCTCAACACCAGCGTGGATGGGAGCATGTTCCGCAGGTTCCAAATCGGCAGCCCTAACAGGGGAGGAGCAGGCCCTCTATCATCCAGTCCTGGCTCGCTGGGCCGGGGAAGCCTGCCTGGGACACCAGAGGATGCCATCTTTGAAGTACTGAGTTCATCCGATGGTGATGAGGAGGATGATAGCGACCAGTCCCCACCGGCTAACGGTCAAATTGTTTTCTCTGCATGAAGCATGTGAATCTGCAGTTATCCCTTGAAGCACAGACAAGCCACATGAACGAACATCTATGAATTTACGTGGAGATATATATTGTTAAAGACAGGTGACCTTTGTGAACAGGTTATGATATAACTCTATCTACATTCAAGATCAATGGAATAATCAATATAATAATAATAATAATAATAATAATAATAATAATATTTCTGTTTATATAGCGCTTAATATATCGGCATTATCCGAGTTTCTATTAAAGCACTTTATAGATATGTAATTATCCCGGTCATCGTATTCTTGCTTGCCCCCACACAATGTATGCACTTCCTCCACTCCCTGGGGAGCATTCCAGCAAGAGCTACTAGGCTCAAATTGCTAAGCATACTACATTGGCTTTCGCATCCTACTGGGTACCCATTTACCGCCTGGGTGGAGAGTGGCAAATGTAGATCAATGTCTTGCCAAAGGACATTAGTAATAATAATAATAATAATAATAGCTCGTTCTTATATAGCGCTTTTCAGGACCGGAGGCCCTCACAAAGCGCTTTACAGATAAGTATATTATTACCCCGGTCATTGGATTCAGGCTTACCCGCACACAATGTATGCACATTCTCCACTCCCTGGGGAGCATTCCAGCCAGGCGTCATTTTTACATGCGCACACTTGCTAATCTAACCACATTAGCTTTCGCATCCTACCGGGTACCCATTTAACACCTGGGTAGTGCCGCGGCGGGACTCGAACCGTGGAATATAGTAAATCTTTCCTGGCAAGTGTCCTTTTTCCGTATAAACAGATGGCAGGCTGCTTGAGGTTCTTCATGAATTTGCCCTGAATGAGGTAAATTATATATTCGGTTGGTGTACTGAAAAACTATTAACTTACCTGGCATGAAAATTTGGTAAAGTTTTAGCAGCAGCTATTTCTAGCAACAATACACTTTTGCAAAATTGTAATGATTTGTCAGTTGGTTAAATGTGTGACAGCTTGTGGATTTACAGTATGTTAGGTCTCATAATATTATGTCATACTTTTGTGTTTTTTGTTTTTGTTGTACCTCTTCCTGTGAAAGCAAATGGCTTGTTCCTACAGGAGGCCCGGAAAGTCATTACTGCCAAAATGTATCCAATCAGTTTAATAACAGACTTTAGCGGACTTTAGCCTATACTGAGGCCCGAATTCACAAAGGAGGTTTGTCGACAAACCAAGGTTTATGTACGTCATACGACGCGTTTTTACGCGTTTTTTACAAACCTGGTTTGTAAATAACAAAAGGAGGTTTATCGAAACAAAAGGAGGTTTGTCGACAAAACTCCTTTGTGAATTCGGGCCTGAATGTCTAGAAAAAGGGCAGTTACCGATATGCTAACGCTGAAGTATGGAAACATTTTTGAAGAGCTGAGAAGGCAAGCAAACCCGTCAAAATCCACCTCTGGAGACGAGTGCTCTATTTTTGTTAGCGTTAGCATTATGATCATATAATGGTGTATTTCTACAGAAGCATGTACCTTTGAATGTCCAGAAAGTAATGGAAGGTTACAGTATTTTGAAATCTTGTAAGAACATGAACAATTCAAAGCAGTAAGTATCATATATTGCCAAGCAATTGTTCTGATATATAGAGAAGAAATAGGGATGGTCGCAACAAATGATACAGCATTTACTGAAATGAATAAATTGAGCATTTATATCTTTATTTTTGTATTTCATATTGTAAATATTACTCATCGAGTTTATAACCAACTGGAAGGCATATATTTTTTATAAATTCTTCTTCCAAAATGTCTTGAGGTCCAAGAGCGAGATCAAGACAGAGACCCTATATAAACTGGTCTTGAGATCTACAACATTGCTTCATATACAGGTTATGCATATTTACCTCTGGAGGCAGTGATAAAGTGCACGAAATTTTGCCTTTTTCACTTCACACTTGACCATAGCTACACCAATGGCAGTGCAGGGCCCCGTCTTACAAAGAGTTACAATTGATCCAAATCAATCACAAGTCCTCCAATCAATCGCAAGTTTGCAGTCTTCAATCTCTTATGTACATAGTAGTGATTGATATCAATTGCAAATAAGTTGCGATTAATCTCAACTCTTTGTAAGACAGGGCCCAGGTCTATAATAAATGAACTTTGAGACATGTAATGATATATTTTGTTTAATTGTCCACAGTATGAAAATTTCAGCCTGAAATACCTTTAGTTACAAATACTAACCCAAGAGACAAGAGTAGAGCTCTTTGATAATGGGGCCGCCATTTGTTGTTTTGAACTGATATTGAATATGCTCATCAAAACAGTGTCCATGTAACTATGTATTCATCCAGTCAAATACTTAAACCTAGCAATTGTTTTTCCTACAGTGTGCTCGCATAATAAGAATGATAACGCTCACAAATTATTTTTCACCTCTTCCCAGAACTCAACCTTCTCTTTAACACATTGTATTCCTACTTTTGCCTTGAGAGATTCCTATCTTTTTCTGTGGACGGTTGGCAGTTAGATATTGTGTATGCTATTTAAGAATCATAGAAGGTGGTCAAAGTCAACTACACTGTAGCTCTCTGGTTTATGGCATTCTTGGTCAGTGTGTACTATCTGCCTATTATGGATTCACAGTACTATGTTTCTTGACAGGGTCCATTAACACGGCCAAGATAAATCTGTACAAGTCTTTCAAACCTCTCATAGTTATGTCTAGGCAACAAAGTTAGTGATTAGGTGTTCAAGCAGTACAAATGAGAAGGTTTGGGATAGGTGCATGTAGAGGTAGACTTACAGATTGTTTGTTCAGTACTCTAATCGTGAAAGCTATCCTTGTCTGGTTTAGACCCAAACTATTGAATTTGACCATTTACGGTGTGCCAAGTGTGAAACCTCCTTATCCAGAAAAGTTACCAAGATTATGTAACTTAAAAAATAAACATTCTATTTGTCAACATGATTTATGGTGTGCTCAATGTGAAACCTCCTTTTCAGGAAAACTTACGATTATTTTACTTAACAAAAAAAATACTATCTGTCCCCAACAGCTAGTAAGGTTTCATTGCGAGCATTTTTTTTTTAAATTGACATTTTGACATTCCGAGTAGTTTGGATTTATTTGAGGCTGATTTTTTAATATTTTTTTTTACCATGAAGGCTTAGAAATATCCTTACATTGAATTACCTTGAATTAAAATATTAAGTTAAAATATGAACATATATTGGTTTGAAATACAGCAGCTGAAAAATACAATGCACAAATGAGCATATTTTCCTCAGAACTCTGTCTTCCCCATATTACAATATTCATTTCTTGTAAATAGAAGTTAAGTTTATATCATAGGTGTTAATAATTCTGTGTTGCCATTATTGTATTGTATTACCGGTATGTCTATCTTGATATTATCTTTGTTGAGAAAGACAATCTGATTTTTTGATGTGAAGATTTGTGAATATTACGGTGGATGGCCTTTTTAGTAGAAATAGGATTGAAATTCAACCTTGAGTGGAAAATTTCTCTGCTTTAGAATTAAAGCTTGATTATATTGTATTCATGTTAATAATGAGGAACCATGAAGTGGACTGATCAACATAAATTATTTTGCTCTGTATGTTAAAGCTTATCTGCCGTAGTTTACAGGAGGGATTATATTGCCCTGCAAGGTCACTGGACAGGTGGTTATCTCATCAACTCAGCTCTCAGTTAACATAAGAAAAAGAGGATCATGGGGGACCAATGGTCACCGATTAAGCATGGTTTGTTATATAGAGGGCGCAAGTAGCTACAAGTAGTGCAGTGGGCCTTTAAGAGTTCCGTGTCAATCATGTCCCTATACTATACTTAAAATATGAGCTTCAAATATTGCTTCTGTAAAGAGATTTTACAAATTTAGATACACCGTCTCCCAACTAACATAGAAGTGACTTGTGAGTAGGCTACTCAGTGCACTCATACGTACTTGCATTGAATAGGGTTCACACATAACCCAAGTCCAACTTGGGTTCTGTGTGCATGATTCTATGTTATTTCCTTCATTATTCTTTAGATGCTGCTTTAAGTATCGGCTTGCATGGTGATGTAGATATACAGTAGGCTTGCGGATGCACCATGTGAGAGAGAGAGGGAGGATTGAGGAGTCCTGAAAAGGACTCTCTGTAATCTTTCTTGAGGGTGTGTAGTCTTGAAAAAGACTGTTGGTTATCTTTCTTAGCTTATAGTTCTCAAGGAGAACTATAGCGCTAGGAGAGGATGAGTGGCTCAAGCGACTCCCGCCACCCATCCTCTCCAAGCACTATAGTTCTCAAGACTACACACCCTCAAGAAAGATTACTGAGAGTCCTTTTCAGGACTCCTCAATCCTCCCTCTCTCTCTCTCACATGGTGCGTCCGCAATTAGCCTACTGTTTATTCGTTATTCTTATCCTTATCCTTCAGCTCATATTTTTCTGGGTAAAGTTGTTTGAGGCTGTACATAGATTATATTATTTACCGGTAGACGATTTATACACTTTTAGATTATGTAATTAAAAGTATATCATCCTAGCACTAAAATCTCCTGAGACCCTTTGCTGATTCTTTATTCAAAAATTCAATTGTTTCAGTAGATCTATTTGTATTCAGGTAATGGCTTTTTTTTCTTCTTCTGTGATTTTAAATTCCATTGTAATTATTTGATTGACTGTTTTTGTAGCCCTATTGATGCAGAAGAGAGGTATTATTAGACTAAGTGCTGCACTAGCTGCATGAACACACATTTTATATTAAGTTGTATGTTTAACATACAGTACCTTGAAATATGTATCTTATTCTAGATCTATATACTAAATACATGTACAATCATTCTTGTATGTTGTACTTTAATGTCATATGAAATGTTTAATCTTATTTTGTCATACATTTTCAAAATTTATTATATTTTTTGTGTTATCTTTAGCTCGTCCATAGTAGAAAAACTGTATTTTTTAAATATTATATTTCTTGTATTGATGATAAGATTTGTTTTTTCATTTTATATCAGTGTTTTTAATTACATTTGGATTTTTATTCAAATCCTTACTAAGCTGGAAAGTTAACCTTTCAAATGTTTCTTTTCAACAAATATTATACAAGCAGAAAGTGCCTACCGGTATAATAAGTTGAAATACCTTGATAAGTATTCACCTGAAATAATTGAAGTCTGGACTAGACACTATATACCTTACAGAACAGTTATGTATTGCCCATATTACATCTGTTACAGTACTTTATGTTTCCATAATTTAACCACGATTAAGTACGACTTGTCCACAATTTGACTCCGGTATATACTTGAGAATAATTTGAATACCATGAAAAGCTTAATCACGATTTACAAGAGAAATTTGATTATTGTATCAAATGAATTCATTGATGAAATGAAGAAAATCTTATCAGTTATGTGTAAAGTCGATAGAAAGTAGGATCAACATGAATCTCAGAAAGCCAACAGTTCTTGAGCTAAAGTTGTAGATTTTCATAGGAAAATGTTTGAAGACATTTGGATTTTCTATCGCAAGAATGAAAAATGAATTTTGTTAGCTTTATGGTACTGATGCCATGGTACTTGTAATATGCACTGGGTTATTATTTTTTTAATCATAAATTCATTATTTTTAACTTCTAAGTGAATGTATTCTTTAATGTTGCATGATGTGGCTTAATATTATACTTGCCTGTACGTCAAGATACAATTTATTAATGACTTTATCAGTGGCATTCTAGTAAAAAAAACAGAATATAGTTCGAGGAATAAATTTGTATTGTATTGTATTGTAATCTATTGTACAAACATGTAATGCATAACATCACGAAAGGCCTTTGCAGTCAGTGAAGGAACAAATATTTCATATGTTTTTGAATGCCAAATGTCTGGTTTCAATAGTCCATTTTAATAAAGTAACCATATAATATGCATATCGTCGGTGGGGTGACAAAACCTCGTATCTCAATTTTTTGAGATTTTGATTTTTTTTGCATAATTGTGTACCTATATGGCCTACGACACCACCTGATAAATTCATGGAATGCCTCCTGTCTCGGGTTTTTTTCACAAATTCCACACAAAGGACGGTGTCACAGCACTAAATCTGTTGAGACAGGAAATGTTTTTTCGCTCTCCTGAAAATTCATGATTTTTGAGATACGAGGTTTTGTCACCCCACCGACGATATGCCTTTGTGAGGCGTCTGTTACGAATTACATGCATTTCATTCACCTGTTACACATAAATGTATCTCAATACTCAGAATTCAAATTACGTGCATTAGTTGTTGCTGGGTAGGACAAATATTATGGCTTGCCCTACCTAACATATGCAATTTTCATTTTGATATACAACTAGTCGTAACAGGGGAATGAAATTATATATATGATGCACTTACATTGCAAAAACAGCCTACTATTGCAATAACACAAAGGGGACCATGCAGTCGCAAAATATATTGTACTTCGGTTTTCTTTTGATATATTGTATTCAAAATTGGCATATATTACTTTTTTGTAGAGAAATTGCAATTTTTAAAGGGATAGTTGAGCTCTGTTGCGGAGGGCGCTACACAAAATAATTTTGTTGTGAGAAAATGAAAACTGAGTGTCAAATTTGAAAGAACATCCAATTTAAATTACAAAATCATCTTTGTTTGATCAAAATCGGTTCAGAGACGGCTGAAATATCCATAATTATAACGATTTATAACACTTGTGTACCACCACAAATATTAGATAATTTGAAAAAGCCGTTGAAAAAACGAAATATCGCCTTTTACGTCGTATTTCAGCCAATGCCGATGTTGGCTTTTTTGTTGCCATTTTCGTGTTGGTTATGTTACGCACAACTAGCTGGCCCATGTTTTGTATTTTTAATTAATGGTTACCATATTTTTTTGAAAGTGGAGCTGAATTGGTATGATCGTATTGGCTAAATTTCACACATTTTGGGGTCTAAAATTACCTTCATAGCAATGTTAGGTTCTAAAAGGGCACTAGAAATGTCATAGATAAGAATAAGAGCAATAACCATGCACTTTGAAGGCATTTGCGGTCTGAAAACAGAACTCAACTATCCCTTTAAGTACTCTCTACATAAAGGCTAAAGGGACAACTTGACACATCAGTATGGACATGAGGTTTTTTTTGGGGGGTGACATGTTTAGCTATATACCTATACCTATGGCACATTGATGTTATTTATATCAGAAGCTGAAAAGATGGGAATTTCATTAAAGATGTTTTGACAAGAAATGTGATTTTTGTCCTATCTGGAGTGGATTTGGTTGAAGGCATTTCTGTTTGTTATGACAAGATCAAGATATTTTTTATGAGTTTCACTAACTCGTATGAATACTGTAAGATCAAATTGTGATGTGCTGCATTTTTATACTTATCATCTGGTGAGAGCATAGATAATGTCTTTCTAGCTATCAGTAATTTGTTTTTTCTTCTGTCATAGCACCAAGCATCAATTCAAATATGTTCTACATTCCAATCTTTGAAAGTTGCAAAGTTTTCTACATAGCACAAATATTTTCTGAGGTATATATTAATCTTTTTCAATTAACAATTGTGCACACTCAAATGTGCAGAGGCAAAATGTGATTGTATGGTGTTACAAGTTATACAAAATTAAAAAATTAAATTAAATAAAATTTAAAAAATGATTGCTTTGATTGCGAAAAGTTGTTAAAAATAATGAAATGCCAATTGATTCCAGGATTCTTTTAAAAAATGCTATTCAACAATGCTGTATGATAATTTACATGTTGCTGATTTAGTTAATAAATTCACTAACATTGTGTTGTTTGTGATGTGGTATAATAAATTCCTAATACAAATAACAGCAGTGCTGACACTTTATTCTCCTAATGAAAAAATGTATTTGTAAAATAGTGTGCAGAAATTACTACCGGTATCTGTATTTACAAATTCATTGAAACAATAAAAGCTTTTTTGAATAAACCAAATGGAACCTTGTTTTATTATGTAAGCTGTTTCTGCTCTTGAATTTATTATTTATTGCATACATGAGTGAAAAAATATATATTTAAATCATAAATTCATTTACATAATTTATACACATGATATATACTCATTTATTTTTTCAGAAAAAGAATTATGGGCAAGTACTGATCCATGACACCAATTGAATTGGAACAGGAGAGATTACTAAATACATGCAAGAAAACCTTCTTCATATTCTTTTCTTCATCCGATTTTCTCTCCTTCTACGACTTATATTTCAAGTAAGCCTTAAAAGGATACAATATCCATTTCAATTACATAGTAAACAATCATAACAAACAATACAAATAAACAGTGGTTGAAACATTCTTCTGTCTTCATCAGTCATTGTCTTTTCCTTCGTTTCTCTCATTGCGTTATCTTATATACTATTCCATCTACTTCAGAATGTCTGATTTTGAGTAATATAGCCTCTACTATATCTCTATAAAATATTTAAATGAATACATATTGATTGCCTAAATATAACAAACGTATGAAACAACTCATACATGTAAGTTCATCTGATATACAGTATATCGTCCAATGACCAAAACATATAACTACACGTGTACAAATAAGAAATTTGTATAATCAATTAAGGATGCTCGATTCATTTTTTTGAAATTGAATGAAAAAAAATCTTTAACATCAGGGTGTTTTTTGTTGCAACTTGCCATAATTAATAAATACAATTTCATGAAACTAATGCCAACTTGTTACAACTGATAATTGATAACTGTTTGGAAGTGTTTCGATACCACACAATTTCAGTATAAGGCCTTTAAAAAAGAAGATATTGTATTGCCCTTGAAATCTATGGTCGGCTTTTAAACGTTTAAACAAAAAATGTTTAATGAATAAAAATATATGTATCAAAGCATTCAAAACTGAGAAATATCAGCCCAAAGAGGAAGGAAAAAAAAAATTACTGACCGACTGACCCATGTTTTGGCACCTAAAGGGCAATACAACATCTTTCTTTTTTTAGGCCTAAATACTCCTATAGCCACAGGGGACCTCATTCAACTACAATTAAAATTCCATAAAAAGTCCTATTGCAATTTCTTTGCAGTGGCCTTCAGAAACAAAAGCAGATTAACAATCTTGGTGCCATAGGCCGTTCGAACTGGGCATAAAATACCAAAATAATATTTCAGACAAAGTAACAATATTTGCATCAACAAGAACAAAGACACTTTGGTAGAAATATTGTCTCAAGAGAGAACATTTTTATGCATACTTCGAAACTTGGTCACATAAGAGTAATTGCCATGAACTAGCAACCTTCCCGGGAAGCCCTGGGTTTAGTTGAACCACCTATGATCAGGAGCAGGCCACTTTGCAGCAAGCATGAAGCTCTGTGGTCTCAAAGACCTGTGTCTATGAGGTCAAATTCAGATTGCCGAGCATGTTCTTAATAAGTCAGAGTGTGATGTAGCATGACCCCCATGTCCACTCACTGATACTGACAACCCATAACTGGTGTCTTATTCAAACCATCGTCAGTTTTCAATAGTTATGGTTTATATAAAAAATAATATTAAACCATTATCATGTCCAAATATCTTTAATTATATACCTCATACATAGATTGTCATTCACTGATTTGTCAAGACTATATCACACGACAAGGTGCATTTTGATCGATCATTGCGTCGTTCTATCAAACCCTGTGATAGAACTCCTAACCCCTGTGCGACTTTTGCACACAAACACAGCGTACAAGATTCCCCCCAGTGCGCAACTCACGCGTTGTCACGGCGCTCTAGCTCAAAATGGTTTCTTCATGTCAACGCAGCTAAAACCGAAGTTGTTGTATTTTCTCGTGGTAAAGTTCGAACAATTCATATAGACCTATTTAAATTTGATGATAATATTGTAGAAGTTGTTGATGAATACGTCTATCTTGGAACGGATGAGGTATATAAAACACATATTGACTGCTCTGTAATCGGATGGTGGAGGGAATTATCACTTCCTCAGTGGGGTTCATACCAGCCATTCTATCACCCCCGAGGCTTTGCCTCGGGGGTGATAGAAGGGCGGGTATGAACACCACCTTGGGAGTGATAATTCCCACCATCATCCTCATGAGCAGTCAATATTTGTATACTTGACTCCCCCCCCCCCAAAAAAAAAAGACTTGTTAAATGTTTACGAATCTACACTGAAACAGTTTGAACTGCACTGGCGACCCCACACACGTTGTTGCCGATTTTGATCTTCAGATAGCCGTCAATGCCCCAGTTAACTCCCCATGAGTTGCGCACATTGTAGAATGGTATATCACCTGTGATAGAAAATAGAGACAAAAAGTGGAAAGCTGTAAACATTCATGAAAAGCAAATACTGCTTAAGGGTAACTTAACATGAAAGTTGGTCTTTGTGTACTGCTTCCTTTAATATCAGTATTACTTCAACAAGTAAACTCTGTCTGGGGAACTACATAAGTGGTCTTTACAGACAGGTGGCCACTAAACTGGTTTGACTGTAATTTCTTTCTTTTTCAGTCTTCTAGCTGTGTAAATGGAGGAATGCATTAGTTTTTCATTTATCAAGATAAATAAAAACAGAACAAAAACAAAAATAAGTTTTCCACAAGGGAAAAAGATATTATTTCAACTTTCTTTTGGTAAACATGAACAACTATGAAAGTTCCTACACAGCAAACAGATCTGATATAGAATTGTGTGATAAAGAATTCAAATGACAACAGACGTGCCCTCTCAAAGCTCAGTATCATCACCAACACTCAAGATGACCTTTGACCCCTGACCTTTAACCCACCTGACATGTCGAAGCCAACGATCTGCACAGCATGGTTGAGGTAGGTCGGTGTACAGTGGTACTGGATGATGCCTCCTAGATAATACTGCCAACTCTCTGCATCCACCGAGATACTAAGAGGACCTTGGTTATACAACATGGCAGGCATCACATGCTCCTCATCAGCGGCATAACTAAGTTTGGTGAGATGGTGGTAATACAAATCAAACACTTTCTTGTCGTAAATTACTATATTTGTCAGTCTGTGGTGCCAGGAAGCAGCACACAATGACTTATCAATAGAAAAGATTAGATTAAACAGAATCTGATCAATTTGTAAACAAATATTTAAAAAGTTATCAAAAGCTTGAGAAAGTTCAATATGAAGACAGATTAAAGGTATAGCTTAGAGACTTCTGCATAGGAAGTGTTAGGCGCTATGTAAGCAAGGATAATTATTATTATTAGCTAAGTTCTGCAAAGAGGTATAAACAAAAGGTGTCTAGAAAATAGTTGTCATGATGTACTTGCCGGTCTTTGGTGCCAGGGTGGGACACATAACATCTTATCAATGGAAAAATACTAAGATTCATTGGATAGAATCTGATCAATTTGTTTGGAATTATAAAAAAAAAATGTGGTTGCCTTAAATGCTTTCAACATAAATAGTTCATGGATAGAAATACAATACAAATCTACTTTGAAAATACTCTGATAGGTGTAAAACAATATCTATGAATTATAACATTTCCCTAAAAAAAAAAAAAATCAAGTTTTAAAGGCAACAGGTGCCACATTTCGTACTCACTTTCCACATGAAAAGTTTGTCACAACTGCATTTAGAGTTGAGCTGTTAAATCAAATAAAGAAAAATGGAAGTTGGAAAATAAAATAATCAATTGCCATAAAGAGCTTAGGTGAGTAAAATTAAGCTTTTCATTCAATTCAAGAGCAGTTTTTACTATAAGGCCTAAAAATAAAGATGTTGTATTGCTCTTTGCGACCAACCCAAAAATCTTGAAATCTAAGGTCCACTTTTTTAAAAAGTTTTTTTGGGGGGAACGTTTTTTAGAAGAAGAAGAAAATGTTTAATGAATAAAAAAATATGTATAAAACTGAGAAATATCGGCCCAAAGAGGGAGAGAAAGAAAATCAGTTAAAAAAAGAACAATTATTTCTGACTGACCGTCCGACCAACCCGTGTTTTGGCACATAAAAGGGCAATACAACATCTTTTTTTGAAGGCCTAATGTGTAGCTCCTTTCTATGCATGTCAAAAAATTATACAAGAATAAATCCTAAATTATAATATCATGCACCAATTTATAGCCATTTTACATTTAATCATAAAGGAATTGGATAAATTTCTGCTGCGATGGAGTCAAAAAGCAGGTTTCTAGAAACACCTATGGTAGAATATTTGCCTTTTAAACAGATAATTGCAATACTCACAATACATATTGGTAATAAATGTTGCAAAAATGAAGGAACCTGCTTTACTTTCTTGATTTTTGAAAGCGTAATAATTTCAATCTTGTATCTGAACCCTAGTCCCTGCCTAACCCCAACCCCTTTACCCCACTACCCCCAACCCTTATAGTGTACCAATCAAAAAATAATATTTTGCTATGTAGGTTTAAAGTTGCATGTTGTAATACCATATTCAAAATACAAGCTTCAAATATTATTTCTAATTAATTCTGTAAAGACATCTTACAAGTTTAAAGGGAACCAAAACCTTCATACTAAGTTACTTTTATTGTAAAGTTTAAGATATTTGAATAAAATCAGTGAAAATTTGAACAAAATAAGGCAAGGAATAAGGAAGTTGAAGCTTTTTGAAATGGCTAGTCACTAGAGCAGGCCTTCTCAACTGGCGGCGCACGCGCCACTTGTGGCACTTGCGGTCAGTCGGAGTGGCGCGCAACTGTTGCAACAACAAAACACAAAACAAAAAGAAAGAAAATATATATTTTAGAATCAAATACTCAGCTAAATCAAGAAGTTGCAGTCGAATTTGGTCCCAAAATGCCTGCTTAACAAATATGAAGAAGGGGAATTTATTGTTTTTTACCATTTTATACGAATCTAAACCTAAGGTCTGAACAACAATTAGCTTATGATGGGATAACAATTTTAACATTGCCAATCTCTGGAAACATCTTGTTTTGTTTTTTTTTATTTTCACTTTATTTTGACATTTCCTATGTTTATTGCACACAAAACACTACATATAAATATACCTCCAGTGTAATTGTACCCAGGAATTGTACTAATTTTGTCACATCAATATGAAATTATGATTGATTATATTGTGGAATGAACTGGTGCTAAAAATGCCCCCATTAGGGCCTTTAGAAAGCCCTAAATCCACCAGCTTCAGGGGGCTCTGCCCCCTGCTACCCCCGCTAGGGCTTCGCCCCTGGACCCCAACCATTTTCGGCTCGGTCGCTACGCTCCCTCGCAGCACAGTCAACCATACAGGGTGGCACTTCAACTACAAATTCTTTTCGTTTTGGCACTTCTAATAAACTAGTTGAGAAGGCCTGCACTAGAGGGTGATATTCAATTTGATGACATCATAGTGTGGACAACTCTCCATGCCTATTGTACATCAAATTTCGTGTTTTTCTTTCTTTCTTATGATTGAGATAATCTACTCCCCTGAAAGCAAGGTATAGAATGCAAAATGATATTCTACTTCACATGCTATGAAGTCGGATGAAGAACACAAATAAATACGAAGAAAACGAAAGAATTGTGAAATTTGATGTACAAAAGGCATGGACAGTTCTCTAGTGACTAGTCATTTCAAAAAGCTTTAACTTCCTTATTCCTTGCCCGATTTTGTTCAAATTTTCACTGATTTTATTCAAATATCTTAAACTTTACAATAAAAGTAACTTAGTACGAAGGTTTTGATTCCCTTTAAATACAATATCAGTTAACATAAAAGTGGCTTATGAATAAACTACTCCACGCACTCATACATGTACGTGCTTGAAAAAAAGAGAGCCCACATGGAACTCAAATCAGTGTTTACAATTCTAAGTCATTCTTTATTTTCTTCATCCTCCTTATCTGTTGGCCCACAGAATGCTGGGTGAAGTTCTTAAGGTTGATTTTATACATTCTAGCTGTGCACAAATTATTTTGTTAGGTGACTGGTACATTTCAAACCCCCATCCCTATAGAACATGTATCATCTCATGGAAGAATAATGATAGTTTATTAACATGATTTCTTCTGATTGCTCTTCTTCCTATGGGTCGAATCTAGGGTACCAACCAATGCCATAAATATGTTGTATGTGAAATGTCTATGTTAAATAGACCATTTTGTATTAAACTTTAAAAGATTGACTCTACTATAAGTAATATGTAAACCCAAAAGAATAAAAACAAATGATGAAAATATTGAATGCTCACTTTTTATTAATTCTGCAGTCCCCCTTCTTGGCTTTGTAGGGGTACGTGGATTCAGGTACGAGCGATGTCTTGGTTCGATTCAGCCAATCAAGTGTCTTACATGGTATGCCGCCACGGCAACCACCATCTCCTGCAGCGGTCCCACAATCTACCAGCTCCTGGGCGCTGAGCTGGGTAAGACGTTTGGTCTTCAAGGCAATCTGAGTTTCCATGGTCTCAACAACGCTGAAAGCCCTGTAAATATGCAATTAGAAAAGTTTGTATCGGCAGTAAATACACCCCCCCCCCCCCCTCTACAAAAATAACTGCTTATAAATGCAGTATATATTTTAATTACATATTTAGGTCTAGAAATTCATATAGCACTATTGTAATCAACACAAATTTTGAGATTTTATTTTAATTTTTTCCATCAGAACAGCTAACAGTATTTTAAGGACATGATAATTTTTTAGATAAATATCATTTTATACTCCTATTTCTTTTTTATGTTTTTTTCATGATTTTTGTCAGATACAGTACAAAATCATATTTCAGCTAATCACTTGATTTAAAGGACCATGTCTAGCAAATTCCATGTGCTAAAATGTACTACGTATTATAGAATGATGATTAACTTTTGGATAAAGGTAGATTCTGAAAGCTTTTTACTCAAGATAACAGATTTGATAGGAATTACAAAAACAGGAATATCAAATGTGTATCACATATCAGTATTTAAATTTTATAGGCCAATAAGGCCATGTCAGCTTATTTTCATTTAGTCCTCAACCTTGGAAGTGGAACATTTCAATTTTGTTACTATTCAGAGTTGCAGGCATTCTGGACAGTGTCTCACAAAACTGTCATTAAGTACATGTTCATGAACATTACTGTGAAATGCATTTCAATAGGATGTCAGCAACTTTAACGAATGACAATTTCCTCCAGATGCCCTGCTACTCATTAGAGTGTAAAATCTTTTAAATACAAAACTTATTGGGTTTTAACCAATACTGTAACCAAAACAACAAAAAACTTTAAAGAGAAGGTTGAGTTCTGGGAAGAGGTGAAAAATATTTTGTGAGCGTTATCATTGTTATTATGCAAGTGTGGAAGAACATCAGATAACAAAAATTCCCTGAAAAGCATGTTACAGCATAAACAATGGGACAGATTTTTATGCCACATGTTTGTGTAGTCCCATATACATATTTCTGTGTACAGTGCTTGTAACTTTACCAAGACTAGCTGGGCCAAATTTCTTATCATTTTGATGATTCCAGAACCTTGCAGTAATAATAATAATAATAATAATAATGTAACTTATATCGCGCCAAATCCACTCTGTGGAGTGCTCAAGGCGCGTGTAAACAGGAAAAAAGATCAGTACACACCAATACTTATATGCTAGATGATCAACCTTTTCTGATCGATTCCACACCGTTTCATTCACAATGCAATCGCATGACAATTAATTCAACTTTATCTTTAATGATAAAAATACTTGCATTCCTATAACTTACCAACATGCTCCACACTGGGATGTACAGAGATTGATGTGGGTGATGAATAGGGGGAAGATGAGAGACAAGATAGTGTTAGAATTTTTATCTTCAATATATTCTCTTCAGTATAAATGTATATGTTAGGAAAATACAATATTATTTTTCTTTGAGAAAGACAGATGATTTTCAGAAAGAAAATCATCTTACATGAATACCTGCCAACCTTCCACAGTGAAAATTAGGGATCTACTATGCCAGAATTAGGAATACAGTGTATGTCATCTTTATATACAAACTTTTTCAGAAAACAAGAGGAACATAGGGTTCATCACACTAGTTCCAAGAGAGAAAAACAGGAATTATTCCTCCTATGTTCATACAACATGATATTGATAAAAAAACAAATATTACTTTGTATCACATCATAACTGTGGGACCAGTATACTCCTTTACAACTGGTATAATTTTCATTTTCGGAAGATGTACAAACACAAAAAGATAGAAAAAGAAATCAAGACAATTGAAAATGGTTATCATGTATCATTCCTGACTAACTAATATCCAATGTCCAATAAAGGCCAGTAAAAGTTACAACAGTTGTTCATATTGCTTGTGCCAGTCATTTTTCACCCTTCTTTAAAATTCTTTTTCATAAAAAACTTACCGACTTTTGGTTCTTCACTGGAGTTACAACTGGAGGCTTGATGGACCTTCTGTACATTACAACAGACAAGGAATTCACAAATAGAAAAAAATAATAAAAAATGTTTAACATAATACTGGACATTAATGTAGAGTACCTACAGTGTGTGACGGTTATCTTAGAGTTGTCATGTTTTCAACTGTGTGACAATTCTAACTTTTTGTGTAAAGGAGTTGGAATAAGGATTATGCATTTTAATCAAGATAAACTATTTTGAAGAAAAAAATGAATAGCATCAACTAAAAAGATCACAATTTTCTGTGTTAAAAGATATCTTTTCCCTTTCTGTACTATTACAGGGGTAAGGGTATCAATATTATCTGCAGGTATTTTCATAATTTCATAACTAAAGCATATTTTCTGAAGCTGACCGGTAATCACCAGTGCTCAATATGTGACCTTGTGTTGATCACTTCCGAATGGTCCGCTGGGGACAATGACAGAACTAGGACAGAACAGGCAATACTCACAAGTCATACACAAGGGGCATGGTCTTTAAGGGTCTCCGCACTGGCCCAGGAACCGATCGTACGCTTTGGTCTGGTATGCTGGCGGTTCCGAGATACTGAAATTGAAACTCCTCGGAAGTGAGGTCTGAAAACTTGGTAATGCCGTATGTTGCATGGTCCCTATGAGTAGCGATGGCATTTAACATTTCATGCTTCAGTAAGCTTTCCTGTAGAAACATAATCAGGTATTAGATAAAGCAGAGGCATGTAGGACATGAGATACATACATGTACATGTTAGGAGAAGTGAACCAATTTTTATGAAAAAATAATTGGTATGGTATTTGTGGTATGGTAAGGTATTTATCTGGGCAGCGTTTCTCGAAACCGTCATAAGTACAAGTTCACCGACATCCCATTGACACGCTTGTATTAAGTTTAACACGCGTTTCAATGGGATGTCGGTGAACTTGTAGTTATGACAGTTTCGAGAAACGCTGCCCTGTTAGCTGTTAGACATTTTTATCACACCTACTTTTGTTTTTAGGCAAGGGTCAAGAATGATCAGGGTATCATTAATCAAATTTATCTGTAAATCACTTTATCATGATTTTTACATAATTCTGATAAAAGAAAATCGCTGAAAGTTGACAAAATACTTAATTTTTTTAAATCATTGAAAGTAAATATTCTTGAGGATGGCATGGATGCCTCTAAAGAGCCATGCATTCAAAAATGACAATCAGAAGTGAGAACATGGTTAATTGCTCTAGACATCTGTTCGAACGTAAGAAAGTTGGATATTGGGTATATAATTAGAATAAAGGCTGAACTCAAATCAGAAATTCATTGAAATTGAAAGTTCATCTCCTAGATAGGCAAATTCATGCAAAAAAATATATTCAAAAAATTGACTTGAAAACACATCAGACAATTAGTCTGAACCGAGTCAGGAGCAGATTTGAAGAAATTATATTTTTAAATGTTGTAAAACCAAAGATATAAGAAGAAAACTGACCAAGTATCTGTACTAAAAATCGTACATGTAAAATTGGTCGTACACATTCGACAGCTCTAAATGACGCGCACGGTTGCGTTACGTGCGTTCTCGAATCCAAAATCATACCTCACACACACACTGTCACCATACCGCGAATGGTCCGTCATGGGGAGCTAGCCGGCTGAGAGTTTGCAGCGATACCAACGCAGCTTCGGAGCTTCGCAGCGCGCCATTTTAGCGGGACTCTGAAAGGTTCGCGGTGGGAAGGCAGCGGCCTAGCTTTTTGCCCAAACAACGCTAGATCGGCTGCTGGCAAAATGAAAATAACTACGATCGAGAACATCGTCGGTTTCTTAACTTTTCAGTGAGATAATTCTGAATTCTAATTGAGACTATATAATAAATTAAATCGACAAAGAAACCTCGGTAGAACTCTTATAACTATACAAAAGCTTGTTTATTTCTTCATTTGACATTTTGTTTTTGACCATTTTTTCGTGCGCGAGTCAATGCAAACTAGTATTACCAAACTTTCAACACGCAAGGAACGGGGAACACTCGCGGACCTCGTATCAAATTCGTTGCAAAAAAAAAAATCAAGGGTGATTTTGAAGCAGTGAAGAATATTGGCGCTGCAATGCGCAGAAATATACTTGAAAGAAACTTAAAAAATCATACCTGAATTTTCAGAAAATCGTATTTGTATTAGTGTACCTAGATGTGAATTGTTTATAACTCAGATTTTATGAAGATTTGTCGGGTAAAAAAATCCAAATTTTTTCCATTTGGTGGTCATTTCTAGGCTAATATTTTAAAAGTTACTTCAGTAATGGTCCAGATGTTTCTCTTATCATACTCGCATGTTATTCCTACATAGATTAAACATAGGATGGTTAAGGGTAAGACCGGATAACATTATAAAAAAGATATATCCTTCCAACCTCCCATATCCAAGTTTTGGGCTGATTATTGCCGACCCACCGCAGCAAGGCCATTCAGATTTTCGTACGCGACCGAAGCGCCCTCTAGTGCCCCATGAATGTGCCTATCCTAGATGATACACCTCCTCGATGATACACCTCCTCTTCCTCCCAGACCTATTGATGTACTTGTGCGTGTCGGTCAGGGCCTAGCTCACATGTTGTCAATGCCAGACAAGGGATTGGGGGGGGGGGGGGGGAGCATCATGCAATGGGCACCCTGTTGGCATATTAATTGGCATTCTCATGAAATAACCCACTACTCATACCATAGCCGTTCACTAATTCCATTCCACCTCTGCATATTTAGATGCAAGTGGGCATACACACTCAGTGATCGAGGCTTAACTAGTTCATATTGAGAATTGGCGAGACCAGAATATTAACAGGGATGTGTGAGGATTGAGGGCCCCATATCTATACAACTTAATTTCACACCACTACCGCATATACCGGTCATGCTCCGTTCCATTTCACACATACACAGGTTTCCTCATTCCCACTCTGTTGGCTGAAATCACCCCACCCCCCCCCCCCCCTTCCATGCCAATCTCATTTGTATGTCACTCCTTGTCAATAGAGTATTTCACTGCATAAACACTGAAGTTTTGTTTTCATTCTGCCGCTGCATACTTTACCTTTATCTTTTATCCCACTAAGTCTATGTAAGTGACTTTTAGATAGGGTCTAGATTCTGTGAACCTGTTACATGTTTTTTCTTACCTTAAATATTCTGTAGCGCTTGAAGTATTCTTGTGAGCCTCTTGTGTAGGTCTTGTTGAATTTCTGAATAAAGATTTGGAAGATAGATTCTTCCACTGAAAAAGTGGAATCAGTTGAATTCAGTTTGCCATCAAAACTTGCCGAATTTAAACTTGAAAGACATGATAAAGTGATGATTAAGGGCAACAGTGTAGCAGACGGTCTGCACAACATTCTCAATACCCCATTTATTCCCATCATAATACAGATGAATAGGAGATTTCTTGCTGGAAAAGACAACTGTTTAAGTATGTACACTCAGTAGGTGCATATTGCATGCAGTATGCACCAATGTAATGTAACACGATTACCGTATAGCCTAGCGCTAGCAGCTCTGTTATGATTTGTAGTTTACTCTCCAGTCTTCTGTGTTAATTTGTTTTGATCATCATCATGATACGAGGATCGAGGAGAGGTATAGATCCTGTAATCCTCGGTCACTCACTTCAGGGACGCCCTTTTGATTTGTGCACATAATTACAGAAAGTGTCAATTTTTCTGGATTTTAAGATAATGGAACAGATATGTATTTACCGTCCGGGGTGGACATATACAAGTAAAAGTAGATCTATGTCGCCCATACTTGCTAATGCTATGCAAAGTCACTTATGATGGCATAGTCATATTGATATGCATTATAGATTAAAGGAACTGAATGAATTTCATTATTTATTTCCATTTCATGACTAAGTTGTATTCCTTTTAAGGAACTGCATGAATTTCATTATTTATTTCCATTTCATGACTAAGTTGTATTCCTTTTATTTTGTGTAGACAACTTTAACAGAACTCCTATTAGTGCCTACGCCAGGGGAAAATGGAAAAGGGAAATGGCAGGGATAATGAGAAGACTAAAGAAAGAAAAAATAATTTAAAGAGAAGAAGCCGAAGAAGATATAGGGTGGAGAGAATGGAGAGAGGGAGAGAGAGAGAGAGAGAGAGAGAGAGAGAGAGAGAAAGAAGGAAGGAAAAAAAAGAAATAACATATGAAACTTAAATTTACAATTACAGATTACATTTCCGATGAGTTGGCTCGAGATGTGCCTAAGAAATTTGCGGACGAAAGTGCAACAATAAAAAAAAAAATCTACAAAATTGTTTAAGAGAAAGAGAGGTTATTTCTAAAATGAAATGAAAGGGACTGTGTGACTTTCAAGGAGCAAATTACAATGATCGCTCGTGACAACTATTTTAATTTTTTTTTTTAAATCAAGAACTTCCTGGGGCTCGCCTCACAAGACTCCCGTCAAAGGCTCTCTCACTGCACCCATCCGTAATGATAGAAGTGGTTTCCAAGACAACTTTTTGTTGTATACATAAAATTGGAGAGAGTGTTACTTTTATAACAACACAGTATATACAGTCGGCAACGTCTCGCGACGTGACAGCCACTTTTCTCTAACTTCTAACCAATCAGAAGACCTCGTTTTTTCCTCCAGGAAGTGTCGGTGCGCCAAATGTGGTTCTCAAATTGCAAAAGATCCCTTCTTTTGGAGGCCGGGTAGCGCATATTTTTTTTTACACAAGTGTTTAGCCATTTTCGCGAAAAAATTCAAAGAAGTGCTCTGGTGAAAGAGTCTCGAGTCGTCAGCGCAAGTATGTGCATGCACGCATCCAGGGAAGGGAAGATGATAGAAAGGGGAAACTGACAATGATAGTGGAGAGGATATGGAGAAGGAAAAACAAGGAAACACATAAGGAAAGAGAAGAGGATAAGTCAAAGGAAGAACATAGAAATACATAATTGCGGAAGAGCTAAGAGGATCATAGATCTAGACTAAGGAAAGACAGGGAAATACATAAACAAGGTCGAGAAAGGGAAACTATCAAATTAAAACAAATAAGATGACGAAGCTTGGAGAAAAGGATAGATTGAAGGAGAAACAAAGAAATACACAAAACAAAAGAGAAGAGGTTAGAATGAAGGAGAACAAAAGATATACATAACGAAGGAGAAGAGAGGATAGATTTAACCCGAAACAAATAACGAGTATGACATATATGTACAGCTCCAGCAATCCAACAAAACTGCGAAGACTCTTAGTATAGTGCTAGACTCTATCTCTAGTCGTTTGCACAGTATATTTGACTGAAGTGGCTGTTGTGTAAAACAAATATGCGCGCGGCCGGGTAGGAGAAAGCAATTTTACGTCATTACTCCAGGATCGAAATGCTTCCTTCTAATGGAGAGGGTTCTGACCCCCTCCCTGACCCATCCCCGCTTGGTCGTTCCGCTCCCTCGCCGCTGACGCCTCGCTGTACGTAGCTGTGGCTTCGGCTCCATTAGTCCATGCGATTTTGTGCCCCCCCCCCCCGGGCCCCCCGGTTAGAAATGTCTGGATCCGCCACTGAGGAAGTAAATTTTTTTTTTTGGGGGGGGGTCAAATTGTAAAAATTGTAGGAAGGCCGGAAGATCTAGAGAAGATATCGAGGGGGGGATAAGTTATGATATTGTTCAGACCAGGGAGGTGAGACTTTACATGCCCTGTTCAGACCTAGAAGTTACCAATATAATTGTAGTCTAATTCTGCCTGATTGTCACGGTAAAACCATGAATTTATCTAGCTTAGTTCATACGTCTATGAAAAAAACAATAAACAATAACTACCACATTTCACCCACACAAATTCATGTTCTACTACCTGAAGAGCAGACTAATGTCCTCTGGTCCAAAATAGCGTAGTGAATAAAACAACAACAACAAAAACATTTTATTGTAGATCACGTGCACAGTAAGCATGCAATCTAGCAAATTTAGCCACGCCCCCATCTTACAGTTCAGTTCAGACACCTAAAAAACTCGTGGGAACTGAATGCCCTGTGAATATCGATCGATTACATTCACGTTAAAGCCTCAATTTTGACGAAACGAGTTCATTTTGGATTGCTTTTCTAGAAATTCCATATTTTGATCTTGGACAATCAACGGAGTTGTGTTAATCATGATAGGAATTGGCGTCCTCGCTCTTCTGGGTTATACCATTCTCTTCGTCCTCTTGCTCGCCCTAACTTCGGGCGTCGCCTACTCTGCTTACGTGTATATGCAGCACAGGAAGTACGCGCATATACCCTCCGTCAAGCGAGCGAAGTGAGTACAATGACTTCACAAACAGTATTCCTCAGTTAGTGTTTTATTACATATACTTTGCATCCGAGATTGTTTGAATTGTAGATATTCGAGGTTTATATTGCAGCTTGTAAATGTTAATGCTTGGGCTATTACTTAGCTGTCTTAATTTCTAAGACTTGGTGAAAGTTAAAACTTAAATAGGTCTAATTTAAGTCTTGTCAAAATGTGCATACACATACTATACTACACCTTTCATTTATTATCAGCTTACCGGTAGTCTTTTCTTCTTCTACTTCTTCTTCTTTTTGAGTACAGACCTCTTTACAGAGTATTATCGTACTATATATATATACTGGGGTATGTGCAGGATGTGGGGGGGGGGGGTATATTAACATTTATACTTTCTCTGAGAATTAAATGATCAACCTGTTCTTTGATTAATTTGCTATGGTTACCTGTAGTGCTGCTACTTTCTGCGCTGCTTGTTGAAAGTCGATGATGTTTTCCTGTCACACCCCCCCCCCCCAAACAAAAAAAAACAAATATATATATATATATATATATATATATAGGTATATATGAATAAAAATATGAATGAAAATGATTGTTTAAAATAATTTTATTGCATATTTACGGTTTTCCAGTTTCTTTATGGGTCACTACCCTACTATCAAGGACTATATGAAGAAGCATGAGTGTCCTTTGGCTGAGGTACTATATGAATGGTAAGTTGTTCTTTTGTGTATTCTTCCGTTTTTTAGTTCACTAAGTTCAAATAAACTACATATTCAGGATTAATGTAAAACTATTTATAATTTTTTGTGTAAAGCATCCTTTTTTATTAACTCATGATTCTTGAAGGAAATCTTGAATTCTTATGAAATTGAATTAATAGTTTCTTGTTACTGCCCACTTTCTTTTGCCCCCCCCCCCCTTTCATTTATTGTTAGATGGTTTGATATGATCTGAAATTCTTAGAAATGAAAAATGGCAATAAAGTCACAAAGTAACCAATGGATTGCAGTGTATCGATAGACATTTCATCACCCCCAAAAAGTTGTGTCGTTATAATTGTAGCATTTTAGTGAGGAGCAGCTTGCTTGAGAAAAAAAATCAAATATTTAGTAACATGGAATTACATGCTCATTTTTTGTAATTATAAGAATGAAGTCCAAACTTGGTTTTAATGGGCCTTATGAAGACAACAAAAACAACAAGAAAATAAAAATCAATTGCATGTAAATTTGATATAAATGCTCCAGATTTCAACTGAGTATTGAATTAGATAATGAGCAAAGAAAAATGAATATATTGCAATTAATTTTCAGATGAGTACCGGTACATACTGTAGTTCCAAGCTTCTGTGAATGTTCATTGCAGTTCACTTCCCGGGGGAAGGGGGGGGGGGGGGGGTCGGCTGGTGGTCTGCACCTGATGAAACCTCCAAGGGTCATTTGGGCAGAAGAGGGTAGGCCTACCCATTATATTAGGCCTTTGAATGTTTTTTTAAAAATGACATGATTCAAATAATTTTTGCATTGGTATGAGCATTTTAGCGAACTTAATGTATTATTCTCTAGAAAAAAGTATTTCAATGTTTTAATAAAAAGACTAGTATCTAAATACTGGGCTATTTTTAGGGATTTATTTACGCGATATCATATCCTTGTTAAAGGGATTGGGTATCTTTGTCTCAGATTCTGAAACAAAATCCTGGATTTAGCTCATGCTGCAATGATAATTGTAAACATTTAGGTCAGTCAGGAACCCCATGACTTTTACAAGCCGATCGCCTGTCTGATTAGCGAGATATTTATGATTGGAAATCAACATTTTGAAAACCTTTTTCCTAACAGTTTTATAACACTATACAGTCTATTGGGGAAAATGAGTGTGGTAAAACCTGTCACTCAAAGATTTTTACTTTTTTGAGGCACTTTATGATCATTATGAAACGCAATTTTTGTTGAGGGCTTTATTATTACACCATATCACAGACACTGATGACACGTAGGGCCATGCATCTCAGATTTAACATTGTTAAACTATGCCTTTAAGGGACTTTTTTTCAAAATGGTCACCAACTAGAGCAGCACCTCCCCTTACAAGGTGAGTAGTGAGTACCAGTCCCCCTTGCTCAGTTACTCCCTCCTACATGCACATGTAAGTGCAGTTTCCTTCCCAGATCAAAGGGTATGTTTAATCAGAACGTAAGGGTCATTTGTGTTTTCCACGAGACACGGTCTAGAGCATAATGGTAGACAGAGAACAAACAGAAGATTTTAACCAAACTTATATATGCATTCTGCAGCAGTAGCAGCACTCATGGTGTCTGCATGTGGTCTAGAGCATAATTAGACAGAGAACAAACAGAAGATTTTAACCAAACTATATGCATTCTGCAGCAGTAGCAGCACTCATGGTGTCTGCATGTGTTGAAGTTGACATTGCTTTTGTAGAAACAAATTATTGATGGAAAACTTGAAGTGCTCGTACCACTCTGAGATGGCTCTTTTATTTTCATGGGGCAAATTGTATTGTTCCCCAGTAAAAGCATTCACGGGCCAGATGGCACTAGTATATTATGGTGTAACATGCTAGTTAGTACACTCAATTAATTCTTTTCAGTTCTATTTCAATGGAGAAAACATTGAGAAATTCTAAAAATAGATTTTTGATGACGTCACACTTCACCACTCTATAGCTTTTTAGGGTCCCAATTTGGATCATGTTTGTTCATCATGATTGCTTTGTCTGGTGTTTTTTAATAAACTGAAACTGAAACTGAAAGACAGTCAGGGTGGGGTGAGAGAGGGAGAGAGAGAGAGAGAGAAAAAGAGAGAGAGATGGGAGAGGTGAGAGAGGTAGGGTAGAGAAAGAGATAAGGGAGGGAACCAGGTGGGGTAAGAGAGGGAGGGGGGAGGGTAAAGCGAGCAAGAAAGAGAGAGAATGAGGGTGGGGAGAGAGAAAGAGGGAAGAATATAAAGAGATTGGGAAAGATGGAGAGTTCGCGGAGAGAGAAAGAGAGAGCCTGGGTGCAGCAGTAAGTTAAAGAAAAGGGGTGCATAAGGATTTGAAAAAGGGTGCAGAAATCTAGCAATAAAATTTATACTTCAAAGATTTTAATGGCATAGATACACGTGTATCTATAAATGGTAATTCCTTTCTTTCTTTCTTTCTTTCTTTATTTTGTTCAGGTACAAAGAATTAGGCTTGGTATATTGCGTCCATGTCCTCCACAATACATTTGTTGTATGTTTAGATTCCAAGGTGGTGAAGGTAAGAGACTCATCAGATTACAAATAACCTTAATAGGAATAACTGCACAATACTAAGCCTATACTTGTAAGCAATTATTTCACTTTAACTCTTTGTAGTTCAATATTCTGTTGCCTGGAGATGTCATTCATACTATTCATAAACCATTACTAACAAACACTCTACCCGTGCATGAATATTCCTATACAATCATTTATTATGTACAATGTGAGTCGTGTAAATTTGCACAACCTGGTGTTTTCTGTATGTTCCAGGTTCTACCGATAGATACCGGGTAGATAGCTTAAAGGGCTGGACCCCAGCTGAATGTTAATAATAACAATAGATTGTTATCAATTTAATTAAATAATTTCTTATATTATCCAATATATTGTAAAGATGACATAATTACAAGTCTTCAGACTACAATCATGTATCATATTTGTAAATATGTCTGTTTTGACAACCCAAATGAATGTAAAAATTGTTAATGTGGAAAATGCAAAGGAATTTAAGTAATGGTGTTATTTCCATGCAACCTTAGCAATAACATCTCCTTCAGTTTTCGTAGGACAGGCCTAGATGATGATACTGTGTCTGGGTCAGGTGCCATGCCAATGTTCCACTTCTTCGATATAGCATCAATTCAGATTCAGAAAAAGCTATAAGTATGTGGATAGTGCCCGCCATGTTTGATTGACAGAACCTCAATGATTCTATAGAAATCGTTCAGGTGCAATCAATTTTTTTTATCGGTATCATATAATAGTATTATATTTGGATTTGTTGTTGACATTATCCATTAGATTGGGACCAGCTAGCCCTTAATTCATTGCCTCAAAAGGCAGCTCAGAGTTTTCCAAAGGTCTATATGAATCAGCTTTTCCTCGTCAAATTATTTGTATTTCCACTCTTTCATAGTTATAAACAAGATATACAAATATACTGTATATTACATGAAACAGTACGTATTATTGATATGCACCAAAATACAAAAAAGAATTGCCACTTTGTACAAGGAAATAATGATTGAAAAATTCACTTTGCATTGCCAATTTAGAAACTTCAATGATTATTTTCAACTAAATCACTCTTACATGTAAATGAACGGGACAATGTTCTGCAAAAAAATGGACTCAAATTTTCTAGTAAATTTTGCACTTTCTGCTCATGTTCAATTTGTAATTCAGAGCATTTTGGATAAAAAAAATGAAAATTAAACGCCACTGTTGATAAGGACAAAAAGCGTACTTTGACAAAGTCAATGAAAGTCATGAGATTCTATTTTGTTTCTGTTTTTTCATTCGAAACAAAAACCACAGTTATTGTACCTCATGATCTACATGTACTGTGTAGGCCTATACACTCTTGAGTTGCAATTTCAAATCTAGCCTTCATAGAAATCCAATAGATTAAAAAATGTGACTTGTTACAACATACAGTATATGTACATTTATTGTACTCTTCTGCTTTAATACGTAAAGGCATATAACCTGGAAAAGGTGTGTTCAAAATTGTGTTATTCAGTTCACATGATGAAAATTCTCATCTCTGTGCATTATCTTTTCTAGGTAGCGCTTCCTCAATTCTTGGGAATTTTCAGTCAGGAATTCCTTGTCGCTTGAACAAGGAAGTGTTAAAAAAAATCAGGTCATAGTCGTATTTTTATGGTCATTTATTTAATCTTGTAGTTTCAGTTGGAGTCATAAATCATCTGATGAGAGTAAGAAGGGCATTTCCCCTAGTATCAGAGTTTAGTTTTGTAATAAAGTATGAGAGCCATCAGGCATAAGGGCGTTTACTCTGTGTTGTAGGTGCATTTATTTGGTCTTGCCACTATATATGTACATATCGTACCCCACTATCATACCCCACTATCGAACCCCACTATACGAAAGTGATTTGCGGGATGTCGCGTCTATCGTGTCTTCACGATTCAAAATCTCATTCTCAACCTAACTAACTGTTACACGACTGACATGGAACATAACTGTAGTGTGTTTCTCTGATTGACTTTGGTGATCATGCTGTTCCACAACCCTCGGATCCTAGCCTTCTCTATTAGCACCACTCCCACTTCTTTCACTCCTCTCTCTTCCAACAGTTTCTGCAGACTGTCCATCCAAAGTATCCTCCTTCTTCCCCTTCTCCTTCTACCAACAATTTTTTCCTGTCAAAGCAAGATTCTCTAGTCCTACTTTACGTGTAATGTGACCCGTGAACTTCAAATGCCTAATCAACATCTCACGTATCATTTTCCTTTGCACTCCAGCTCTTCTAAGAACTCCTCATTACTAACTTTGTCAGTATGTCCAAGGTATTTTCATCATTCTTTTTTTTTTAAACACATTTCGCATCTTGATTTCCTAAGGCTTTTAGCAACTGTAGTGTAGCTTTCTATATTTGAGGCATGTTAATTTAGATATTTTAGCCCATTAAAGGTTAATGAAGTGTACGTACCAATCACCAAAATATATTCTGTTCTAAAATCTACAATACGAGCTTTGTATATTACCTCTCCACAAGTTTAAATACATTCTCAGTACTCTTTGAAAAAAGACTTGTTGCGTATAATTATTAGCAGCCTAGTAATAGGTTATGCACAGAACCTATGTTGGACTTGCTCTTTGTCTTGACCTACAAACTAACTCTGACAGACCCCGGGTCGAAACCGAGTCACGTTTTTGGGGTGGTAAGTCAGTCCCCAAATGTAAATAATCATAAATATTTTATACACATAGATCTGTAAAAAAAATTACAAACACACACTTCATTTTTCATCTTCAATGTTTGTTCCATGTCCTCTTTCCGTTTTAGATGGTGATGACGAACAGCAAGCACACTAAATCTCATGTCGATTACGATGGGTTCCAAGCGATTTTTGGTAGTCGGTTCGCCGGGCGATCATTGGTCAACGAGACTGACCATTCACGATGGTCACAGAGAAGGGCTCTGTTTAATCCTGCTTTCCACCGTCAGTATGTATGCTTTCTGCTAGTTTATTCCATGTCTTCTTTCCGTTTTAGATGGTGATGACAAACAGCAAGCACACTAAACCTCATGTTGAGTATGATGCGTTTCAAGCGGTTTTTGGTAGTCGGTTGGGCGGACGATCACTGGTCAGCGAGACTGACCATTCACGATGGTCGCAGAGAAGGGCTCTGTTTAATCCTGCTTTCAATCGTCAGTATGTATCAGGGAAAAAATTTATATTTATTTTTCGGGGGCTACTTTTCAACCTTGCCTGCATGAAAATAACATTCTAAAATTTGTTTTGCATTGAACTCTATGCAAATTTAAGGTGGTTCTTTTCTGATTTTCGGGGGCTCTTTTGGGCATTTCGGGGGCTATTTCGCCCTGAGCCCCCGTGTATTTTTTTCACTGGTATGTATGTGTTTCCTGCTAGCTCTTACTTCCAGGCTGTTTATGAAGCTCAATCTATGAAAATATAATATTTTCTTTACTATTAGGAATTTAATAGTCTACGGTAGATCATTGAATTCATAGTTAAGAGAGAAGCAGTCTTGTTTCTGATAGATAATATACATTTTTCACAGATGGACAAAATTTCTGTGGGAATAACAAATACAAGCATTGCAAAGTTCATTTAGGTTGTGCTTTACCCATTCAAGTTATTGTCCATTGAACCTCAAGAAAACAAATATTTGTTAACCCAGATGATCTGTAATCCGCAATATGGTCTCCACTTTTTAGGTATTCACAGTAGCAGGTTGGAATTCCAATGATAAAATAATCATAAAACTGTCTCTCTTAAATACCAATCTCTAGTAATATTTATCTGATATAACAATGAGGAGAACTCAGAATGGAATGGGGTGTTTATGCCCACAAGGGTATCACTCAAGAGACAGCAGAGCTAGGGAACTCCATCCAAGGGTTCAGGGTTCAATTCCCATCCCAGCACTATCGTCCTTTGGCAAGACATTAATAATAATAATAAATAATAATACAAACATTACTTATAAAGCGCTTACCACCGAAGTCTCTAAGCGCTATAACAAACAAAGTAGACTGATAAACAATTACATATTAAACAAAACAAAAAAGGGCAAATAAACCTACAAATTACAATCAAAGTGAACAGAGTCAATTAATCAGTGAAAGCAATTTTGAATAAATGTGTCTTAAGACTAGTTTTGAATAGGTTAACAGTTTGACAGTTTTTGACATTTAAAGGTAGTCTGTTCTAAAGTTCAGCAGAAGAGCAATTACCATAACTGATAAGAAAGAGTTGATCCACTTTTCCACTCTCCACCCAAGTGGTAATGAGTATCATGAATGTATACTTGAGCGCTACATGTTTGGCCGCCAGCAATGACTGGGGATAATGTTAAAATGTCAGGAATCTGACAGGCATGTACTTTATATAAAAAGCCATCATAGTTATTCAAATCAAAGAGGGTGAAAGAAGTGTTATGGTCTAGTGGATATTAGTCACCAGACTGCAGATCAAAAGGTAGAGGTTTCAAATCCATGCCCTAGCACTCTCTACAACCTCTGGCTAGAGATTAATTATTTGCACCCAGGTGCATTTAGTACCTGGTAGGAAGTTATTCCATGAATGATTCAGCGGCTTTATTGCACAGGTGTAGTAAATGGTATTATCAATCATAGAAGTGCATGGGATAGCAGTAGTAGTAGTAGTGGTAGTGGTAGTGGTAGTGGTAGTGGAAGTAGTAGTAGTAGTAGTAGTAGTAGTAGTAGTAGTAGTAGTAGTAGTGGTAGTAGTAGTAGAAGCAGTAGGAGTAGTAGTAGTAGTAGTAGTAGTAGTAGTAGTAGTAGTAGTAGTAGTAGTAGAAGCAGTAGTAATAGTAGTATTAGTAATAGTAATAGAAGTAGTAGTACTTAATAGTAGTAGTAGGAGTAGTAATAGTAAGTAGTAGTAGAAGTAGTAATAGTAGTAGTAAGAATACTAGAAGAAGGAGAAGTGAAAGTAGTACAAGTAGTAGTCATTACCCTTGGCGCTTTGTGAGTTGCTGCCAGGTTTGATTTTATGAGCTCCTATTTTGTTTAGATTTTTATCATTTCTATGACTTTTGTTTATCAATCCTCTATACTGTCCATACTATCCATACTGATATTTGCTTCAACTGGAATAATTTTGTTGACGTACATGTAGATACCTGAAGGGTTTGATGGATATCTTCAATGACAGTGCCGATCGACTAGTCCAGGACCTGATGAAGAGGGCTGATGGCCAGACCGTAGTCACCATGAGGGATAAATTCAACAGTATTACACTTGATGTCATTGGGAAGGTGAGGTCAAGTGTCGTGCATCTGTAAAGTTTTTATGGTTTGGATTAAAGTTGGGGTTAGGGTTAGAGTTAGGTTTAGGGTTGTGGTTAAGGGTAGGATAAAGGTAAGCTAGGTTTCACATTTAGGATAAGGATTGTGGTTAGGGTTAGATAGGGTTAGGATTAGGGTTGTGGTTAGGGTTAGGGTAAAGGTTATGGCTTTGATTAGGATTAGGGTTGTAGTTAGGGTAGTGTCAGGCAGGGTGGTCCACAAACAAAACTTCAAGCATGTAAAATTGGAACGTGGAAGGACGTATCCGGACACCTACCCCCTGGACAACGACCCCCGGATAACCACCCCTAGGACAACCACCCTCTAGTTCAGATACCCACCGGCCGCTTCCCCCCCCCCCCCCCCCCCCCCCGACAAGTACCCCCAGACAACTACCCCTAGGACATATACCTCCTTGACATCTACCACCTATGGTACTATGGTATTTACCACCCAATTAATCATCCTAGAGGGTAATTGTCCCAGGGGTAGTCGCCCTAGAGGGTGGTTGCCCTGGGAAGTGGTTGTCCAGGGGGTAGATGTCCTAGAACCATGGAAGGAGTGTGAACGCTTGTATGTGAAGCATGAAGTCCCTTGTGGCCGGGCTCCTGAGCCATATTTTCAAGCATTTTAATTTTTCAAACAATGTTCTATCTATGACTAATAATTGTTTTGAGAATTAATATTAACCTGTAGCTGATTTTCAAACCTGTACAACAAAATCCAATCATGTTGCTGTCACCTATTTAACCTAAACCCCTTGTGGATCAGCCTGGTCAGGTATGGTACTACGGTCAAAGCTAGGGCTAGGATTAGGGTCGGGCTAGGGCTACATGTAGGATTAGAATCAGGGTTATGGTTAAGGTTAGATGTAGGATTACAGTCAGTGTCAAATATTTAAAAATATAGTTTTTTAGTAAAGTCTCTCATGCTCTTGTAGACAAATACAAAAAAATTAAAGTCTTTATCAATAGGCCATTGCGATATATGGATTAAAATTTTGAAATGCGTTTGTCTTATTTTGAAGGTTGGCTTTGGTCTTGATCTGAACGCCATGGAGGACCCAAGCTGTCCTTTTCCTGTGGCTGCAACTAAGGTTCTCCAAGGCCTGCAGAAATCGCTTCTTGTACCTTGGTACTCGGTAAGCTCTCAAGAAATACAACTATAAAACTCTATCTCTGTTTATGTTTATGTCCCTTTTGTTTGGGGGAGTAAAATCTTGTTCGATCACATGTCCCATGGTAAACCGTCGCGTGTTTTTTTAATATGTAAATAAATGGCAACAAAGGTCGTATTCACTTATCTTTGTGTTATATAAGATCCAGAAATGTGAAGGATGAGTGTTTACCATCCCACAATCGAATGGGGTTTGATCGAAGGACAGGTTTTTAAACCATACGAGCAACAGCAAGTCAGTTTACATACCCTTAGTCTATTTAGGTACTGCGGGAGTGACCAGCTGATAACATTTATCTGTTGTTGTTTAAAAGTGGCCATTGTTTACAGTAGAAATACATTTTTACAAAAGGTAAAATAAAATACTTCAAGCCTTTTTTTCTTCAAAAATGCAAATAATTGACAAGAGGTTGTGAAGAACTCCATGCAATCTAACATTAAACCATATGAGTGGTCATCAATGAGTAAATTTAATTGCCTCTGAAGTCTAAAGGAGAGTACCATAAAAACTGTTAAATACATTATAGTATCATCGCAAAAGAGTAAAATATTTCAGTGTAGTATCAGGTCTTTTTCCCATTAATTTAAGAGGATTTTTCAAGGGGGGTAGGGGGGTTGGGGTGGTATTCAGAGATTCAAACTCTGCTTATGTGTACTAGCTGTGAGCTCTATTACTCGTATGTAACAGAACTACTCCAATATTCATTCAATGTAATGAATTGAAAAGAAAATGAATGAGTTGAGAAAAATTGAGCAAATAAAAAGGACCCCCCCAAAAAAAATAAAAAATAAAAATAAAAATAAAAAAAATGAGATGAGGAATTGAAATTACATCTCTGTCACGAGAGTAGTGTTTTTAAGGAGTTGCAGGAGACATGCCTTATTCTCTGTAAGATTACCTGAGCATTTACCTGACCTGTACAAAGGCCAATTAACAAATACATATACATGTACATATATATCTTTCATATATTCATACGTTATATCAATATTTGGTTTCTTTGCATTGCATTTCCTCCGCCTTGGCTAAGAGTTTTCATTTGGACGAGAGGGAGGCATTCCATATTCTCTGGAAAAGTGGTCATAATTGTATCCTGCATTGTTCATTTCAGGCCAGACATTACATATGTTTGAAATATCTTCATATTTGTAGAGGTGCTGTGGTCTAGTGGATAAGTCACCTGACTGTAGATCACATGGTTCACGGTTCAAATCCCAGGCAGGCACTCTCCACTCTCCACCCAGGTGTAAATGGGTGCCTGGTATTCTTGAGTGCTAATTACTATGGCGGCTCGGCTATAACCAGGGTAATAATGTCTTAGTGCCATGAGCATCACTGTGTGACGGATATGAGCGCTAAATGGCCATTATTATATAGACACTTGATTTCACTAAACTATATTCCTCCTCCCCCCCCCCCCCCCAAATCTTTTCTCTGATGTGTGATCATCCAAGACTTTATTCTGCATCATTTGGAAGCCAATCTATTATGTACTTTTCATATGTTTGTATATTATATAAACATTTTATTTCTCCGCAGTACATCCCGTCCGCCCATGCAAGGAATTTCCGTAAGGAGGTGAAGGAGGCATGCCATCTTATCCGTGAGATTGGGCGTGACTGCATCCTGAGTCGAATAGAGGCCAAAGCTCGCGGGGATGCGACCCCCCAGGACATCCTCACGTACCTCCTGGATGCATCCAAGGAGCTCCAAGGAGATCAGAACTTTGGTCTGGAGGAGATGATAGACGAGTTTGTCACTTTTTTTGTTGCTGGTAAGAACTTGAAGTACAGTAGTTTTTTCTAGAAGAAAAATAGGTGAAAAATGTTATACCCACATGGAAGCGTATTCCTTTCTTGTAATAATAATAATAATAAATTATTTTTCGAGAACCTTTCCTGCTCACTAATAGAATAAGTTTCTCCTGGTTTCTTTCCATAAACAAATGGGATGACTATTGATTTATAATAATAATATTCTGCTTGTATATAGCGTTTAAAGGGATAGTTGAGTTCTGTTTTCATACCGCAAATGGCTTCAAAGTGTATGGTAATTGCTCTTATTCTTATCTAATATAATTCTTATAGTGCCCTTTTATTTTAGAACCTAAAATTGCTATGAAGGTAATTTTAGATCCCAAAATGTGTGAAATTTAGCCAATACGATCAAACCAATTCAGCTCCACTTTCAAAAAATCATGGTGATCGTTAATTAATTATTTAATTAAAAATAACAATACATGAGCCGGCTAATTGTGGGTAATATAGGCAACACGAAAATGCCAACAAAAAAGCCAACATCAGCATTGGCTGAAATACAATTTAAAAGGCGTTATTTCATTTTTTTCAACTGTTTTTTTCAAATTTTTCAAAATATCTAATATTTGTGTTGGTACATTAGAGTATTAGAAATTGTATATTTCAGCCGTCTCAGAACCAACTTTTGATCAAACAAAGATGATTTTGTCATTGAAATATTATGTTCTTTCAAATTTGACACTCAGTTTTTCATTCTCTCACAAAAAAATTATTTTGTGTAGCGCCTCTGCAACAGAACTCAACTATCCCTTTAATACAAATGTCTCTAAGCGCTTTATAGATATACTATTACCCCGATCATTGGATTCAATACTTGCCCTCCACTCCCTGAGGAGCATTCCAGCCTGGCGTTACTTGACACTCAAAACTTTGACCAACAATGTATAGTGCATATCATATTGTTGTTGCTGCACGAAGGACAAGCCTTGATTTTCTGCACTTAGTGCAAATTAGGCATCTTCTTCCCTTTGTACAAATTTGGAGTCTATATATTCAGTTTGGGCAAACCACACTTCTCCGTCTCTACGAGAATCCTCTACCCTCTGTTCAAGGTCACTCTGCAAACTCACATGCAGTCGCATATAACACATAACCCTATGAAGATATCCCAAGTCCTTCTTAAACAACTCTTTAACCTCTGCATGCGATGCCATCGGTGAAATTTGTATTTGAGTGGTGCGTGTATGAACGATTGATTGCAGCTTTTTAATTTAATGCGCCGTATATATTGGGTTCATTTTGCATTTCATCCTTATATACCATTAATTTATTCATAGGATAATGTGTTATATGCAATTTTGTTTGAGTTGGCAGAGTGACCTTGGGCGGTGCAATGGAGCCTCACAGAGACGGAGAAACGTGACCACTCGATAGTGTGGTTTGCTCAAACTGATGATGTGGCATACACAGTAGCTCTTCCATCACATACAGACGTACAAATGTGAATGTAGTAATGAAATGAATTATTTTTACTGTCACTTTGCAGGGCAAGAAACAACGGGGAACCATCTGTCTTTCACATTGCAACAGATATGCAGATATCCAGAAGTATTGAAAAAGTGAGTAGTAATCGCCTTCAGACTGGAACAGGATGATGCAAAGTCCTCATGTATAAATGGGGCTAATAGTAAAGATGGAGGAACTATGTGCGCCTGTGGGGAGGAACAGACAATGAAACACCTTTCAGTCTGCCCCCCTCCTCCGAGAACCCTGTAACCCAAGGACCACCTAGAGGGTTCCAATGCCAAGGCCAGATCCTGTGTTCTCCACTGGACCAGGCTTGTGTAGTGACTCAAAAAGAAGAAGTATTAATGTCATTCTGAGCTTGAAATATAGCTGTACTCAAAGAGTTCAGAGAAATACATCATACATTAATGCTGAGCTACTGCTCAAACTTATTTCACTGATTTATGATATACAAATATTGCATGCTCCAGCATTCAATATGATAAAATATATAAACTGACAAGTTCAGAAGTTTGATATTGTCCAAGGTATTTCATTTCAATTGAAATGAAATGTCATGTTAAGGGGGAAAAAGTCTGAATTTTGGGTGGCTGTATGTTATATTGAACAACAAAATACATGCAACATATTGTTACATAAAATTGAGGATATTTGTGATCCTCAGAAATGAGACCCTCTCAATTGCATTCAGCTTTCCTTTGTGTCAAATGTGTGTAGCTAAGACAATACAGACAGTGGATATGCATAAGGAAGAGAGGTGCGCAGTCAAATTTACTTGTTCAAAAAATGGTTGTTACATTAAATGCTTGAGCAACTATAACATATTGTTGAGTGTCATGTGACACCTTTAGCCAGTAGGATACTCAGTAACAAATACCCTATTTTATATACCAGCATGGTGCATTGGTAAAAGGATGACCATCTTTTACTTAACAAATGATTTGCTTTTGATTTAAACTCAGACATCATTTTAGTTATTCATGTAAATCTGTTCTGTAAAGATGCATACCTATGTGGATGCTGTTCGGACATTTG